TTGGGTTTTATATGTGGTATAGGGCCATGAATTTCCCTTTTTCTAGGATACATAAAAAATAGTATTCTTAATTTATATAATAAACAGACTCTATTGTTATTTTTTTTTATGGAAATTAATTGAAAATATACTTCAAAATCTTTCAAAAATAAGAAAAAGACTCACTATAAAGCGAGGACGATTGGGTTCAATGTGTGGTACAAGGCAGCGATTTTCTCTATTTCTAGGATATATATAATATTATTCTTAATTTATATAATAAAATCATTCAAATATCTTTTTTTCATGGAAATTAACTGAAAAAAAATACTCCAAAATCTTTTAAACATAAGAAAAAGACTCACTATAAAGCGAGGCCGATTGAGTTCTATAAGTGGCATAAGGCAACGATTTTCTCAATTTCTTGGATATATAGGATAATATTCTTAATTTATATAAGAACTCACTAAAATATCGGTTTTTTTTAATGGAAATTAATTTAAAAAATACACCAAAATCTTTCAAAATTAAGAAAAAGATTCACTATAGAGCGAGGCCGATTGTGTTCAATGTGTGGTATAAGGCAATGATTTTCTCTATTTCTAGGATATATAGCGTAATATTCTTAATTTATATAAAATCTTTGCAAATATGTTTTTTTATGGAAATTAATTGAAGAAAATACTCCAAAATCTTTTAAACATAAGAAAAAGACTCACTATAAAGCGAGGCCGAATGGGTTCTATAAGTGGCATAAGGCAACGATTTTCTCAATTTCTTGGATATATAGGATAATATTCTTAATTTATATAATAAATCACTCAAATATCGTTTTTTTTAATGGAAATTAATTTAAAAAATACACCAAAATCTTTCAAAATTAAGAAAAAGATTCACTATAGAGCGAGGCCGATTGTGTTCAATGTGTGGTATAAGGCAATGATTTCCTCTATTTCTAGGATATATAGGGTAATATTCTTAATTTATATACTATTCAAAAAAAGTAGGGGATATTTGATTTTGGGGGCATAATACTAAAATATGCAAATGACTACGAAAAAAGTCACTATAGAACCTAACAGAAGAAACATTTCCAGTTACATGTGACGCCCAAACGCACCAATAGCTACCGCATGGAATGCAGGTGATGCTTGGGATCATCATGGGGGTCCAACCCAAGATTTGCACGACTCTGACTTTGAATGTTACAGTCATTGTGGCATTGAATTCCAGGGTGGAAACATCAGTTTAATTGTTTTAGTGACCAGAAAACAAATTTTGATATGCGTCGGCTTACCCAAAATGAAAGGTTACGTGCCCTTGGCATGCTACAGATCGGCACAACACAGGCGGTTGTGGCGCGGACGATGAATGTTTCTCAGTCTGTCATAAGCAGGCTATGGTCCAGATACCGTGATACACAATCTGTACAGGACAGACCACGCTCAGATCGACCAAGGGCGACAACTCAAGCCCAGGATCGATTTATCCGTACCTTGGCCTTGAGAAATCGTGTCATCACAGCAAATCAGATCAGCACTCGTCTTCAAACAGACACTGGTGTGAGAGTGAGTGGCCAGACGATTCGGAATCGACTGCATAGGGGTCACCTTCGCGCCCGACGTCCTCGCGTGATCCCTTGTTTGAGAGATCATCACATTCAGGCAAGACGTCGTTGGTGTAGGGATCGTCAACACTGGGATAATCGACGCTGGAGCAATGTGATGTTTTCAGATGAGTCAAGGTTCACTGTTGATTTTTTGGACAGACGTAGGAGGGTGTGGCGTCGTCGAAACGAGCGCTTCCAAGACGTTAACGTCATCAGACATGATCGATTTGGGGGTGGTTCTGTTATGGTGTGGGGAGGCATCACTGTTGCTGGAAGAACGGCTTTACATGTTGTTGCAGGGCGTGTTACAGGCCAGTACTACCGGGACAACATCTTGGCAGTCCATGTTGTGCCGTTCGCACGACGTCATGGCCGCCGTTTCATCTTCCAGGATGACAACGCAAGATGTCACAGGGCCAGGATCGTTACAGGTTACCTCCAACAACAGAACATCACCACATTACCTTGGCCAGCACTGAGTCCCGACCTCTCCCCCATCGAGCATGTCTGGGACATGCTTGGACAGAGGTTACGTCAACGTCAACAACGTCCTGCCAATGTCCAAGAACTTGCTGCTGCGTTGCAACAGGAATGGGACAATCTGGACCAAAATGACCTTAGACGTCTCATTAGGTGTATGCCACGTCGGATCAATGCTTGTTTGGCAAACAGAGGAGGATTTACCCGTTACTGACTTAGTTGTGATGCTGTGGTAACTTTGCTGTTTGACACCGGGTATCATTTTACCCTTATAATGGTCAATCTGTGCCTTACTTAGTCTAACGATCATTTGGAATAAATCGATGAATGTGAACTTCATTTCATTTTGTCATTTGTTTCTTCGTCAGTTTCATTAGGTGACTTTAATAACACTTAAAAATCAAATATCCCCTACTTTTTTTGAATAGTATATAATAAAATCACTGCAAATATGTTTTTTATGGAAATTAATCGAAGAAAATACTCCGAAATCTTTAAACATAAGAAAAAAACTCACTATAAAGCGAGGCCGATTGGGTTCTATAAGTGGCATAAGGCAACGATTTTCTCAATTTCTTGGATATATAGGATAATATTCTTAATTTATATAAGAACTCACTAAAATATCGTTTTTTTAAATGGAAATTTATTTAAAAAATACACCAAAATCTTTCAAAATTAAGAAAAAGATTCACTATAGAGCGAGGCCGATTGTGTTCAATGTGTGGTATAAGGCAATGATTTTCTCTATTTCTAGGATATATAGGATAATTTTCTTAATTTATATAATAAAATCACTGCAAATATGTTTTTTATGGAAATTAATCGAAGAAAATACTCCAAAATCTTTTAAACATAAGAAAAAGACTCAGTATAAAGCGAGGCCGATTGGGATCTATAAGTGGCATAAGGCAACGATTTTCTCAATTTCTTGGATATATAGGATAATATTCTTAATTTATATAAGAACTCACTAAAATATCGGTTTTTTTTAAAATGAAATTAATTTAAAAAATACACCAAAAGATTCACTATAAAGCGAGGCCGATTGTGTTCAATGTGTGGTATAAGACAATGATTTTCTCTATTTCTTGGATATATAGGATAATATTCTTAATTTATATAATAAAATCACTGCAAATATGTTTTTTATGGAGATTAATTGAAAAAAATACTCCACAATCCTTTAAACACAAGAAAAAGACTCACTATAGAGCGAGGCCGATTCGGCTCTGTGTGTGGTATAAGGCAATGATTTTCTCTATTTCCAAGATATATAGGATAATATTCCTAATTTATATAATAAAATCACCGTAATATCTCTTTTTTATGGAAATAAATTGAAAAAAATAACCCAATATAATTTTAACATAAGAAAAAGACTCACTATAAAGCGAGGACGGTTGGGTTCAATGTGTGGTATAAGGCAACGATTTTCTCTATTTCTAGGACATAGGGTAATATTTTTAATTTATATAATGAAATAAACCTACTATTGTTTTTTTATGGAAATTAATTTAAGAAAATACTCCACAATCCTTGGATTCTATGTAATACTGTGATGATTTTCTCCATTTCTAGGATAATATTCTTAATTTATAATAAAAAGAATTACTCTAATATAATTATTTTATGGAGATTAATTGAAAGAAATATCAAAATCTTTTAAACATAAGAAAAAGACTCACTATAAAGCGAGGCCGATTGGGTTGTATATGTGGTCATAGGATAGCCTAGGCCTATATAGGATAATATTCTTAATTTATATAATAAAATCACTCTAATATCTTTATTTTATGAAAATTAATTGAAAGAAATACTCCAAATTTCTTTCAAATATAAGAAAAAGACTCACTATATAAAGCGAAACCGATTTATGTGTCGTATAATGCGATGATTTTCTCTATTTCTAGGACATATACGATAATATTCTTAATTTAAAATAATAAAATCACTCAAATTTCGCGTTTTTTATGGAAATTAATTGAAAAAATATTCCAAAATCTTTTAATTTTAGTAGATCCAAGATCTGATTTTAGCATCTACTATACATAATGTCAAGGCCGTACATCGAACTGTCAATCAAATTGACTGACATGTTCCTCGCTCTATATAATACTAAGCCAATCAGCCATCCAGTTACTTATGGAGATCAGTTGTATTCATCGAGTTATAGTTTCTATATATAACTCTATGGTGGTATTATAATGACTTGTCTGCGATATCACTTATGTGGAAGCAGACGTTAAACACCAAGAACTACTACTACTATTATAATGATCAAATTGACTGACATGCGGCCTCGCTCAACAGCGGTCTCGCATAGTACACTTTATCACAACACAAGTGACGTATCTATATGATCAGTATATGGTGGCATCAGACTGATAGGGTGACCCACCATAAATAAATATCTCCATATATCTCGACAATTACGCCACAATATTTATATATATGCCAAGCCTCAAATCAGTTTCACACAATTATAGTCACTAAATAAACGATCATGTTGTACTTAATAAGCTATGACCATTAATCATGTAAAAATAATAGACTGAAAACTGGTTCCAAGAGTCGTCCATAACATCCAGACACTTTTGAGTAAAAGATAGGTTACGTGCCCTTGTTTTGAAATTAGTCTCGCTTAATCAGTCTATCGACCATTCTACGTCGAGTCGTCTGATTGACAGGTCGGGATAATCAAGACTACTTTTTTACGAAACATAAGAGAAAGCTAGAACAAGAAATTGAATTTAGAAATAAGCACGTTAGGTAGCTCAACAATCGTTTTAAGAAGCTTGTAGAAGTAAAATGAAACTACTGCTAGTATCATGTTCCTGTCTAACCCGAGTGATTCAGAGATATTATTTGTACTAAACCAAAAAATGCCGCTCTTAACGGTACAGTTAATGATAAAGCGATTTAAAAAAAATGAAACGAACGTAATTTCTAAATCTGCTGTAATAACCAAGAAGCTTAATTTTACTGCTATTCAAAATCGTCAACAATAATTTTTTTACGGCTGTAATAGTTGATAGATTTGTAGAGAATTGCACGTGCCATGGCTATTTATAGTATCATACTGTCAGAAAGTTGGTCTCGGCACGGCGAATGTGCACGCTTCAGTGGTAGTCTCGAACTATCAGCGGTGGACTGTATTTCTGGGAGTACATGGGTCACCCTCTGATAGTGTCTATCTGTCAATTGAAATTGGTACGTTATGTAATTAATTGTTAAACGGTACTAGAAATTCATGACTCTCGTGATTCACTGTATTTTGTTTCAACATTCAATTATCAAAGACTAGTACTTAGACTTTAGCCGGCGAGTTGGTCATAATAATTCATCCAGGAAGTCGCCCTGCAGGTCGACATTTTGCGTAGTTAACTTCATACTATTACTAGGCCTTTCTTAAGTAAAATATTTTTAGTCAAAATTAAAAATTGGTTCAGTATTATGACAATAATCAAATTTTTTTAGTGCTGTTATAATCATATTGACATTGTTTTTGACCCATGTGCGAATATGTTCAACTCAGAACCAGGTGTGACACTCACTGACAGTTTGAGATGGTTCTAGGTGTGCTCAAATAGCGTAAAAATATGGTATATATATATATCAAGGTTGTGGACCCTATAGAGGTCACAATTTTTATCTGATTTTGTTGAAACTTGAAATGTAAATTTATAACACAAAGATCAAGGTTCCTTTCGATATTTGCGCATATCGAATTGTAATTTCCTGAATTATGGCCCTTGATTATAGGAAAAATCGCATTTTTAGCTTGTGGACCCTATAGAGGTCATAATTTTTAACCGATTTAAAAAAAAAACGTTTTAGTATATCACCGTTACACACTAAGGACAGCTGCGTTCGAATTTTATGAAAATCGTCCCAAAAATGGCCGACTCTCGTTCTCAAATAGCGAAAAAATATGGTATATCAAGGTTGTGGACCCTATAGAGGTCACAATTTTAATCCTATTTTGTTGAAACTTGAAATGTAAATTTATAACCCAAAGATCTTGGTTCCTTTCTGTATATGCTCATATCGGACGGTAACTTCATGAATTATGGCCCCTGATTGTACGAAAATTGCGTTTTTAGCTTGTGGACCCTATAGAGGTCATAATGTTTATCCGATTTTAAAAAACGTATTATTGTATCACCGTTACACTCTAAGGACGGCCAAGTTCGAATTTCGTGAAAATCAGCCCAAAATTGACAGACAAAATGGCCGCCGTTCGTTCTCAAATAGCGTAAAAATATGGTATATCAAGGTTGTGGACCCCATAGAGGTCACAATTTTTATCTGATTTTGTTGAAACTTGAAATGTAAGTTTATAACCCAAAAATCTCGGTTCCTTCTGATATTCGCGCATATCGGACCGTAACTTCCTGAATTATGGCCCCTGATTGTACGAAAAATCGCGTTTTTAGAGCTTGTGGACCCTTTAGAGGTCGTAATTTTTATCCGATTTAAAAAAAACGTATTATTATATCACCGTTACACCATAAGGACGGATGAGTTAGAATTTCATGAAAATCGGCCCAAAACTGACAGACAAAATGGCCGCCCTTCATTCTCAAATAGCGTAAAAATATGGTATATCAAGGTTGTGGATCCTATGGAGGTCACAATTTTTTTTCCGATTTTGTTGAAACTTGAAATGCAAGTTTATAACACAAAGATCTCGGTTCCTTTCCATATTTGCGCATATCGAATTGTAATTTCTTGAATTATGGCCCTTGATTGTAGGAAAAATCAATTTCTTTTAGCTTGTTCTCTATCTATCTCTCGAAAATGTGGGAGTATCCTGCCTGGCAGCTGCTGGTTTTTATCCGATTTAAAAAAACGTATAATTATATCACCGTTACACCCTAAGGATGGCTCAGTTCGAATTTTCGTAAAAATCGGTTCAAAACTGACAGACAAAATGGGCGCCCTTCGTTCTCAAATAGCGTAAAAATATGGTATATCAAGATTGTGGACCCTATAGAGATCACAATTTTTATCCGATTTTGTTAAAACTTGAAATGTAAGTTTATAACCCAAAGATCTCGGTTCCTTTCGATATTCGCGCATATCGGACTGTAACTTCCTGAATTATGGCACCTGATTGTAAGAAAAATCGCGTTTTTAGCTTGTGGACCCTATAGAGGTCATAATTTTTATCCGATTAAAAAAACTGTATTATTATGTCACCGTTACACCCTAAGGACGGCTGAGTTCGAATTTCGTGAAAATCAGCCCAAAACTGACAGACAAAATGACCGCCCCTCGTTCTCAAATTGCGTAAAAATATGGTATATCAAGGTTGTGGACCCTATAGAGGTCACAATTTTTATCCGATTTTGTTGAAACTTGAAATGTAAGTTTATAACCCAAAGATCTCGGTTCCTTTTCATATTTGCACTTATCGAATTGTAATTTCCTGAATTATGTCCCTTGATTTTAGGAAAAATCACTTTCGTTTTAGCTTGTTTTCTATCCATCTCTCGAAAATGTGGGCGTATCTTGCCTGGCAGCCGCTGGTTTGATATTGTATTCTATTAATTATTCTATTAATCTGACCAAAACTGCCAGACCAAAATGGCTGCCCCTCCTATGCAAATAGTGTAAATATGTAATATGTACATGTATATGTATATCAAGGTTGTGGATCCTCTAGAGGCCGCAATTTGATCCCATTTTGATCCCATTTTGTTAAAACTTTAACTTTATGTTTATATCACAAAGATCTTGGTTCCTTTCAATAATCGCACATATCCGAACATAATTTACTTCCTGGATTATGGCCCCTGATTGTTTGAAAAATCGCATTTTTTGCTTAAATATATCACTGTTACACATCAATGAAGGTTGAGTTTGAATTTCATAAAAGTCTGACCCAAACTGCCAGACAAATTGTTTGTGGACACTCTAAAGGTCACAATTGTTATCCAATTTTGACGAAATATAGGTTTATATCCTAGAGATGTTGGTTCCTTTAGATATTCGGGCATATCGGACCATAACTTCCTGGATCATGGCCCCTGATTGTACGTAAAATCGCGTTTTTAGCTTGTCCATCTAGAGGTCACAATTTTTATCCGATTTTAAAAATCGTATTTAATATTTCGTCGTTACACCCTGATGATGGTTGAGTACGAATTTCGTAAAAATGGACAAAATGGTCACTGCTTGGATGCAATTAGTGTAAAAGTATGTAATACGAAGGTTGAGGACCCTCTAGAAGTCACAATTTTTGTCCGATTTTGATGAAACTTAAAATATATGTTTATGACCCAAAGATCTGAGTTCCGTTCGATATTCGCACATTTCAGCCCATAAATCCCTGGATTATGTCCCCTGGTTGTATGATAGCAGGGGACTAGTAAAATTTGTTTGTCCGTTTGTCTGTTCATCCGTCCGTTCGTCTGTCGTATAGCTGACTGTGTGAATTCTATTTAATAAACAGAATTGTCAATACATGTGGTATTCATTTAAGTCTGAGATTAAATATGTGCATATATGTAGTGGACATGTATATATGTAGTGGACAGTATATCTTATATTGTAGATCAATAACATATGAGGTTTAGTAAGTTCAGTGCATCTAAATAAATGTTAATATTTTATATGAGAGAATATAGTCTAACTTTGAATACTTTAATGAAAGTTCTGGAGCACTTTGTCACACTGAGGTTGAGAGTTTGATTCCAAACAGGGCCATTCTGTCACTTTTGGTGTGCCCAACGTGGAGCACGGCGACTTTTCAGGTGTGGGAGTGCTATTTTAGATGTATTCTGGATGTACTAGGTTTTAACTGTGTTGACAGGTCTCAAGAACAAACCATTTGAGAGTTGGGGAGAATGTAGTGGTTTCTTGTGAGACGGTTCAAAGTCTGTATATCTGGAGACGAGGTGGCACAGTGTATAAGACATTGGCTCACTAAGCTGTTGTTCCCCTTGTCAGTGGTGCAGGATAGAGGGCCTAGCAAGGGACAACATAAGTCATTCGGGTAGGATGACAAACCAAGATTCTGTGTACACATTGGTTTGCAAGTAAATGATTCATTGGAATTCGATACAAGAGTAAGATCGAAGTACCGCTGTCTGGGAAAAATTTCCCTCATAGACTCATAGCACACAGTATTGTGTACAGTCGGAGCAAAAGAACAGAAATTATGCAGTCTTGAGATTAAATAGACTGCCTGATGACTTGGTCGTGGGATATATTAGTGTTAAGGTAACCCATAATTAATTCAACCATAGAAAGATAATTATGAGGTGATGACAAACCGTGGTGACAAATGTATGAATTCCATGCCAGGAGTCACGGAATCCCAATAGTAGCATTCTGCCACAACATATCCAGCAAAATCGAAATATCGGTATTAGATAGGCTACAACTAAACTTTCCAGGCTTGTCCTCTAGTCTATTCATATACAGTATACCAGGTGTTGATTTATTTCGTTGAACATGTTTCGTTTCATTGTGAAATGTCTGTGAGTTCAAATTATAAGGGGGGGGTGGATGGCTGAATGGTTAGCGTGCGCGCGCTGTATCATAAAGTCTGTCATTGAGTCGACTGGCGTGGTTTCGAATCCCCGGTTGTACGTGGCAAGGAGCAGGGTCGCCTGTCCAACCTCGTGGGTTTTCTCCGGGTCCTCCGGTTTCCTCCCACTGCTAAAGACCCCTTACGCGCTAGCGAATTATGTAAGTAAAATTGAACCATATGTTAGTCCCGAAATGACCTAGTTTGTGTCGGGTGGAAGTTAAACCCCATTTCTCTCTCTCTCTCAAATTATAAGAGCAGAAGTTGTGAAATGTCTGAGTTCAAATTATTAGAGCAGAAGTTGTGAAATGTCTGTGAGTTCAAATTATTAGAGCAGAAGTCGTGAAATATCTGTGAGTTCAAATTATTAGAGCAGAAGTCATAGTTTCCATACAATACTTTTCAGTAGTTATGACAGATGGAATACACTGTCCCGTTAGCTGAAATAATGCAGGAATTTATATTTATACTTATTTTTTTATTTATAGGAAAATGAGTTGATTAAAAAAATGTACTTCAGATCATTTTTACATCAATGCTTTCCTATTATACTTATTTTGATTAATAAATTTATGGTAAGTTAGTTTTTGAATTCTCGTTGGATGTCCTTTATAGACTTTAATTGTAATAGAGGCGGGACCGACGGCAAGTTCTGCTACTGTTCAACTTAAGTTGCATCAAAGACCTGACTGTGTGACTTGCCTTGAAAAATTTATTGCCACTCTGGACTCAGTGGTCATGACTACTTGCGACTTGAAAGAGCTAATGATGACTTGTGTCGAGAGGGAGGTTAGGACAGGACTCTTAGTTGCCTTATTTGCCATGGCCTCACTGACTCATTTGATGAACTGGCAACTTGAAAAGGACTTGGGCTTGGTGAAGACTCTGTACTTGACTCGACTTTGTGACTTGGGACCCGACTCGCACACTTGAGGTGCAGCGACTAGGGATTCAAATCAGACTGGTGGTGCTGGGAATTGGAACTCGACCAGGACTCAAAGTCCTGCGACAAATTCCCACCTCTGAATTGTATTAGTAATAGAGTGGTATGATTTCATGACTTGTTTATTTCATCCCCCCACCCCCATAATTGGGGGCTTCCACTTCCAAATTTTTATTGTCGGTCATTTGCAATTACTCACAGAAACTTTGCAATATAAATTATTATTTCATGTCATTTATGGTATCACAAATTCTCATGTCTTTACCACTTTGCACAAAAAATGTAAAAGTAATTATTAATGAAATATTTCTTTTTGGCTGTTGAAATTTGTTTAAATATCACAAAGTCTGTCATTGACTCAAGTGGCATGGTTTTGATTCCCCGCTTGTACGTGACAAGAAGTAGGGTTGTAACCTAGCTTTTTTGCTTTTTTTTTATATAAGGTGTGTTGTGGTGAAATAGAGATCGTTAATAAGCCTGATGGATCTAAACTTTACAACTCATCAACTTTGTGAGTATTTTTATTTATAGGGGGATTGGATGGCCGAATGGTTAGTGTGTGCGTGCTTCATCATAAGGCGTGGTTTCGATTCCCTGGTCGTACGTGACAAGGAGTAGGATCCTCTGGTTTGCTCCCACTGCTAAAGACCCTTATGCGCAAGCAAATTATTGAAATAAAATTGAACTATGTGTTAGTCCCGAAATGACCTAGTTTGTGTCGAATGGACGTTAAACCCCCTTATTATTTATAACAAAATGTTTTTTTCGAACAAAAACTTGAACACTGCAATAAAACAAAAAACATGCAATTGAATAATTCAATGAAGAGAAACATGCAAGGCCATATAAAAAATAAGATTTGGTCGTGGATATTTCGGCATTCCTGTGGCTTTAAAGCAAGAATTTCATATTTTTGAGAGTTATATTTTTAAAATGTATTAAATAAAGACAGAAAATAGATGGTATCTATAAACAGTCCTACCTTGTTAAAGAATAATCCTATTAATCCTATAATTCACTATTGCCAGTTGAAAAATTGGCAAAAATATCATTTTCAACTTCAAATTCAAACGTTTGAAGATAGCTATTCCATGTGGGGAATAGAAAAACAAGGGAGGTTATTGTGTTATTATTTCCAGTGTGAATGATTTTATAAGTGTAATAATGATACCTATGATCGTATAATAGTGAGTTGACAACCTATTGAACAAAAGACATAGAAATAATTATGTTTTGACTTTCTTAGAAAATATGAAATTCTCGCTTTAAAAGAGCTGCATGATTCATTTCTTTTGAAAGAAAAAATAAAATAAAAAGAGTCTCATTAATTACCAAATGTAAATATTTTCTTCGGTTACAGGATGTAAAACCCTGAATGAAACTTGAAATGTACCTATGCTCAACTCTCAAATACTCAAACCTGATAAATGTTATTGACAATCATAAATAATACTGGATAATCATACATTCAACAAAAAAATGAATGAAATGGGGTTTAATGTCCTACTGTTCTGCTCCTACTGGGCTAATAAAGGCGAGATTATGCCATACAGTGTGCTATTGAGGGAAAATTTAGCCCAGACAGCAGCTCTTATTTTGAATTCAAACACTGTAAAGGGTTCTTTCACGTGCATGCCAATTTGTACACAGGATCTACTTTTGTTTTTTTGGGGGGTCCCATTTGACAACTATACGTTGTCCCTTGCCAGGTCATTCATCCTGCACCACTGACAAGGGTATTATATGACAACTATGAGGCCTTATCTGTCAGTACATGAAGAGCTTACTGATTTAAATTAAAATGAAGGTGTTTAAAATGTCATATCGACTAGTATGGCATATTATTACCCATTAAAATGCCTCGAATGCCGTTATACTTGAGGTAAATGTAGTTATATGTAATTGTTGGTTGGGAAACACAGGGTACTATTTTACCTCAGGAATCAAACACTGTCAATAAACGTGAGTTATGCAACAGGATGGAGCGTACAAAAATAGCTCACCATGATAAAACTTCGTTTTTGGAAGACTATACAACTGATTCCCCAGAAATGATATTGAAGACTTTATATAAAATGAGCTTTTTATTTTAGAAATTAAAATGTTGTCATTTGATACTCCGAATGGCCCATTCATAGTTGTCAACGCATATATAATTTATATCAGGGCAATAAAGCTACTCAAGATGGACATGTTGTTTAGATCAGGATACCAAGCAATTAAAATCAGTGAACCAGACCAAACCCAAGCATCCAAAATTTAGCACTTTTTCCTAGTTAGTCCTAGCACTGAATATTAAATAGACTAGAACAGTTCAGCCATATTTTGATTTAAGCTAAAAATGGAGTAGCGAGACTTAGCTTCGAACAACCAGTACGGTGGTTGAAATTATTGCACACGTCTTGTCAAACCTTCAAAGGCTGATATCTTCGCTCACAATAGAGTAATTTAAATGAAATTTTCAAATTATTTATTTTACATTATCTATTTTCGAACTAGTATAGCAAGAATGGCTAGCTCTTTATCTGAATCTTACATATTGTATCTTTAATGTTATTGTTGAAATATCGTTAGTGACTACTACACTGGGCAATCAAGTCTATATAATCTAGTGCCACATTATTTCAATTTTATGGCAAAGGGATTTTTCCATTTATATAAAGATATCACATTTTTCACAAAATTCAAGATTCACAGTATAACAACTTCTATCTATTGACTGCCTCTTGTCAGTGGTGCAGGATGGAAGACCTGGACAGGAGCCATGTTGACTCAGTGAGTAAGATGATAGCTCGCTGGTCTGGAGGTCAAGGGTTAGCTCCCAGTGTTGGCCGAGAAAGTTCATCAGGATTTTCCGGCTTGGTTTCCCCTTGTCAGTGGTGCAAGATGGAGGGTCTGACAAAGACAGGTGTCTAGTTGTTCAGATGGGACAAAAAACAGAGGTTCGTGTACATGTTGGCGTACACACAAAAGATCCCTTGGTAGTTGGAATTCAATATAAGAGTAGGCCGTATGCCACTGTCCGGGCAAAATTTCCCTCATATCACAATATATGTGTTATATGCCCGTCTTCATTAGCCCAGTCAGAGCAGAACAGTAGGATTCGAATTGTATATACAATGTACATGTAGAACCGAGGTCCTGTGTTCATTTTAAATGGCGTGCACAAAAAAAAATTCACAGTTGGAATTCGAAAAAAATAGATCGCAGTGATCCGTAGCACACTGCATAACATGTGTCCCTCTTCATTAGCTGGAATGAAAATTAAAAAAATACAGGATGTTAAACCCCATTTGATTTCATTTCTATTGATTGTAAGTGGACATATGTTTCGTTGCCTGTCAACCTAACATATCTGTAATATTTTAAAAATATTTTCAGGTTTGTTTATGGCAATGGCTATAAAAAGATCTGTTCGTATTGTCCAAGGGAGTATTTTAGTGATCCTGGGTACTTTTCTGGGGAATGTAATCAACAATACTTTCCACATAATAAAAGGTTAAATATCAGTGGCAGTAATAGAACATACCATCGTGTTTGTAGACAGTTTGGCAGAGAAAAAGATTTTATAAATGGTAGGTTAACAATTATGAATATTATGTGTATTGATAACATCCCAAGGCCAGTAATCACCCAGCTGTTATTTTATGTAATAACAACTCTGAGCCTATAATCACCCAGGGCCTATAATCACCCAGGTGCAATAATCAATCAGGAAAATAATCACCCATAGCCTATAATTATCCAGGGGGGTTGGATGGCTGAATGGTTAGCGTGCGCGCGCTGTATCATCAAGTCTATCATTGAGTCGACTGGCGTGGTTTCGAATCCCCGGTTGTACGTGGCAAGGAGTAGGGTCGCCTGTCCAACCTCGTTGGTTTTCTCCGGGTCCTCCGGTTTCCTCCCACTGCTAAAGACCCCTACGCGCAAGCGAATTATGCAAATAAAATTAAACCATATGTTAGTCCCGAAATGACCTAGTTTGTGTCGAGTGGACGTTAAACCCATTTCTCTCTCTCTCTCTATAATTATCCATGGGCAAACCTGTTTTAACTGTTATGTTAAAGGTAATTTAAAACAATATAAAAACTATAATAATTCCAAATATAGTCATGGAATCTAATTATTTTGTCTCCATATTAAAAATGGCAGTGGATACAATATTTTCTTGTGGGATTTTAATAGATAAGATTTTTATTAATTCATCATAAACAAATAAAACACAATATCAATAAGAATTGCACACAACTTATAGCAATATTCATAAATATTTAGGTTGCAATAATTTACATATTTAATAAATAAATGGATAAATAATCCTATTTATATAACATTACACATTGCATTTTCACACCTGGTCATGATTTAAACAACTAATAATTTCTTAATTCTGGTTCAGTATTGTGTTTAAAGCAAGAAATTGGAACATTTATCCTTTCGTACAAGTGTTAGGGCTACTTAATATAATCATAATGTCCATTCGGCTACCTGCTAGCTTATACATTTGATACATGTAAATGCAGATTTATTTTGCTGATACTAATGTGGTCTTGTTATACTAGTACCACAATATATACATAAAAGTTACATTGAATGGTACAATCACGTTGCATTTTGTGAAATCTTTGTAGTCTTCCTAGGCCTCTCTATTTTGTCTGTAGGGAGAAAAAAAATTGATCCTAGTCTAAAGCCTGAGGTGTATAGTAACATCCCAGGGACAATCAACAGCACATAGCCTATAATCACCCAGGTACAATTACAGCACATAGCCTAAAATCACCCAAGTACAATAACTACCCAGGGCCAATAATCACTCATGGACACAATAACAACCCAGAAACAATAATCACCCAGATACCATAAGTCTCTCTCTCTCTCTCTCTCTCTCTCTCTCTCTCAAAAAGACAATTTGATCAGGTGATAAGACTAGAAATCTGCATGACATTAGTTATACTGAACTTGTCAGGTGATCTATGGATGTCATAATCGGTTGCTTTGTGTTTCTATTTAGATGTTGACTGTACATTTCCATTGGATATTCAGAATGGGAAGGTCTCTCTACTTAATAATTATCTGGGTAATAATAACTACCAAGTAGACTCTAAAAGACCTGTAATAGGTACAGTGATAGAACTGGTCTGCAGTTCTGGATACACACCTGTTACCGGTAATAATACTATAGCTCTATGCCAAGTTCAGAAGAATAAACCAAGATGGTCGCAGGAATTGGTCTGTAAAAGAACAGGTAGATTGATTTCTTTTTTGTATTTAGGACTTCCCCCATATAAATAAGTGGTGGCCATTTTGATACTATGTCAGAATTGTGTAGCCTATCTAGTTTAACGTCTCAACACAATACTCTGGTCGTTTCCATGTTTACGTGTGAAATGTGATTGGCTGAATTTTGGACTGGCATCATCAATTCTTGTATGTTTATCTACAAATTACAATTTTTTTCCCATCCAAATGACTATGTACACTTCCCTTGTTAGTCCCACAATCTTTTAAAGTAAGATAAACTTTTTGCAATATCTGTCATCTGGTTGGATAGAGAGTGAATATAAAGATAAATTAGATCACTAATGATCATCAAGTTTATTGTTCTTGAGGGGTGGGGGGGGCACGGTGGCTCAGTGAGTAAGACTTTGGCTCGCTAACCTGGAGGTCCTGTGTTCAATCCCTGTATTGGCTGAGAAAGTTCATTAGGATTTTCTGTCGTGGTTCCTCCTTGTCAGTGGTGTGGGGACAATATATAGTCATTCATATGGGGTGAAAAACCGAGGTCCAGTGTACACATTGGCATGCACGTAAAAGATCCCTTGGCAGTTGAAATTCAATATTAGAGTAGGTCCTAGTGCCACTGTCCAGGCAAAATTTCCCTCCAAGCACACTGTATGGCGTATGCCCGTCCTTCATTAGCAGTCACAGTAGGACGTTTAACCCCTTTTCATTTATTTTGAGCACAGAGTAGAAATATTTGTCACTAATCTAATCTAACCTTATCTTGACCAAGGAAGTTCATCAAGATTTTACGGCATGGTTCGCCCTTGTCAGTGGTGCAGGACAGAGGGCCTGGCAAGGGTCAAGGGTCAATGTATTGTTGTTTGGATAGGATTAAAAACCAAAATCGTGTGTACACATTAAAGTTCCCTTGGCAGTTTGAAGTCGATAAGAGAGTAGGCCGTAGTGCCACTGTCCGGGAACAATTTCCCTCATTGCACACTGTATGGCTTGTGTACAACTTTATTACATAATTAGGGCAATTGGAGCGGAACAGTAGAAGGTTAAAACTCATTTCATTTCATTTCTGTCCCTTGCTTCCACAGAATTGATATCACAGACTAGAAGTAGATACCAATATGTTATACCTCCAGCAACTGATGATGAATGTGAACAAATGTCATATTGTTTATTTGTAGGTTGTTTCAGGGATATTTTCAATGAAACAAATGGGAAAGTGACATGTACAAATATATCCAATAAGGAATTGATTGCGAATGATACAATCTGCTCATTAAAATGTTTCAATGGATTTGAAACTAAGAATAAAAGAACTACTTGTTTAGAAGGAGAGTGGTCTGAGCAATTAAAATGTTCGCCCAAAACTGATACTTGTAAGTACATAGCTGAATCCAGAGCTAGGAACAAGTTTTGATTTATCTAACTCAATCATGACCACATGTAATTTGATTGTTATATATATGACTCTATCATCTCATATGTGACCCCTATATATCATCACATCTGTGACTATTATAATTACATAAGCGACTCCATCATTACATATCTGACTCTATCATTACATCATCATGTATGTGACTATCATCAAATATGTCATCTATCATTACATAAGTGATTCTATCATTAGCAGTACATGTACAACTCTATCATTGCATGTGACTATCATTACATGTGACTATCATGTCATTTGTGACTCCATCATTACATATTTGACTATCATTATTACATGTGTAAATCTACCATTATTAAATGTGTCACTCAACCATTACATGTATCACTCTATCCTTGCATGTGTCACTCTTATCATTCCATGTGCCACTCTATCATTACATGTGTCACTCTATCATTACACATTTGACTCTTATAATTAGATATACGACTTTTATCATTACATGTGTGACTCCATCATTACATGTTGCACACTAACATTGTGTCCCTCTATCATTGCATGTGTCACTATCATTACATGTGTTACTCTACCATTACATGTGGTACTCTACCATTACATGTGTCATCCTATCTGTGACTCTACCATTACATGTGTATTTTTGCCATTACATGTGTGTTTTTACCATTACATGTATGTTTTAACCATTACATGTGTCAGTCTATCATTATAAATTTTTCTCTCATCTTTACAAGTGACTCAATCATTACATGTATCAATCTAGCATTACATCTGCAACTCTATCATTAAATGTATCACTTTACCATTACATACTTTATACAGAAAGCATATAAAACGAAAATTTATTTCATTTGTCCTTAGATGTTCAGTGACTCTTTTCATTAGGTGAGTTGGTGTGTAGTGACTAACTGTTGTATAATACTCCTGTCACCCTTAATTGGAGTTATCTCCTGGGGTCTCATCCGGGGAACTGAAGGTGAATGAAGAGCGGTTCCATTGTTCTTGTGTTCGTGTCAATGCTTATCTAGCCTGGGGTATTCAAGTAGATACGGTCACAAAGTATCAAACACTAACATCGTGTGTATAATGACTCTTATCATCATGCATTTACTGACTCTATTATTATGATGTATCTACTGTCAATAATAAATCATCTACTCTACATTATCACTGTGTGTGTTGTGACTCTTTCATCATCTATCAGGGGGGTTGGGTGGTCTAGTGGTTTAATGCGTGTACGTTAAATCACAAGGTCTATCATTGAGTCCAGTGGCGTAGTTTCGAATCTCTCTCTCTCTCTCTCTCTCACATCATCTATAATGACTCTCTATCATCATTTCTATCATGACCTTATCATGTGTATTGTGTCTCAATCATAATGTGTGTTGTGACCCTAGCATTTGTTTACTGACTCCATCATGTGTCTACTGACTTTTATCATGTGTCTACTGACTTTTATCATGTGTCTACTGATTATTTAACCTTCCTAATAGAAATATGTCCTTTATTTAAAGTTGATGATTTTCAAAGCTTGTGAACTTGTAGTAGAAGTTATCTTCTTTTAAGAAGATAAAGTGTGTTTGGACATATAAAATCTTGTGTTTGGGATACAGGATCGATTTCACAACAGATTTAACAGAGGTGGATAAGTTTCTATCAATATTTCCTGATTTCGATGATAATTTCATGGTTTAATGTTATAAAATATGTTTGATTTATTTCAGCTGTCAGTACTGTTATTGTTGCAGTCATTCCAGTCACAATTGTAATTGGTATTATTGTGTTTGCAATTGTAATTTGTTGCTGTTGCAAACATAAGAAACCCAATAAAAAAGGTAATTACTTTTATGTGCCCACATTTTCATGTGAGAAATTTCCAATCAATAGAAACAGCTAACACAAAATGATGCAATTGATATTCAGATAAGTTGATATACAATATTTAATAGAATACAATATCAATAAACCATTGTTTTATCCAATTTTTTGTTAGTAAAAATACTAACTTCTTCAGGGATAAAGAACTAAATCCCAGGAGTTAGTATTTTTACTAAAGAAACGTTTGATAAAACAATGTTTTTTTGATATTGTCAAGTGTGGATCCAGACATAAAATGTCTTTTTTGATTTTTTTTTTGCTTGTTCTCTGTCCATTTCTTGCAAAATATAGGCATATCTGTTGCATGGCAACTGTTTGTTCACTCTCAAATTGTGAGTGTCAATTGTTGACTTGACTTGAATTGAGTAGAAATAGCCAATAGTATCATTGCTGTCTGTTGTTCTGTTTGTCGTCATAGCAAGATTAGTCATTGACTCATTTTCAACTTTTTTATACTCTAAACCAGTTGATGGATTTGAAGAAAATTTGGTTTGTTGAGAGGTTGATGTTTTTTTCAGATTTATTCACATTTAAGCCATCTACTTTACTTGTACTGTCTTCAGTAGCCCAGTAGACGCAGAAAAGTAGGACGTTAAACCCTCATTTCATTTTTATACACCCACAAGGGAATGTGGTTATATTTTGGTGTCCCCCCTTTCCGTCCGTTCATTCGTCGTCCACAACATTTTGTGAACAATCTAGATTGTTTTGAAATTGATATATGTTGTGTACATTAGTGAGATGAAGAATCGTATTTAATTTCAATAATTTCCATTAATTTCTTCTGGAGTTACAGGCCTCGAAATGTTTTAAAAAAAGCTGCCTGTCGACCTGTTGCAAGCGATAGGTAGCTTTTCTTCATACCTGTCACTTCAGTAAATAACCTGTCACTCTCAATTATCAAAGACTAATCCATACATGTAGATACACACACACACTCTTAAATTGTTTAGGTCTTGACGTACATTCCTCCATATAAATATCGTAATATGAAACCATTTTATTTCTTCGACATCGGAATGCTTAAAAGTACTTTAAAGTCGGCGAATCTGCTTTGGCTCAGCGCTTCAAAGATTCGTACAATTCTATCATCCGTATCCACGTCAATTCCGCCAAGTATCATGGTACCAAACTTGCGTACTAAATCGATTACTTAGCCGTTGAGGTGTAGAATTGAGATTTTAAAATATCATTAATACATTGAATATCAAAACACGAATCACACCTGTGTATGGTACCGTATTTACATGTACCGCATGCGGAGGACAGGTAATGCCCCCTGGAATTCCTTTCTCACATATCCTGTCTATATTTACGCTACAAATTATATTTATATATTAAATATATTTCCGACCTAATTAATTTGATTTGGTCAAATTGTCTTATGAATTATTCATAGCCTTTATTTATGGAAATTGTTTTAAACTTTTTAAATGATTAAATACACCAGGCAATGAGCCGTGTGCATTTCCATTCCAGCCACCACTATATTTACTGTGGTGCCGTTATGGTAGAATTGTTTCAGATGACATGGGGGGGTGTATTAAATGAATTTAGATATAACATTCACAATGCTATAAACTAGTGTTAAACAGATGAAAGCAAGCTTAGATGGTGTGAAATTCATTGTTATAAAATTGTCTACTTCCAAACTGTGTGAGTAACTGTAGCCTACGACAGAGTGAAATGTTAACAGTGCAAATGGCGGCTTTTCGCTGTATTTCTGTGCTTAATTCTTGCATTTAGAAACAAATAATTAAATGTACATGACGTGGACATGAGTATTGTGGTCTAAAGTCAATTTACTCAACATGAAGTAAAATTTAATCCACCTATCGCAAGCGATAGGTAGTTTTACTTGCTACCTCTCAGCAAAAAAAAATCGCCTGTCAGCGACAAGTAGACAGACAAACATTTCGATCCATGAGTTATGGCCCTTGCTTCACTTTGTTGAACCATATGAATGCTCGAATGACGAAAGTTCAGTCCTTCATGTTTAAGTGGAGCTTTTGCTCCTGCTCCTCTCGACGCACAACGGCTTTTCTTCGAAGGAGTTATTAAAGACTCCTGCAAATTAGCTAAATCGTTCTCCTAAATATTGAGATTAATAAATTACTGCATATATTCAAGGTATCAGGAGCTTTTTATGGCTCCTGCACAATTTTATAAACGTGAAGAACTGAAAGTTATCATCTGATCTGTATGAAATTTATATGCATCATTTAGATTAGTGAAACAAAGAATCCTTTTAAATTTCAGCAATTTCCGTTGATTACTTCTGCAGTTATGGCCCTTGTTTCACTTTGTTGCTATTTGTGAATGCTCCAATGACAAAAGTTATCATCCAATGATTCCAATCTGTATGAAATTCATACGCATCATGTAAATTAGTGAAACAAAGAATGCTATTGAAATTCAGCAATTTCCAATAATTAATTCTAGAGTTGTCACCCCTGTTTAACTTTGTTGAACCATTGTGAACACTCAAATGACGAAAGCTATCATCTTATCTGTATGAAATTTATATGCATCATTATAAATTAGTGAAATGAAGAAACCTATTGAATTTTGGCAATTTCCACTATTTACTTCTAGAGTTATAGCCCTTGTTTAATTTTGAACTATGGAATGATCAAAGTTATTAAGCCTGTCGAATTTCAACAATTTCTGTAAATTACTTTTAGAGTTAAGGCCCTTGTTTCAGTTTGTAGAACCTTGTGAACCCTCAGATGACGAAAATTTTATTCTGATCTGTATGAAATTGTCTTGTAATTGCCCCCAATTACCTACAAAAGAATAAATATGCGACAACCCTTGTCGACTGCTAGGATGATTAAGCTGCTGTGGGTGTATGTTTCATTGCCTGGCAACCTATCTTTTAAACATTAGTTGTGATTCCAAATTGAATCCATACAGATATCAAATGCTGCCTGCCCCAAAACATCTGCCAATCCCCATGTAACGAGAATAAATATTAATATAAATTGTAAATTACATGATAATACACATCGTGCCATATTCTGGTTGAGGCACCTGTTATAAGAACAGGTACAAATAGTGTGACGAATTAAACCTTGCCACTGAGAATTTTAAATGCATATTATGTTTATATCATTTAAAATATGAAGGTATTTATTGATCGATCTGTCTAGCCCATCTTCAGTGTCTTTTTCACACGACGACGGGGATTGAAATCATCGACAAATTGTCCTGTTGTTCACTGTCATCTTTAGTCCATAAAATTTAAAAACATTTTCCCAGTTTCAAGAATATTAGTAAATAATTAATAATTAATTCAGGATGTAGTGACAATTTAATGGCAAAGTTACAATTTAAGCGATACTGATCATTTTTAACAATTCTTCCAAATTATTTATATTGTTAATGATTTCACGCTCTACTGACGTTGGTTGCACTAACTGATGCAGATCAAAGAAAACTGGCAGTTTGACCTAAATAGTGAAGGGTAGTCTCAATAGTGCCGTTTTCTTAATTAGTCAATCTTACTAGTGATCAGTTCAGATTAACTCAAGTTTGTTGTTTGGAGTCAAAATTTGCTTCATAGCACACTGTATGGTGTGGACGCTCTAGCTAAATCCATGATGTTAGAAGTTTCGTATACTAAACGTTAGTGTGGGGCAGAACTTTATAAAAACCAAACAAATTCTAATGGTTTTCTGATAATTACTTAATGAGTTGTTACTCTTAATCAGATTTTAATGTATTATAAATGTTTCATTACCGTAAAAAAGTAAAAATATGTGACAACTCTTGTTGACTGCCCGGAAGATATAGCTGCTGTGGGCGTATGTTTCGTTGCCTGGCAACCTATCTTTAAATCATGTTTGTGTTATTACTCGCGCTTTTTTTTTTTTAACATACTGATGCAAATAAGCCCTCGGTCTTGACTGGCATATACGGACGACATGGAACCCATGTAATGAGGTTTAACACCCTAATTATCTGCACCAAACATGTTAATGAAGACAGGGCTTATTATAAAATATTTTATATATTGTAGCGCCGATGATGAACCATATCTGTTATGTTGATTATTATTATTTTTTAGCTTATGTGAGTGTTAGTTCTTCGTCCAGTTCAGAAGATCCTGGAGTACAAATTCCTCATGGAATAAAATCTGAAAATCCTCGAGTATCAGACAGTGGAAGCTTTGATTTAACTTCAGATCCTTTATCACCATCTGTTAGTCCACCTACATACCCTTCCATATCTGGTCCCAGCATGTCTCAATCCAACACCAGCTCGAAAACAGATTTGTCACTTGAAAGTCATATCAATTCAGATCCAGGTATGATTTCATTCACTTCGAAATGTATTTATAGTTACTATGGTTTCTGTATAACAGTTGCTATGGTTTCTGTATTTATAGTTGCTAGTCTTTCTAAATTTACATTTGCTAGGGTTTCTGTATTTACAGTTCCTGTATTTACAGTTACTATGGACTCTGTATTTACAGTTGCTTGATGATTCAGTTGCTTGGTCATTGTACTTGATAATCCAGTTATTTGGTCAAGGTACTTGATGATCCAGTAATTTGATAATTTGGGTACTTGATCATCCAGTTCATTGATCATCCAGTTAAATCTAGATTTATTAAAATATATTAAAATTTCATATTTCAGAATTAAACCCCATTCTATCACGTGAAGGTGAAGAACATGAGGAAGGTAATATTATTGTTAAACTTAACTAGCCAATCAGAGGCTGACATATATTTTGTTGTGCATGTGGTTGCTAAATTGAATTGAAAAAGAAGATGTTCCAGGTGGGGAGTGGGACATTACTGCATTAATTGACCATCAGATCTCTTGATTGATTGAAGGCAGTTAAAATTTACCAGTATTAACTGACTGTGAAATTGGCCATCTGCCTGGAGAACTTATCTGTCAGTCAATTTACAGAAATACAATTTCGTAGAATTTAACCTAAGAACACAATAGATACAGTTAAATTTTGAGGTTTTTACCTGATATTACTGACAAATTACCATGGTTTTTTAATAAGGAATATCTTGCTCCTTTTGGGACTAACATTGTTCACTATTATTTCAATAATTCGCTTGTGCATAGGGCTGTTTAGCAGTGGGAGGAAACTGGAGAATCTGGGGAAAACCATGATGTTGGACAGGTGACTCTGCTCCTTGTCACATACAAGCGGGGAATTGAAACCACAGTACTTGACTCAATGACAAACCTTATGATCTAAAGTGCATGTGTTAAACCATTGAACACCCCTCTCCCCCCTACTGACATCGAAGAAGGACCTTGCAATGTAACGATAGAGAAAAAAACATGATAGGCTTTCATAAAAATAACTGAATTATCTTAAAAGACTTTAATCCTTTTGTTTGCTGATTTTTACGATCTGGTATTGTTTTGTAGATATTAATCATGATGCATCAGGCAGGAGGAAAGAACCAATGGAACATGCAGGTAAGACTACAATCGAGTTGTGGGTATCAAATAGAGTGGATGGCTGAATGGTTAAGATCTTTCATTGAGTCAAGTGGCATGGTTTCGAATTCTCGCTTGTGACAAGGAGTAGGGTCACCTGTCCAACTTTGTGGGTTTTCTCTGGATCCTCCAGTTTCCTCCCACTGCTAAAGCCCCCTATGCACTAGCAAATTATTGAAATAAAAGTGAGCCACATGTTAGTCCTGAATTGACCTAGTTTGTGTCAAGTGGACGTTAAACCCCATTTCACTCTATCTCGTGGGTATCAATCAAAAAAAAATTCAACCATTAGCACTTACACTAGTCTAAAAACTAGGTAAAGTAAACAATGTATTCATTGATTTTTTGTGTTGCTTGCAAGGCAGCCGCATTTGCTCAGATAGTAAGACTGTGGTTCTGGGTATTTGAAATAATACTTCCGGTATTGAGTCAATTGAGTATTCCGTCATGCTGTATAATCCGGTATATTGTATCGGTCCTGTATGAGTCCACTATACATCATTGAGGATATTTTTATACAAAAGTAATTAATATAAGATATAATAATATGTGAACTATTTATATTATTCTATGAAATAATTAATATAAACTACAATAAAATGTGAAATATTTTTATATTATCATCTAGAAGTAGTTGATGAAACAGAGGTGAAACATATTTTGACCCTAGAGCCATGGAAACAAGACGAGAATCCATCACCAGGAAATAGAAAGGTTAAGGAATTAGAATTGGATGAAGAAACAATACCTAAAGTAATAGATGGGCTAGATGGACCAGATGGACCAGATGGACCATCTGGTGGCCGACAAGCTGTGAATGGAGGACACGGAATGTTAAACAGACGGCAAGAAAATGGTTGGCAAGATGAGAATCGGCCACAAGAGAATAAAAACAAAGAATTAGAATTAGATGAAATAAAGCACCCCATGTTTGAGAACACAGAAATAATACCTAAAAAAATAGATAAGCCAGATGAAACATTTGGTGGCCGACATGGAATGTTGAACAGGCAGCAAGAAAATGGTCGTCAACCAGAACAAGTGTTTCCCCCTACCCGTGATTCTGGAGTGGAAGGCAGTAATGATCTACTTTCATTACTACCATCACATCCAAGTCCGGCTGATTATTTTGTTACTGATAATGAGGGTAAGTATATATGTAGAAATAAAATAAAGGCTTTGTTAGGTCAGTGAACTCCTTGAATGAGATGTGGTATCAGATGTTATGACATAACTGGGTAGTTGTATTCACTCCAGAACAAATAAATCCTTTCCTCAATTCATAAAAATTACTAAGGGAGCTTGAAAGATCCAAAGTATCTTGCCATGATATACAAAATGATAATGTCAGATCTCTCAATAAAATAATTCTGTCAGATCTCTCAATAGAATAATTCTGTAAGATCTCTTAATAAGATAATTTTGTTAGATCTGTCACTAAAATAATAGAATAATTCTGTCACATCTCTTTCTAAAATAATAGAATAATTCTGTCAGATCTGTCACTAAAATAATCCTGTCAGATTTTTTATTGAAATAACCCTGTCATATCTGTCAGTGAAATAATAATCCTGCCAAATCCTCCTTAATAAGATGATAGAATAATTCTGTCAGATCTCTCAATAAAATAATATAATAATTCTGTCAGATGATCTGACTCGGATCTCTCAATAAAATGATAGTGCCGCTGCCCGGGCAAAATTTCCCTCATAGCACACTGTATGGCGTATGCCCGTCTTCATTAGACCAGCATAGGAGCAGAACAGTAGGACGTTAAACCCCATTTCATTTCATTTACACATGTGAGACATTTCTGTAAAGATATGTTACTTGTATAAAAGCCCCACACACCTTAATTCTATTACCATTCTTGTACTTTTTCACTAATCCTCAGACTCTGTGTCTTTATATATCTGTATGAAAGCTGACAGTAAATAATGTTATTTATGATTATCCAGACGTTCTGAATGTTTATCACTATATGTCTAAAAATCATTAACTAATAAACATTAATTACATTCTTTCATCTTGTTCAGAGAAAATGTTCTGGGTATGATATAGATCCATAAGCGCTGGACACACTAACTGAATCACTCACCGAATCAAAGCCGCCGAAATTCGCCTAGTGTGTCCAGTGTTGTTTGACCAAATTTCTATTCGCCAAAATCAAACATGTTTAATTTATTCAACTGAATTTTCATTCGCTGTGTTTATATTTGCCTTGTTTGTCTGCTTCACACCAAGGCATCCACTTGATGGTAGAATTCATGAGCCAATCACCACTGATGTCGAGAAGTCACATGATTTTTTGAAGACATTGTCACTGCCTTGTTTAATCATTTGACGTGAAAGGTGATGAAATCGACTGGGGAATTGAGCAGAGAATTAGTTGATTGATTGGCTAGTGTGTCTGCCGCTATAAATAACTACTGACCAATTGTGGTCATACCTACTGTCTAGATGATCTGCCCATGTAATTGTTATCGTTCCCACTGTCTAGATGATCTGTTCATGCTAATCATAGTCGTACCATCTGTCTAGATGATCTGTCCATGTTAATCGGTGGTACCCATTGTTTAGATGATCTGTCCATGGTCATACCCACTGCCTACATGTAAATGATCTGTCCATATCAATAAAGTTTATATTTTAATCATTCCCAGCTTATGTGCGAAAGCGAATTATTGAAATAAAATTGGACCATGTATTAATCCCAAACTGACCTCTCTCTCTCTCTCTCTCTCCCTCTCAAAATTTTTAGATTTTTACAACTATTCTGGTTATTTAAGAACTGATTAATGAGAGCAAATAATTCTAGCTTATACATTATAGACTCTTTGTCTCTTACAGAAACCGGTTTTCCAGAAACTAACCATCATTTAAATCACACACAAATGCCCAGTAGTGAAATGACGAAAATGTTGAAAACAAATCCAGAACCATTATACCCAGGTAAAGTCAAATTAACATTTCTTAGATCTTTACATCATTCCACCAGCCTACATTCATTCCACCATTTATCATGGTTGTCTGTCATTTCACCCTTTATTGTGGTTGTCTGTCATTACACCCTTTATCATAGTTGTCATTCCACTGTTTGTTTTGGTTGCCTGTCATTCCACCCTTTATCATGGCTGTATGGCATTCCACTAGTTATCATAGTTGTCTGTCATTCCACCAGCCTGCAGTCATTCCACCATTTATCATGGTTGCCTGTCATTCCACTGTCTATCATGGTTGTATGTCATTCCACTTTTTATCATGGTTGTCTGTCATTCCACCGTTTATTTTGGTTGTCTTCCACCTCTTTTTTTTTTAAAAAATAGGTTCGTCTGTCTGTCCGTCCGTCCGTCTGTCTGTCCATCACACTTTTTGGGACACAATAACTCTCTGTCTAATTGAGCTAGAATGTTCAAACTTGGTGTAGGTGTTTATTATTTCAATGCCTTGATGCAGTTCGAAGATGGGCATTTTTTGCTTATGGTAGCATAGATAAGCAATTTGATTGGTTAATGCTTTGGGACCTGATAACTTTAGTTCTAATTAAAAGGGAGAGTGAGGACACTTGGTGTATAGCTTTATTATATCAATACCTTGACTTAAGTCTCGATAATGAGCATTTTCTGCTTAGGGTAAGCAGAGCGATAAGCAATTTGATTGGCCGAGACTTTGGAACACATTAACTCCTTTTCTAATTGAGCTAGAATGTTCAAACTTGGTGTAGGTGTTTATTAGGTTAATGTCTTGATGGAGTTCGAAGATGAGCATTTTGTGCTTAGGTTAAGTCGAGACTTTAGAACACAATAACTCTCATTCTAGTTGAGTTAGAATGTTCACACTTGGCATAGGTGGCTATTAGGTGAATGCCTTGATGGAGTTTGAAGATGAGAATTTTTTGCTTAGAGTAAGCAGGGATAAGCAATTTGATTGGTTGATGCTTTGGGACACGATAACTTTAGTTCTAATTAAGTGAGAGTGAGGACACTTGGTGTATAGCTTTATTATATCATTACCTTGACTAAGTTTGATAATGAGTATTTTCTGCTGTCATGTCATGGCTGAGTTCAATTATTAACATTGGTCGATGCTTTGGGACAAGATAACTTTGATTCTATCTGATAGATAGTGCTGAAACTTAGTGTATAATTTGATTGCTCGATACTTTTGGAAAAATAAATGTGCGATTAATTAATGTGTCATCTATTTATTTTGGGATTTCAGCGGGGGACATCAGCCTCACTGTTGGCTTGTTTTTTTTGGGTTGTCTATATATTAATCTACCAGCCTGCAGTCAATCGACTGTTTATTACGAAAATTGTTTGCATATCTCATTTTATACAGGTCACAATTCTATGGAATGCAATTACTGCTTATTGCTGAGCAACGTTTCAACTAGTCATTATCAAGCAATGATAAAATATGAAAATATGATAAGCCAATATATACATGTACACAACAATAATTAGTTAATGCTGACCAACCAGAGATACCCCTTAATTACATGTACCTAAAGGGAATCTAATTTAATTAAGGATTATAAAGTTTAATGCTAATAATAATAATAATGATAATAATAATTTTAATACATTTATAAAGCGCACACATTCAATAAGACCAATTTACCTGAAAATTAACAGAAATTGATTAATTGATTAATGGATAACTTGTTATGGAGTATATACAATGATTTATTAGGTTTTAATAATGACAAACGATCAAAGAAGATGAAATTTGATAAAATGCTATTAATGACCACTTTACCTGACTAGGGAAGCCTAGTCGAAATGTCACTCAGTAATAAGCAGTACTTGTATTCCATAGAATTGTCACCTGTATACTCTAGTCCAATTACTAAATGGCATTGAAACAATATGTCTCATTATACGCCCACATTTTCATGTGGACGTATTTTGTCGTAGCCCCTGTCCGTCCGGATGTCCGTCCGTCCGTCCACAATTTGTTTGTGGACTCTCTACAGCACAGGTCACAATTCTTGTCCGATTTTTACGAAACTTGAAATATAGGTTTATCCCCAAAAGATCTTGGCTGCTTTCGATATTGGCATGTATCGAATCGAAACTTCATGGATTATGGCCCCTGTTTGTACGAAAAATCACGTTTTTAGCTTGTGGACCCTATAGAGGTCACAATTTTTATCCGATTTTGTTGAAACTTGAAATGTAAGTTTATAACCCAAAAATCTCGGTTCCTTTCTATATTCGCGCATATCGGACTGTAACTTCCTGAATTATGGCCCCTGATTGTACGAAAAATCGCGTTTTTAGCTTGTGGACCCTATAGTGGTCACAATTTTTATCCGATTTTGTTGAAACTTGAAATGTAAGTTTATAACCCAAAAATCTCGGTTCCTTTCGATATTCGCGCATATTGGACTGGAACTTCCTGAATTATGGCCCCTGATTTAAAAAAATGTATTATTATATCACCGTTACACCCTAAGGACGACTGAGTTCGAATTTCGTGAAAATCGGCCCAAAATTGACAGACAAAATGGCTGCCGTTCGTTCTCAAATAGCGTAAAAATGTGGTATATCAAGGTTGTGGACCCTATAGATGGCACAATTTTTATCCGATTTTGTTGAAACTTGATATGTAAGTTTATAACCCAAAGATCTCGGTTCCTTTCGATATTCGCGCATATCGGACAGTAACTTCCTGAATTATGGCCCCTGATTGTACGAAAAATCGCCTTTTTATACGCCCACATTTTCGTGTGGACGTATTATGCCGTCGCCCCTGTCCGTCCGTCCGTCCGTCCACAATTGTTTGTGGACCCTCTACAGGTCACAATTCTTATCTGATTTTGACGAAACTTGAAATATAGGTTTATCTCCAAAAGATCTCGGCTGCTTTTATATATTCGCATGTATCGGATCAAAACTTCATGGATTATGGCCCCTGCTTGTGGACCCTATAGAGGTCACAATTTTTATCCGATTTTGTTGAAACTTGAAATATAAGTTTATAACCCAAAGATCTCGGTTCCTTTCGATATTCGCGCATATCGGACCGTAACTTCCTGAATTATGGCCCCTGATTGTACGAAAAATCGCGTTTTTAGCTTGTGGACCCAATAGAGGTCATAATTTTTATCCGATTTAAAAAAACGTATTATTATATCACTGTTACACCCTAAAAACAGCTGAGGTCGAATTTCATGAAAATCGGCCCAAAATGTACAGACAAAATGGCCGCCGTTCGTTCTCAAATAGCCTAAAAATATGGTATATCAAGGTTGTGGACCCTATAGAGATCACAATTTTTATCCGATTTTGTTGCAACTTGAAATGTAACTTTATAACCCAAAGTTCTCGGTTCCTTTCGATATTCGCGCATATCGGACCTTAACTTCCTGAATTATGGTCCCTGATTGTACGAAGAATCGCGTTTTTAGCTTGTGGACCCTAAAGGTCATAATTTTTATGAGATTTAAAAAAACGTATTATTATGTCACCGTTACACCCTAAGGACGACTGAGTTCGAATTTCGTGAAAATTGGCCCAAAATTGACAGACAAAATGGCCGCCGTTCGTTCTCAAATAGCGTAAAAATATGGTTGTGGACCCTATAGAGGTCACAGTTTTGATCCGATTTTGATGAAACTTGAAATACATATTTATAACCCAAAGATCTTGGTTCCTTTCGATATACGCACATTTTGGAACATAACTTCCTGAATTATGGCCCTTGATTGTACGAAAAGTCGCGTTTTTAGGATGTGATCCCTCTAGATGTCACAATTTTTATCCGATTTTAAAAAACATTTGAATATATCCCTGTCAAACCCTTATGATGGTTGAGTCCGAATTTCGTACAAATCGGACCAAAACTGCCGAACAAAATGGCTGCCCCTCGTACGCAAATATTGTAAATATATTGTATATCAAGGTTTTGGACCCTCTAGAGAGTGGACACAATTTTGATCCGATTTTGATGTAACTTGAAATACATGTTTATAACCCAAAGATCTTGGTTCCTTTCAATATTCATGCATATCAGATTGTAACTTCCTGAATTATGGCCCTTGATTGTACGAAAAAATCACTTCTTTTTTTGAGCTTGTTCTCTGTCCATCTCTTGCAAAATGTGGGCGTATCTTGCATGGCAACCGCTTGTTTTAATAATCAATTTGCTGCCCTGCCCTGCCCTGCCCTGCCTTGCCCTGCCCTGCCCTGCCCTGTTTGTGTAAGAAATGACTGTCTTGTTATATTATAGCCAGAGATATTGTTTTATATCATATATTTATGTCATATACATCAACTCAATCTAAAACGTTTTCTTTTTTCAGATTATTTAAAAGAATAGAATAAGAAGAAATGTTATCAAGAACTATTTTTTATGATCTTCTTTTTCTTAAATCTTAGGCTCAAAGTCTATACAGTACATTATAGATGTTTTCCAGTGGAATAAACATAACAAAAGTAAAACGGAAGGCAATATTATATCAATGTAACCCAGGTATCGCTTAATCTTGCATATTTAGCCCTAATTTGTTTCACATTCATTCAATCTCGCCCCAAATCATATAATTTATACTTGTGTCCAGTGTAAAGTCGATCATTTAATATATAAGCGTTTAATTTCTTAAACAGCAGTCAGGAAATTAAACTCTTGTAAATTGTAAAAATGAATTGATATTGAATGAATGTGAAAGAAATTAAGGGTAAAAAAGAAAGATTAGACAATACCCACGTTACAGTGTAATCAGGGTACTGGAGCCACATTACAACTACAATGTGATAGGGGATTGGTCTATAAATAATTCCAAATAACTTACATTTTTTGATTTCTGTAAGTTTGTTAATCAGCAATAATTAGGCCATTGAAGACTAGAAAAATACTAATAACTGAACTATGTCAATTATTAATAATCTTTTTAAACCGTCTTCATTAGCCCAGTAGGAGCAGAACAGTAGGACGTTAAACCCCATTTCATTTCATATCTTTTTAAAATCTATTACTTGGAAAGATGGAATCTGTCACAGTCATTTTCAAGCACAGATTAATTAATGTCTGACATATTGTTATGTGTATCTATACTCTTCAAAAAAAAGTAGGGGATATTCAAATGCAAATACCTATGCAGGTTGTGATATGATAAATGGTCATGACACTTGACATGCTTTGAGAGAATGTTCACAGATGAAGAACTTATCGCCCCAACAGAACCACTGAGCTGCATGTGCGACACGCAATAGCGCCATACACTGGGAGGGGTTCATTGTCAAATTTGACACTTCAAGGAAAGGGTGCTGGTTTATCCTATCCATGTTTGCTTTCCTATCGGTTCTTGCATAAGATTTACTGTTTTGCGTATCTTTGCTTTAGTGTGTTACGTTTAATTTGATCGGGAGACGTGTTTGTCGACGTCAATAGACAACACTGCAAGAATTGGCCGTGGCACTGCAAGAGGAGTGGGTCAGATTGCCCCAAATCGTGATTGGATGTTTGATTAGGAGCATGCCACGACGAATTGCTGAATGTCTGAGGATTGGTGGAGCAATTACTCATTATTAAGACAAAAATCAAAAACGTCCATTTTCAATTTTGACAGTGTATCTCTTTGCGAGTGAAATGGGGCCGTCAGATAAGCCGCCCATATGAACTGTTTATGTTCATGTGTAGGCAATTGGCCTGTTATTAACATACACTGATTACCTCTAATAAAAACAGCAGTGCATTGTTGCAGTTTTGTATTGTTTCTGAATATCCCCTACTTTTTTTGAAGAGTATATAATCAATATTTCCAGAGCTATATATATCTGTTATGTTATGTTTGTTAAATTATATTTCTTTCATTCATGTATTAAAATTATTTATCTGAGTATTTACAAACCCTATGATAAAGGTTACAATAATACATAATTATTTGTTACACAGAATTGTTAAATTAAATGATATATAGTTAAAGATGCATTATGTAAGAACTAAAGATGCCTAATGTAGATCTTTCGTTTGGCCTCAAATGTTAAATAAATCATTAGTTAGACATTTATTCATATGCCAAACCCATAATCAACTCTCTAGACCATCTAATGGCTTAAATTTCAACAGAGTTTCATGCGATTGGCAGTAAATGATTTAATTTAAAAATGGATAATAAACAATCTATGTCAAAACTTCAAACAGTAAAGTAATTTGAATGAAGTTTTCAGTATATTAATTTTGAATTATCTATTTTAAAATTATTATAGCAAGAACTATCAGCTCTTTATCTCAATCTTACATAATGAAATCTTTAAGTATTACAAACCCTGTGATAAAGTTAAACTATTACACAGTTATTTGTTATACTGAATTATTAAATGATATACAATGTATAGTTAAAGTCTCTCATGGTCATTTGAACGAAAAGTTGAATCTCTAAAAGGAATTTCGGTCTGAAAATGATATATAGGATATAGTCAATGCAAGCCAGCTCTCAATATAGGGAGCCACTGTGGCTAAACAGGTGAGATGCTGGCTCGCTAGTCTGAGGGATTCGCGGGTTCGCTCCCAGTGTTGGCCGAGAAAGTTTATCTGGATTTTCCGACGTGGTTTCCCCATGTCAGTGCTGCACAAGATGGAGGGCTTGACAAGGACAGCTGTCTAGTTGTTCGGATGGGACAAAAAAACAAGGTCCCGTGTATACATTAGCATGCATGTAAAAGATGACTGCAAATTTAGATATAGTAAGAAAAATGTGAATTATGATCAGCTACTTTAATAAGAAGCTGTTTTTTTGCTATTGAAGTTTGAATTGAATAAAAGAATATTTTAAAATAGAATAAATTGGAGAAAATTATAAATATTTTATATGTTTTTATAAATATTTATAGAGATATTTTATAGAAATGTTTATAGTAACTAATGTATTTATATGAATATGATATGACCAGGGAGGTTGATTGTTTACCAGAATATCGTCAGATATAAAAATGTTTTTTATATATATATCTGACAATAGTTGAAGGTTTATATATAATATATCTCTTTAAATTTGTATTTAAATTTGTATATATATATAAATATATATATATATCTGTTATACTAATTTTGAACAAAAGGGGGTAGGGTCCCTTGTCCAAACTCAGGTTGTTATTGTTCTTAGCGTTTTACGTCAACTTCCACCGCAGGTGATATCGCAGACAAATTGTCTTATTTTCATTTTTTTATTATCTTAGCACATGCACAGGGATCTTTCCTGTGGGAGGAAACTGAAGTAAACCCACGAGGTTGAGAAGGCACCCCTTTGCTTCCACTGCTAAATACCCCTATGCATAAGCAAATTATTGAAATAAAATTGAACCATATCATATATTAGTCTTGAAATAACCTAGTTTGTGTCAAGTGGACGTTAAACCCCATTTCTCTCTATCTCTGTGTTTTGTTTTGTATATATCTTTCTAGTCATAACAAGATACATTTTCCACATTCATTTCACAAGACTATGTTAGTTTGTAATAATAGCCAAAATAAATGCCAGGATTAAAATTAAATACAGAGTTTCTCAGAAATAGGACCCAACATGCTAGAATTAGAATTAAATACAGAGTTTATCAGAAATAGAACCCAACATGCTAGAATTAAAGTTAAATACACAGTTTTTTCACACGCTAGAATTAGAATTAAATACAGAGTTTATCAGAAATAGTACCTAACCTGCTAGAATTAAAGTTAAATACAGAGTTAGTAGAAAACGCTTCAAGGTGTTCTTAAAACTTACGAATGACGACCTGTCGGAAGTATTTTACCTGCACTTGATCGCTGTAGTATAGGCCTACCTTCCACTGTTTCGCGGTAAGGGCATGTTCCAAGTTCACCTAATAGACATTCTCTTCAATAATAATAATAATAATAATAAGCGGTGAATATGTTATGTATCAAATTTTTAAAAAATCTTATAAATTCTGCTAGCATATATTTTTTTTTTTTTTAAATTTTGATAAAATAAATGACAAGTTTTTTTTTCTTATCAATGCTGCCGATAAAATTAAACAGGCGAACAGCGTTAATAACACTCTTTAAATTTCAATAAACTTATATTTTCATACAGTACGGTATTAAAAAATTGCCGTCGTCAATTGTTCCGGACGGCAATTTATGCTGTTGACATTTTTGGCTAATTGCCAGAACTGTATGTGACTATTTGTTTTTGCCCACAATGGAATGAAACTCGCAATTTTTGGGTCAGATTAAGGCTTTTAGATTTAAGTTTCTCGTACCCTTCAAAGTTTCAAGCCTGAGCGGGGGGGTCCAGACCCCCTGCCCCCCCCCCCTCTGGAACTGCGCCTGCTATTATAGCAAGAAAGGCCAGCTCATTACCTAAATCTTACATTATGCATCTTTAATAAAGGTGGAGGTGGGCTGATAATGAAGCATACACACCCAAACCCGACACCAAAAAGAATCCTGGATCTCCTTATGATGTTTAACCAAAGAATATTATGTATATTAACTACTTCATTCCTGGTATTTTATATATTAATTTGTTGAACATTTGTTAATTAATAAGATCATGTTATTTTAATCTGAGGGTTTGATATTTCTTATGAATTGGAAAAGTCAAATTTGAAACCAAATTTGAATAATATGCCCACAATAAATTAATGAAAAATGGGAATGTGTTCTGGTAATATTATTAATCTTAAAAAGTCGAGTTGGCTCACTAATGAGAAGGTCTTGGGTTTGCTCCAAGTATTGTCCGAGAAAGTTTCGCTGGATTTCCCTGCATGGTTTCCCCCTTGTCAGTGGTGCAGGACATTATCTAGTCATTTGGATGAGAGATGCTAGGTTGTAAGTGCTCTTTGGCGTGCACATAAAAGAACCTTTGGCAGTTGCATAGCACACTGTATGGTGTAGTAAACATGTCTTCATTATCCCAGTCACTGCTGAAAAGTAGGATGTTAAACCTGATTTAATTTTATTTGGGTATTAATATTCATTTTGAGCCTTGTTATAAAACAGACTAGTATTTTGATAATAAAGATATTTTGATTAAAATTGATATTTTATTTCTGGTAGTTTGAACATTTTACAATGAATGTGTATCTTTTCTGGATCTCAACTTCTATGAATATATTTGTTATTCATCTTTTAACTGTTAATGATTTTCATTTTATGGTGTAACTATTGTATAGTTTTATGTATATATTATTGCACATATATAAATTATTAAACAATTTATAGCTTAATGCACAAATCATACACTCAAGTTATGTGATCAAATCACAGATTTGTTCATGTGTGGTTTTTATTCTAGGGCTTTATCGAAGGTTAATCAAGTGATTGGCAGACTTACACTGCCTAACAACCCAGTTAATATTATTACCATTATCCATAGAATTAGAAAATGACTTCACAAAAATTCATCTTCACAATGTTAAGATTACCAATGACTACGATACTACATTAGCTATTGTTTCATATTGCCATCACCCTGTCTGTTCGTTTAAGCAATATTCCTACAATTACTCCTAGAGATTCTGCCTTTGTTTGTATTATTGAAGTCACATTAATGATTTTATTAAGATTCAGCCGAGATATGTATTTATTTTGAATGTTTTCCATGGCTTCTTGTCAATTATATGCTTAGTGAGTAGGACCAGACCAGGGTTGGGTCAAGAAAGTCCATCAGAAATTTCAGCATGGTTCTCCCATCGCCAGTGATGCAGAACAGATTGCCTGGCAAGGAACAGCGACAAGTCTTTCAGATCTGACGTAAAACAGGATCCTGTGAATACCATTGACAGCACATTAAAGATTCGATGGTAGTTGTAAATTGAAATAGAAGGCTGTAGCATAGCTGCCCTGATAAAATTGCCCACATAGCACACTGTATATAACATATGTCTGTCTTCATTAACCCAGTTGTTGATGAAAAGTAGGATGTTAAACTCCATTTCATTTCATTTCAACTGAGTTGTATAGTAAATGAGCTTTTTATCGGGACACTTTGGATGCCTAGTAGATTTAATACAAAATAAATAAATAATGTTTACATATACGGTCCATGAATTTACAACGAAATGTACAAGCCATGATTTTACACAGAAACTAATCATATTAGATGTTTTTTAGAACAAATATTTCCAGCTTTTATTTGGACAAGAATGTCCAACATTCATATGTCCCAATATGCCTCATGTTAAATGTTGTCTATATGATTTTTATACGCCCACATTTTCATGTGGACGTATATTGTCGTCGCCCATGTCCTTCCGTCAGTCCGTCGACAATTGTTTGTGAACAGTCCACAGCTCACAATTTTTATCTGATTTCAACGAAACTTGAAATATAGGTTTATATCACCCTAAGATCTCGGTTCCTTTCGATATTGGCATGTATCGGACTGTAATTTTTATCCGATTTGGTTTAAACTTGAAATGTATGCTTATAACCCAAAGATCTCGGTTCCTTTCGATATTCGCGCATATCGGAATGTAACTTCCTGAATAATGGCCACTGATTGTACGAAAAATCATGTTTTTTAGCTTGTGGACCCTACAGAGGTCATAATTTTTATCCGATTTAAAAACCATATTATTATACCGTTACACCCCAAGGACGACTGAGTTCGAATTTCGTGAAAATCGGACCAAAACTGACAGACAAAATGGCCGCCCTTCGTTCTCAAATAGCGTAAAAATATGATATATCAAGGTTGTGAACCCTATAGAGGTCACAATTTTTATCCGATTTTGTTCAAACTTAGTTTATAACACAAAGATCTCGGTTCCTTTCGATATTCGCGCATATCAGACCGTAACTTCCTGAATTATGGCCCCTGATTGTACGAAAAATCGCATTTTTAGCTTGTGGACCCTATACGGGTCATAATGTTTATCCGATTTTAAAAGACGTATTATTATATCACTGTTACACCCTAAGGACGGCTGAGTTCGTATTTCGTGAAAATCGGCCCAAAACTTACAGACAAAATGGCCGACCCTTGTTCTCAAATAGCGTAAAAATATGGTATATCAAGGTTGTGGACCCTATATAGAGGTCACAATTTTTATACGCCCACATAGAAATGTGGTCGTATATTGCCGTCGCCCCCGTCCATCCGTCTGTCGGTCGGTCCGTCGTCCACAATTTCTTGTGAACACTCTACAGACTACATTTATCATCTGATTGTTTTGAAATTGATATATGTTGTTTGCATTAGTGAGATGAAGAAGCCTATTTAATTTCAATAACTTCCGTTAATTTCGTCTGGAGTTATGGCCCTTGTTTCACTTTGTTGCACATTGTGAACGCTCTAATGACAAAAGTTATCAACCGATCTGTATGAAATTTATATGCATCATTTAAATTAGTAAAACAAAGAAGCCTATTGAATTTCAGCAATTTCCGTTAATTACATCTAGAGTTATGGCCCTTGTTTCACTTTGTTGAATCTTGTGAACGCTCTAATGACAACAGTAATCATCCGATCTGTTTGAAATTGGTATGCATCATTTAAATTAGTGAAATGAAGAATCCTATTGAATTTCAGCAATTTCCTTTAATTATGCCGTGAGTTATGGCCCTTGTTTCAATTTGTTATACCTTGTTTATGCTCTAACGACAAAAGTTATTATCCGATCTGTATGAAATTTATATGCATCATTTAGAGTAGTAAAACAAAGAAGCTTATTGAATTTCAGCAATTTCTGTTAATTACATCTAGAGTTATGGCCCTTGTTTCACTTTGTTGAATCTTTTGAACGCTCTAATGCCAACAGTTATCAACTGATCTGTTTGAAATTGATATGCATCATTTAAAGATGCCTATTGAATTTCAACAATTTCTGTTAATTACACCATGAGTAATGGCCCTTTTTTCACTTTGTTGTACCTTGTGAATGCTTTAACGACAAAAGTTATTATCCGATCTGTATGAAATTTATAGGTATCGTTTAAATTAGTAAAACGAACAAGCCTATTGATTGAGTTTCAGCAAATTTCCGTTAATTACATCTAGAGTTATGGCCCTTGTTTCACATTGTTGAAATTAGTAAAACGAACAAGCCTATTGATTGAGTTTCAGCAAATTTCCGTTAATTACATCTAGAGTTATGGCCCTTGTTTCACATTGTTGAATCTTGTGAACGCTTGAACGACAAAAGTTATCATCCAATCTTTATGAAATTCATATGCATCATTTAAATTAGTGAAATGAAAAAGCCTATTGAATGTCAGCAATTTCTTTCAATTACCTCTAGAGTTATGGCCCTTGTTTTACTTTGTTGAACCTTGTGAACGTTCGAACAACAAAAGTTATCATCCGATCTGTATGAAATTGATATGAATTATTTGAATTAGTAAAACGAAAAAGTCTGTCGAATTTCAACAATTTCTGTAGATTACTTCCAGAGTTACAGCCCTTGTTTTAGTTTTTAGAACCTTGTGAACCCTCAAACGACGAAAATTATGTCATCTGTATGAAATTGTCTATTAAATGCCCCCTAATTACCTACAAAAGAATAAATATACGACAACTCTTGTCGACCGCTCGGACGATTTAGCTGCTGTGGGCGTATGTTTAGTTGCCTGGCAACCTATCTTTATCCGATTTTGTTGAAACTTGAAATGTAAGTTTAGAACCCAAAGATCTCGGTTCCTTTCGATATTTGCGCATATCGAATTGTAATTTCCTGAATTATGGCCCTTGATTGTAGGAAAAATCACTTTCTTTTTAGCTTGTTCTCTATCCATCTCGCGTAAATGTGGCGTATCCTGCCTGGCAGCCGCTGGTCTGTACTGGTAAATGTTGTCTATATGATTTTCTGTATTGGTAAATGCTGTCTATATGTTTTTCTGTACTGGTAAATGTTGTCTATATGGTTTTTTGCACCTGTACTGGTAAATAAAGACTGATCTATTCTACTGCTAAATGCTGATTATATAATTTCTTGTAAATGCTATTTTATTCTATATCATATATCATTTCTATCTTCTTATATAAAATATATATTTTATACTTTGATGTGTTATTTCTGAAGGGGGACACGGTGGCTAAGTGGGTAAGATGCTGGCTTGCTAGCCTAGAGGTCGGGTGTTCGATCCCAGCATCGGCTGAGAAAGTTCATCCAGATTTTCCGGCATGGTTCCCCCTTATCAGTAATGCAGAACGGAGGGTCTGTCAAGGACAGCTGTCTAGTCGTTCATATCGTACGAAAAACCAAGGCCCCGTGTACACATTGATGTACACGTAAAAGATCCCTTGACAGTTGGAATTCGATATATGGGGTAATGGGGTGTACATTTTATGCAGGATGAAGGGCCTGGCAAGTACAGCGTCTAGTGCAAATGCCCCCAGTCCCAGTAGGACAAGTCCTCTAAAGCACAGGGACCCACTGTCCTTAATTGTCTTTAAAATGTATTTCCATAATATACCTTTTCAAGCCTTCAGTAAGTTCAGGGCTGAGATTCAAAATGTGTTTAGTGTTCAATGAGGTCTGATGGTGTTGAAATGATCACAGGACCAAGGATGTCAGATTTCTTCATTTCTGCATCAGAATTTTAAAAAAAATTGTATGGGTGGAAAGATCACCACCTTGCCCATCGAACATTCTGGTGCCACTGGTCTCAACACTGACAATGGTAAACATCTTATATTCTAACAGAGTCGTCCTTGGATACCAAAGTTCAAAATAAATATACATCACTGATACTCACAATACTTAGTCATCATAATAACTTGAACATGATAATTCAAAAATCCAAAATGATATATTATTTTTTTTATTCTTGGCTAATACATGTTATATATATATATATTAATTAGTTAATGATATATTTCTGATCCTCTCTAACAATATACAAATTTCATTTACACTCTTAATATTAACATACTGACTGAAAATGGTTGATTTAATGAGACAGTTTCGACAATTGAGGAGGGGGTCTAGTGAAATCATAAGGTCTGTAATTGAGTCAAGTGGTATGGTTTCAATTCCCAGCTTGTATGTGACAAGCAGTAGGGTTGTCTGTCCAATGAATTTAAACCATATGTTAGTCCCGATATGACCTAGTTTGTGTCAAGTGGACGTTAAATCCCATTTCTCACTCTCGTTCACACTCTTAAACATACATTATGCAAGAGCTAAATCTGCTTATTATTGCAGGTCTTTGGTCTGAAGATTTATTCAGACCATTATCAACTCTCGATGTCATGGCTAGCCTGTGATATTTACTGGATTAGGATCCAATTTGCTACTCAACTTTCATTCATGATTTTATCATGAAATGGATAATCGAGACTATGTTTTTTATCGTACCGATTTTAGTAATGTTGATCAGGGCTAGGCTGAAAATTCAATCGCTAAATTCTTGGTTCAGAGTGGATCAATTTGACTGAAGTTTTCAGCAAATTCCCTTTACATTATCTTGTTTTTACCTATAATAGTAGGAACTGCCAGCTCTTTATCTAATCTCCCATATTGTATCTTTAACATTAAAAAACTGACTGAAAATGGTTAATTTATTATGAGACAGTTTTGACAGATATTTTCTCGCTTGCTTCCTCATCAATGGACTACAGTGATATCAGGTATGGTCAAATTAGATTGTATGTGAAATCAGGGAAATATAAGTCTTATACAACCTATTTGTTTCCATGGAAACCAACAGCTATTCAATAAGTAAATCAGTCAGGTCTTGGGTGTTTTAAGGAGGAATGTCTTTAACTCCACAGTCTTCGACATTGCAAATATTTTTAAAGACAAAATGAAAATTTTAAATTGGTACACAAATAGCGTACAAGAATGCTTTCGAGTGCCATTTGTAATGAAGTAACTCGATGAATGAGGCTAAACATACTCCACAGGAGAATACAGGGATATAAGTCTATTTGGCATTAAATTTACTCATCGTACACAGCAACTTTCACATTTAAAATAATTTGTTAAAGCCATCAGGAGAAAGGAAATAATGTTCTCTTGATGGTCAGCACTCGATTTTGGAGTAACTTGCTTTCTTAATATACAAATCTATTTTACAAATCATTAGATAATCTATAATTCACAGAACACAATTCTATGGAATAGGGTCTACATTTAGACCTGTTTATTATTACTGAGTCCCATATTTACTATACCTAGTTCTAAAGACATAATGATAAGGACTAGAGAATCCTAGTAGAAACATCATTCAGTAATAATAAACAGTAAATATATTCAATACAATTGCGACCTGTGTATTTCGAGTTTAATTACTAAATGCAATTGAAACAATTCACAATACAAAAAGCTGTTTAGGGCACATAGTGGTGGGGTATACTAGGTGGCCAGTCAGGATGTATAGAGTAGTCTCCCCTAGCAGAATGAAATCGTAACTTGGGTTGTTTAGGAGGATGTAAAATTCTTCGTCGTAAACCGAGTATGTCCATAGAATATGGCAGAGTGTTAGTGACAGCTGGATAATTTGGTTGATGATCACTCCCGTACAATTTACTGTGTTCTAAAAAAAAAGATTTGAGTTAATTTATAACAGAGAGACTTAGATAGGAGAGCGGAGACGAGGATATGGACTCACCTTAGTTCAGCCGCTGCTGTGGCAGAGGGGTGTAATGGTTGTTTTAATAGTCATGTACTCTGTGTTAATGTTTTATATTCTGTTATCACTACAAGGTTAATATTACCTTAATCTCAACCCCTAATAACTAAAAGCGATAATTGCATTTTTTTTTAAAAGTGATATGTTTAAAATATGTTAAAATAAAGCCTTAAAATACATGGCATCTATACACGCAGTCCTACTTTGTTAAAAGAATAATCCTATATCCTATAATTCACTTGGCAAATATATCATTTACTTTTTAAATCCAATGTTGTATCTTTGAAAAGTCTCACTTAACCAGGACCTTGACAATCGAGACAACTCCCTCTTCCATTGTGTAGACTTAGTTTTCCAGTGAAAAGAAATGATACAATTTCCAAATACTGTTTGCAAAGAGAAATCATTTCAAATTCTAATGTGAATGTTTTTTTGTTGTATAGTAGTGATTTGACAACCTAGATTAGAAATAATTATGTTTTGACGTTCTTAGAAAATATGCAATTATGGCTTTAAGGACAGGAATAGCCACTTTAAAACATCAATAATTGGTATGGGTATATAGTCTGGAGATGAATGAATATATTTCTATATACTAACCGTGAGGACCAGAATATTTCATCCATCTATATGTTGATGGAAGGGCTGATTTTGCTCGTGATGGGTCTCCGTACTGAAATACATATCAAACATACAAATATTATACAACATAGTCGATACTAAACCTTTAGATTACTTAAAGATACATTATGGGAGATAAGATAAAGAGCTGGCAGTTCTCACTATAATAGTTAAAAACTAGATAATGTAAAGGCAATTTTGCTGAAAATTTCCGTCAAATTGATCAACTATGAACCGAGAATTAAGCGATTGAAATTTCGTCCTAGCCTCGATCATCATTACTAAAGTCTGTACGATAAAAAACATAGTCTCGATCATCCATTTCATGATTAAATTATAAATAGAAGTCGAGCAGCAAACGGGATCATAATCATAGGCGTACGAGCTGGCGGGGGGGGGGCACCAAATGCTGGGAAAAATTTGGGCACACAATTGTACTTTGTAAAAGTTGTATAAAAAAAGATAGTGTGTTCTTGAATGTGTCCAATTTAGCGAATTTATTATTATTATGTAACATACTAAGAACCTAACTACATTTTTTGGGCACCAACCACCACCACCCCACCAGTCAAAATTTTCCCCGTACGCCTATGATCATAATCAAGTAAATATCGCAGGCTAGCGATGCCATCACAGATTTAGCTCTTGCATAATGTATGTTTAAACATACATTATCAAAATCTACCTATTGCAGGTCTTTCATTAGGCCTGAAATGTTTTCTAAATTATTAATTAGACATTGATTAAATAATCCAGACCATAATCAACTACTGATGCTATTGCGAGCCTGCGATATTTACTGGATTTGAATACATTTTGTGATGCATGACTTAACGTCAAAATGGATAATCAACGTTCCCACTTTAGTAATGATGATCGATGCTCACTAATATCTCGGTTCAGAGTGGAGCAATTTGACTGAAATTTTCAGCGTATTTTCTCTTTACGTTATATCTATTCTTTTTAACTATTATAGCGAGAACTGTCAAATCTTTAATCATTAAACTGTCAACTCTTCATCTAATCCCCATAATGTCCCTTTAATATGATATTCAAAGGAGGAACGGGGAGTTAAATTACTTACATACTCGGTACTTATAAACACAAGAAGTAAAATGAAATGGGAGTTAACGTCCTATTGTTCTTCTCAGACTGCTATGAGGGAAATTTTAACCAAAAATTGGTGCTACGGTCTACTCATATATCAAATTACAACTACCAAGGGTTCTTTTTCGTGAATGCTAGTGTGTACACAGGACCTCGTTTTTTTGTCCCATCCAAACAACTATACACCACTGTCAAAGGGGAACCATGCGAGAAAATCCAGATGGACTTAACCAGGATCGAACATGAGACCTCCACGTTAGTGAGTTAGCGTCTACCCACTGAGCCACCATGACTCCCAGAAGTAAAATGACCAGAACATTGTCTATTGAATGATTAAAACAGTTATAAGACATGGTTGGTAAAAATAAAAAACTTTAAAGACATTAAAGTGCTGGAGTTTTTTGCACCCACCAAAACACTGGAATATAAATTATATAAATACTTCTCATGCCATTATTACCAATTTATATTTAAATACTTACTGTGCCATTATTAGTACCAAATTATATTTAAATACTTACTGTGCCATTATTACCAAATTATATTTAAATACTTATTACTGTGCCATTTTTCCCAAATTATATAAATACTTACCGTGCCATTATTACCAAATTGATTTCTCTGATCTTCTAATAATGATAAAGCATGTTCTTTTTCTATAAAATAAAAATCATTCAATCAATTATAATCTTCAAAAATGAAATGAAATGGCGTTTAATGTTCTACTGTTCTGCTCTGACTGGGCTAATGACGGGCATACACCATACAGTGTGCTATGATGGACATTTTGGTTGAAAAGTGGCGTTTTGGTCCAACTGCCAAGGGATCTTTTAAGTGCATTCAAATGTGTAAACAGGACCTCAGTTTTTGTCCTATCTGAACGACTATACATTGTTTCTTGCCAAGCCCTTGGTCCTACACCACTGACAAGGTGGAACCAAGCTGGAAAATCCAGATGAACTTTCTTGGCCAACACCACAATTGAACTTGGGACCTCCAGGTTAGCTAGTCAATATCTTACTAACTGAGCCACTGCAGCCCACATAATCTTAAAATTGTCAAAATGCAAAACGTTTATTACATGGACACAAACAAGTAAAGTGACTCACCGTCTTTACCAGCCCAGTTTAACCAGGCTTCAGTAGCCTGCGCAGGAGTAGGTTCCATGAAGTCTTTTAAATACTGAAAAACAATACATGTGTATTATAAAAAACGTCATTTAAGAGAAAGTTCTTTAAGTTCTTTATTCTAGACCCAAACAACTGTCCAAAGCACTATAAAATCGTTTCAAAGAAATACCCGGCCAAAAGCCTGGTTGTTAGATGATGTTTTAAAATTAAAATATGCTACAGTTTCCATGACCATCACTATCAGTCTACTTAATTTGTTCTTGAATAAACTTTTCTAAAATTGAAATGGGTGTGGAGTGACATTGAGTCAGTCAATGGTGATATGAAGACCATAACATTAAAAGAGTTACATAAGCCCAAAAACAGAGTAGGCCTACATATTATTATGGGGTGGAGAGCTTTACATCATACTTACATACTGGTCTCTATATTGATTGATGCTAACTGTACTTGGTCGACCAATGTATTTAGATCTTGTCAATTGTCTTGCTGCTCGTTCAGGAAAAGGTACGCTGGCATCAACTGTTAATACATGAATTCAGTCTAATTATAACAAATACATTTATTATTTTACTAGTAAATACTAGTAAACTCCTATATGAAGCAATTTCAAAGAATATAAAAATGATTTTCACAATTTTGAAAAAAGAGTTCTTCATATGCAATGAAAAATTGTGTGCTAAATGAAATTGTTAGCTAAATAAGATTGTTAACTAAATGAAATTGTTAGCTAAATGAAATTTTATAATGTGTACAATATAGCTAACCTCTACAGGCATGTGTATAACATAAAGCTAACCTCTATAGGCCTGTGTATCATATATGTCTAACCTTTACAGGCCTATGTATAACATATGGCTATCCTCTATAGGCCTGGGGATCATAAAGCTAACCTCCATAGACATGTGCATGGTGATATATAACCCATATAGGCATGTGTGTGATGTTGAGCTAACCTCCAAAGGCCTGTGTGTGATATAGTTAACCTCTATAGGCCTGTGTATCATATAGCTAACCTATATAGGCCTGTGTATCATATGTCTAACCTTTATAGGCCTGTGTATAACATATAGCTATCCTCTATAGCCATAGTCCTGTGTATAACATACAGCTAACCTCTATAGGTCTGTGTTTTATATATAGCTAACCTCTATACATGTATGATATATATATATATATATATATATATATATAGCTAACCTGTATATAATATAGCTAACATCTATAGGCCGATTTATAATGTATAAGTAATTAACCTATATAGGTCTGTGCATAATATATACCTAACCTCTATTGGCCTGTGTATCATATAGCTAACATCTATAGGCTTGTGTATGATATATAGCTAACCTCTATAGGGTTGTGTATGATATATAGCTAACCCCAAAAAGCCTGGTTATCATATAGCTAACCTGAATATCATAATATACCCGTGTATAATATGATATAGCTAACCTCTGACTGTGTATCAAATAGCTAACCTCTATAGGCCTGTGTAAAATATATTATAGCTAACCTCTATAGGCCTGTGTAGGAGTACATGGATGACAAGTTGCATCTGGTTCTTGATAGCCTGCTATGTGATGTAACCGGTTGGTTAAAAAGACTCTGTAAAAAAACAAGACATAAAGAATACTACATAAATGAAGTCAAAAAAATATTATCATGTAACAAATGAAATAAATAGGCCTATCTTACATTAACACATTAATTTTATAAATAAATATAAAATTTCAAAACAGATAGGTCTTATGAAAAGGTTTCTATATTTCTAATAAGGTATGAAAATGAATGAATAAATAAAACTTACTGGATAGATAAATAAATTAACACAAATACTTACAGAGGAGGGTGTGGTTTATTTTTTCTGGTAGCAGACGACGGACGAGCCGGAGCAAACTCTCCAACTTTATCTCCCGTATGATAAAAATTATACGTTGTTTTTTCTCTATCGGGCTTACTCCATATTTCCCTAGCCTTGGCCCTGATCAGTTCAAATTCATTTCTATCAAGACTGGTCTCTTGTCGTAATTGTAACATCTTATCGGATTCTATTGGATATCCGATATTTTGAACCCGTCTTAAGCGGGTAACGGGATCATTATATCCCGGTAAAATATGTCCCGTTGTCATCTCAGATGACCTGTAATGTTATTTTACTAACTGTAAGTAACAAGTTCACGGATTTACGGCTACCACAAACGACAAGTGTCGTATTCAACTGTTAAATTCACACTAAATGTGACAGATTTTCCGCCATTTGTTTACAAACACTAGGCAACGCTTCATTGATTGTCCAGACGTAAACCACAGCAAAAATGTCAACGGTTCAAACAGGGAACCAGCCATCCAAGACTACAGGAAACAGGTGTGCCACACTTGCGCTGCGAATTCCGAGATCAAACTGGCATACAATAAGCCACCTTACAATAGATCCGTACAAGTTTACAATCAAATCGGCATACAATATGGAATTCGCTTGGACCATGACTGCAGTGAAAGCACTTGCTCGGTATGGGCTAATCCGTACTGCCTTCGATAAATAAAATAAATTGAAAGTAGTCTATATTTAGTAACTAGGCTATTGTTTGATGGCGACACATTTCTTTGCTTAAAATAAATGAAATGAAATGGGGTTTAACGTCCTGCTACATTAAAATGGTTTTATATCGACTCTCTCCAAAAGTATGAAATCATGACTGTGCTACAACAAGTAGATTCAAAGAGCTAGAAACTTATTTTTCCGGTGATGTTATGACACGGTAACTGGATCGAATTTCGCATTAAGATGCGCATCTCGACATCTAGCGAATATTCACTGCTGATCAGTTACCTGCAATATTTGTAGCCGTGATAATTCTTATCCACATCTACAATTGCTACAATTGATACACTATTCGAGTCTTTGCGCAAGTAAAATTAGGTTCAATTGCAAATTTTTTAACATAATTATATCATCACCACAGTTTGCACGGATATTAAGTAATTATGTTACAAATAGTGAAGAGTGGAGCACTGAAATCTTAATCTTATCTTACTGAACAGTTTTTCTGTATTTTCAAGTGACATAAAATCACGTGATTCTGGTTCGGCGGCCATTTTGAAATGAACAGAAATTTCGCATAGCACCAGAGTAGACATCAGACAATACCCTGTTACTAAAAATAGACTACTTTTAATTTATCAAAGGCTCAGATTAGCCCATATACCGAGCATGTGATTTCACCGACGTCATGTAATCCAGCAAATTCCTTATTGTATGCTGATTTGATTCGCCCTTGCTGTATTAAGCTGTCTGATATTGTAGGGTGGCTTATTGTATGCCAGTTTAATCTCGGCGCTGTGAGTTGTCAAAACAGGAAGTTGATGAATTGAGAAACTGAAAGATGAATAAAATATAGATGTTAGTAGATATTGTTCTTTAAAAACATGACCTGTTAAATATTTATTTACAGTTTGTGTCTTTGGGTAATTTTACTTTGTCTAAATTAATGTCTGAAGCTTATGATTAATTGTTTACGCTTTAATAACTAGTGAAAATGTGAAACAACTACAACTGTCCGTCGTCGCAACAGAATCAGAATCGGAATGCAATGATGAGAAAACACCCATCGACCCCATCCATCAACAATATGTACAGTCATCATCATTGATTGACTGGATGTTAGGCCCTCTGTCTTTCTCTCTCTTCTCTATATTAGGATTAGGCTGTTCACTTAGACCTACATTATGGTAATTATGGGTGGAGCCAGGGTCACGAGGGTGTGTACGTATAAGATTGAGAGGGCTAATGAACCGCTGTTCAGGCAATATTTCCCTTAACACCCTTCTTCATTTGCCCAGTTGATGCAGAGTAGCTACGAGAACGTAGCTAAAAACGTTGAGATATACTGATGTGTTTGTTTTTAGCTACGATTGGATGCCTTTAGTTCCAAGTGGCAAATTCAATTTCTTTATTAATGCATGTAACATCTTTAAAATAAGATAAGTTTATGCTATTATTATGATTAATTAACTTACAGAGGCCAATGTAGTGGCACAACTGTCGCTTAACTCCAAATATTCGCGTTTAAGCGTTGTTTTTGTCTGACATACACCGCCATCGAAATTCATTCATAGTTACGGAGCTTTAGATTGCCCTATTGATTGGCTGTTATAAAATATAAATAACAATAATCAATGGTTGTTTTTATTAAAAATATTGTCAATTTTGTTTACAAATGCCGGGTAAGAATCGCTCCCGCATGTGCTACGTTGAAGGTAATGGCCTCATGTCTTATCTCGAAACACGGAGGGTTGAGAGATTAAGGTTTGTTATCTAGATGCAGAGCAGTATCACGGTGAACCCCAGTTCATTTTACAGAATGTTTTTTAGGTTGTGTCAGGTGAAACATGGCTTCGGTAAAACACACCCTACAGAGAGATTTGTTTCTACCAAACGATGAAAGATTAATCAGTTTAATCAGTGTTTATAAACCACCGAGGAAGAGAAAAGGATCATATCTATGTGCTGTATGTAAGTATAACTTATAACCAGGATCATATCTATGTGCTGTATGTAAGTATAACTTATAACCAGGATCATATCTATGTGCTGTATGTAAGTATAACTTATAACCAGGATCATATTTATGTGCTGTATGTAAGTATAACTTATAACCAGGATCATATCTATGTGCTGTATGTAAGTATAACTTATAACCATGATCATATCTATGTGCTGTATGTAAGTATAACTTATAACCAGGATAATATCTATGTGCTGTATGTAAGTATAACTTATAACCAGGACCATATCTATGTGCTGTACATTATGTAAGTATATATAACTAGGATTGTATATGGCTAGGATTGTATACAGTGAACTATATGTCACACCTGGCTTTGAATTCTACAGCATGCAGTAAAATCTGTCATCATTATCATGTCCCGATTTATTTCCCTATTATTACTTAAAGGACCTAAGTCCGTAACTCAAAATCCTCCAAAATCTTCGACATCGAAAACAGGAATTATTGGTCAATTTAAATCAACATTTGATGATGTAAACTTACCGGGAAAAGATGAGCTTCTGATATCCGATATTTAAGATAAAATAATTTTTTTAACATTGGTACACGAATCGTGTACCATAATGCGCTTCAGCCCCAGTTGTATTGAGAGACTCGAGGGACGAGGCTAGACACATTGCACTAAATCAAATGGAGTTATGTAGACTGGAATAACTAGACGCTAGAAATTTGCACTCGATTGAGATTGCTGGCTTATTTCGCCGAACACAACTGATTTGAAATTTGAGTAAAAACATTGGTACACTAATCGTGTACCATAATGCGCTTCAGCCCCAGTTGTATTGAGAGACTCGAGGGACGAGGCTAGACACATTGCACTAAATCAAATGGAGTTATGTAGACTGGAATAACTAGACGCTAGAAATTTGCACTCGATTGAGATTGCTGGCTTATTTCGCCGAACACAACTGATTTGAAATTTGAGTAAAAACCGAAACGATTGAATGTAAATCAGTTTATATACATTCATATTCCAGTATTATATGCGTTGCGACCCACTTTTGTGAATTTCTAGGTCCCAAATGTTAGCGATTTAGCTCCTTTAATCAAAAATGTTTTGAGTAGTCGGCATTCTGAAATGACATCAATCAGCAGTCCCGTCACACGATTCGCGTTGCATTAACATCGTATAATCCGGCCTTCAATCAGTGGGTGTTAACCTACAAAAGATTGACACGCAATCACTTATTGGTGAGATTAATACCTGTGGCTGGGTTTGTTGATTACTTTGATATCAGCAGAATGACGCAAGAGTGGTTTCAACATCAAAGCCTTTAGTAGCGAAAGTGTGCAGGTGTTGATCTCGGTGCTGTTGAAGAATTCCGCATGCATTTTCCCTCTATTGTTGATGTGTATCATTGTGTGATAAAAAAATTGAGCGCTAAAGATGGCAAAAATTTCAACAGAACGATTAACAATCTTATTTTGTTGTAAGCATGATTGGTTCTATTTATAGCAACGTAAATATTAAATGTGTGTGACCAAATACAACATCGATATAGGTGTTGATCTTGGTGCTGTTGAAGAATTCCGCATGCATTTTCCATCTAAAGATGGCAAAAATTTCAAAAGAACGATTAACAATCTTATTTTGTTGTAAGCATGATTGGTTCTATTTATAGCAACGTAAATATTAAATGTGTGTGACCAAATACAACATCGATATAGGTCTACAACCGAAGAAGATTATACTTCTGGTATTCGGAGACCTGTACAATAATACTTCCATCATTGAGTATTCCGTCATACTGTGTAATACCGCATATTTTAACGTTTCTGTACGATGTCGACGTGGCATATTCCACTGTACATGCTTTATATAAGTATCATACAGATCGTGTCTATATACAATGGTTTTTATGTGTCTAGATCAGCGGTTCTCAACCTTTTTTGCCAACGGTATACCTTGGAACACCTGGCTAAATATATATGAAAAATATTTGAATTTTACAAAATAAAAACATGGCAAGTCAGACGGGATACAACCGTAGACAGAGACTAGTCATAGACACATAGAATGACTCAAACTAAATAAAGAAAAACACCACAGCTGTGAACTTATCAGTACACACCAATGATTACTCAATTGGGATCATGTGGTTTTTCGCATTTTCTTAGTGTGCCGTTCAAAATTCCGTGGCACACTGGTTGAGAATCACTGGTCTAGATCTAGGTGTCAATACTTTCTTTGTATTTTAGTCAATACAGTATTTAGGTAAATGTAAACAAAGAGGTGTCAATCTATGTCTTTAATTCTAGATCATTCTACGTATTTCAGTAAATACCACAGACAGCCCTATTAGAGTTTTTATTTATCAAGTTAAAAAGACAGACCGAGGCGACGCATATAAGAAGAAGCTCTCCTGGCTGTTACGGGATCTCAGAAATGTGGATGGCAGAAGTGCACAAAAGGTGGATAATTATGTTTTTACATTCATTCATTTAGAATATTAATTTTTCACACAAGTAATCAAATTCTTCTGTGTATCGGTTTATTCTTTTCTTTGATTAGCTAAATTCTGTATACTATTCCGATTGAGAAAGAAATATTGTGTTTAACGTCTACTCGACACACACTAGGCCTATGGCATTTTAGGATTAGCGTGTGGTTCAATTTTATTTCAATAATTTGCTTGTACATAGGGGTCTTTAGCAGTAGGGTAAAACCCACATTGCCTGGACATACAGACGATACTACTCCTTAATTACAATTCTAGAGATCATCATCACTGCCCAACATTAGAACAGATCTTACAGTACTTGCGAGGGAAAATGTATAGTTGTTCAGATGGGACAAAAACTGAGGTCCTACATGTACGTACACGTTAGCATGCATGTAAAAGACCCCTTCATTAGCCCAATCAGAGCAGAACAGTTGGGTGTTAAACCCCATTTCATTTCATTTCTTACAGTGTTTAAGGACAAAAGACAGCAGAGAAATGAAATGAAATGGGGTTTAGCGTCCTACTTTTCTGCACTGACTGTGTAGACAGCAGAAAATAGATTATTTCTCCATTTGATTATGGTATAATTGTTAAATTTTAATTACAGGAAACAACAGAATTTGACCTTCAATTTGAGAAAATTTACAGCTGGGCTACGAGTAGCGTGGAAGAAAAGGAGGGGTTTTTGTCTTCATTATGGAGAGTGAGTTTTATTGCATATTTTTAACAACAAAAGTTATCATTCGCTTTGTATGAAACTGATATCAGTTGTCTTGTAATAGCTCACATTAATAATAAATATGCGACAGCCCTTGTTAACTGCTTTGATAATTTAGCTGCTGTGGGCAACTCATCTTTCCTTTCTTTAAAGATTTTTTAATCTGTTTTTTTTTCCAATGTGTTTAGAATATAACTTGGCAAAAAATAACCTGTTTATCTCTTTGAGACCCATTCAGTGTTTTCCTGATGAGGAAAGTATGTTTATGTTAGACTAGGTGGAAACTATGTTGTCTGGGCAAAATTCTCTTTTTCCATTGCAAATGTAACTATAAACAATAGCGATTACCTGTGTTCATTAAAGATACATTATGGGAGATTCGGTAACGAGTTGGCAGTTCTCACTATAATAGTTAAAAACTAGATAATGTAAAGGCAATTTGGTGAAAATTTCATTCAAATTGATCCACGATGAACCGAGAACTAAGCGACTGAAATTCCCATAAGCCTCGGTCATCATTACTAAAGTCAGTACGATAAACAGCATAGTCTCGATTATCCATTTAATTGTTTAATCGAGAAGGAAAGTTGTGCAGTAAATCGGCTTACAATCCACTAAAGATCGCAGGCTAGCGCTGCCATCTAGAGTTGATTATGGCCTGGATAGGTTAATTAATGTCTAATTAATAATTTAGATAACATTTCAGGCCTAAAGAAAGACCTGCTATAGACAGATTTAGCTCTTGCATAATGTATGTTTAAAACAAGACATTTGTTGCTTTTCTACAATACCTGAATACTCACATGTATGCTGTTATATTTATAGCACAGCTTTCATGAGTTAACAGGTTTAACCAGAGGCCGAAGTCCGAGGGGTTAAACCTGTTAACGAATGAAGCGTGCTATGGATGACCTGTAACATTGACAACTGCTCAACATGCTTATTGTTATTGCACAGAAAACCCACCCCACTTCTCTATATGATTTCTACTAAAACTAGTGTAAACCAGAAAAGTGTGCAATAACATTGAACATGTCTAGTTATTGCACAGTTAAGCTCCAGCCAATCTACTAGAGGGAAAACAATCTGCTTATTCAACGAAAAGAACAAAGGAAGATTTCCCATCCATGTTACAAGAATAATAATTTCTGTCCTGGGAAAAATGTAAACAAACCTGAACAAAGGGCACCTGTCACAGACTTTGTCATACACAAATTATCTCACAATGTATAAATAATTTCACCTGGCAATGTCTGATAGGTGCATTATGTCCAGTATTGATAGTAAACAAAATGCAGTACTTATGATCTCTTTTATCCAACCAAGATTATGTTGAAAGAGAAAGTGAGACGTTTTTCTCTTTTATTACTCAAATTTATCTGGCCATTTCAGTTGTCTTCCATTGAGTTGATTATGATGTTACAATCAAGAATGGCAAAGGACGCCTGTAAATTTTGTATAATTTGTTTTTTTTCTTCAGCTGAGCCAGCGATACCTGATACAGAAACCGACATTTGTTAACATTCCAGAACATTTAATACAAGGTGGGTATATTTATCTTAATACGTTAAAGGGCCAATCCCGATAATATTTTAGAGAATAAAACTGCTTATTTTTGTGTTAAAATAGCTTAAAATCCTCTACCTTAGGACCAAGCAACTAACTCGATATGCATGATACGTTTTTAAACAACTTAAACCTGTCAGTCTTCATCTGGAAATGGAGATCCGTGTTCCAAGCTGCATTATGCGGTGTCTGGATAAAACCAGACTTTTATTTTATAAAAATAATGTGTAGGTGAAATTTACCTTTCGTTATCATGTACAGCACGTGGGTCATTCACAGCATAGACCTCTAAAGCAATGGGAATCGATTATCAGGTCACCCAACGAAAAAATTGACCCAAAATCTTAAAAGAGTTACATGTCCTGATAAGTAGTTTTGACGTTCACGTCCACACGACTCAATATTTTGAGCTGGTATTTTGAGACAAGGTAAATACACCATTCCTCTATATTTTGGCACTTAAATTTCATACCTACTCGGATTTTTATTTTTGAGACTCTGTTCAAATCGGGATAGTCCCTTTAAACTCTATTTCATTCCACAGCATTGTTTGAACTTTTTCACAAATGAGATTTATTGTTGATACAGTAAACTTTATATATGTTTATTAGACATCAACAAGCCGTTAGATCAAGGTCAAGCAGCACAAGATGGCGATGATATTTCGATTGAGGATGAGGACTATCAGGCGCTGTCAGCGAAAGAAGAATCCGATCTAGAACGTCTCATGTCATCATGCCAAGCTGGTATCGCTAATGCAGAGGTCTTTGCTGATCAACTCTCTAAAGAATTATCTGTACTGGATGGGGTAAGTCTATTGAAAATGAAGTCCAGTTGATTTTATTTGCACGCGTTTGGATGGCCGAATGGTCAAATGCGCGTGCTGTAGATCATTTGGTCTATCAGTGAGTCAACTGGTGGGATTTTGATTTCCAGCATGTAAGTGACGAGGAGAAGGGTTGCCTGTCTAACCTCATGGGTTTTCTCAGGGATTTCTGATTTTCCCCCTTACACTCAACCAAATTTATTGATATAAAATTGAACCAAATGTTAGTTTCGAAACATTTGTTGTTTGAAGTGTGTGTTAAAAAACACCATCTCCCTTTAGCTAATATCCTGGCTTGGATTCGGTCGGATGAAAAAAGAGGAATATTTTTGTCTCTGCACAATATCGAATATTGTGAAATTTTCAATTCACCATATCTTTGTAAATAAACCATTATTGGACGGATATTCCTTTTAGAGACAAATTTCACAATATTATAGTTTGCAAGGGATTAACAATCTATTAAGTGATGATTAGTGGCGATTAATTGATTAAGATATTGTTGTTTATTTAATTGTAGGCTAATATTCATTCTATCATGGGATCAGAAGATCAGGTTTTAAATCTAATGAGGTTACTGGATGATGGAATAAAACAAGCGGAAATGGTTGAACAACAGTTGAATTCATATGATACAATATTAGAGGTATGATTAGATATCATTTCTAAGATACAGTACTAGAGGTATGATTAGATATCATCTCTATGACACAATACTAGAGGAGTGTTTAGATATCATCTCTATGATTCATTACTAGAGGTAAGATGTGATATCATCTCTTTCACAGTGTATAATACTATGTTAGTGCTAAATCACTTAGATACCAAACACCAGTTAAAATGTGTTATTGAGTGATAAAATTCTATTTAAAGATACATTATGGGAGATTCGGTAACGGGTTGGCAGTTCTGACTATAATAGTTAAAAACTAGATACTGTAAAGGCAATTTGGTGAAAATTTCAATCAAATTGATCCACTATGAACCGAGAACTAAGCGACTGAAATTCCCATAAGCCTCGGTCATCCTTACTAAAGTCAGTACGATAAACAGCATAGTCTCGATTATCCATTTAATCGTTTAATCAAGAAGGAAAGTTATGCAGTACATCGGCTTACAATCCACTAAAGATCGCAGGCTAGCGCTGCCATCTAGAGTTGATTATGGCCTGGATAGCTTAATTAATGTCTAATTAATAATTTAGATAACATTTTAGGCCTAAAGAAAGACCTGAAATAGGCAGATTTAGCTCTTTAATATAGTACCATCAATCCTACAAGAGAAATCTGAAGAAAATTTTTGTTCAAAAAAAAAGTTTTATAGTCTCGATGCCTTTGTATATTTTATACAATGATTTATGTATATTTTATGCAATGATTTATGTATATTTTATGCAATGATTTATGTATATTTTATGCAATGATTTATGTATATTTTATGCAATGATTTATGTATATTTTATACAACAGTTTACATATATTTTATACAACAGTTTATGTATATATTTTACAACAGTATTTATATTTTATGCAGCAGTTTATGTATATTTTATACAACAGTTTATGTATATTTTATACAACAGTTTATGTATATTTTATACAACAGTTGCTGTATGTATTGTTGTATATTTGTTGTATAGAATGTCAAGGAACAGATGGAAGTAATGAAAGATAAAGATATGTTGATGACCATCAGAAATACAAATCATCATAAATTAACAGAAGAATTAAATGGACTAGTGGTAAGTTTATCATTTAACGTAATATTGTAGTCGATTAAAATACCTAATAATCTCTTTCTGTGTTCATAATTATCTGGCTATCAATCCATTAAAACAATATGTTTCTAATTAAACATCTAAAACAATGCATTTATAATTAAAAGTCTAAAACAATGCGTTTATAATTGAACGTCTAAATCAATGCTTTTCTAATTAAAAGTAATTTGTGGGTTGGTAGGTATTTTACTCTACAATACAATACAAAGACTGGAAAAGTCTTTAACAATGGATGAATATTAATTCATGTAATCAACTAATACTCAAAAATAAATAATAGAGGGCTTCTGTACCAACACCTGGCAGACATATTCCACCAATAGAGTCATCAGCACAGAGATTTAAATACAACAGATGTTCTAGAAATATGCTTCCTGGTGCACAAAACCCACCACTATTAAACATTTCACCAGTGTTTTCAACTGTTAGGTTCTTGACAATAAATTCTGAAAACATTGCTTTGTATTCAAAACTAAATAGTAAATTGGTGTAGTTCTATAGTGGGTTCATTATTTTTTCCATGCCACATGCTTTTGACATTATACAAATCAGACAGAAATATCTAGTGCTCACTAGATGAATAATATGAATATTTCGTGAGGTAGTTAACATACGCTGTTTTTGATTGTGTGCTGTGTCCTTAAAGATACATTCCCAGGTACAAACTGGGTGATTTGATGATATATTTGGCCTAAAAACATATTCAAACTAATTAATTTATCATAAAATTGCTTCAAATCTTTCTCAAAACATTGTAATTGTCAAGGAATACACTTGCTATAAAAAATCGATCAAACGAGGTCATGTTTGTGTCACGGATTAAATTCTCAAATTATCCACTGCCCGCATCTTTTTCCGTGATTTTTATCTCAGAAAGTGTTGTACGTCTAACTCTTCATAAAGTTTATCAACATGTACATCAAGCGCTCAATCTCCACGTGCAACCTTCGACGTAATGCGTGCAGACACTCCTAATCATCGGGCTGTCGATTAGGGCAACCCGTACATTTTTGTCCTGTATACGCTCCATGGGTGTTTTTCAGGGAATCCAGTATTTTTCTAGTAAGATTTGATATCTCTACTTTTATTGGAAATAACCCCCCGATAAATACTTTTCTGGGAACCTATCTTTATTTATATAATTCATATTTATTCTATTATATTGTATATTTATTCTATAGAGTGAACTGAAATGGGGTTTAACTTTCTACTTTTATGTTACAGAGTAATATGGATTTAGATTTAAAACATATGAGTGCATTATTAGATGGTGATTTACAGACACCAAATGGTATTTATGACTGTGCTATAGCAGCTCAAGCTTTGTATCGATGTATGAATGTTGACATGGATCCAGGTAGGTTTATATCAATGGCGTTTCAACACAATTCTTCAGTCATCTGGAGACAAAAAACCTGATATTTTGTGCTGAAAAATCACAAGGTTTTAATCTGCTTACATTGAGATTTAATTCCAAGTTATATTTATAGCACGACTTTCATGAGTTAACAGGTTATACCTGTTAACGAATGAAGCGTGCTATAAATGACTTGTAACATTGACACCTGCTCAACATGCTTGTTGTTATTGCACAGAAAACCCACCCCACTTCTCTATATGATTTCTACTTAAACTAGTGTAAACCAGCAAAAGAGTGCAATAACATTGAACATGTCTAGTAATTGCACGGTTAAGCTCCACCCAATCTACTAGAGGGAAAAAAATCTGCTTATTCAACGAAAACAACAAAGGAAGATTTCCCATCCATGTTACAAGACATTTTAGTGAAGTTGAGTGTTCAGTACCCTTGACAACTGCCCAGTCTCATGTAATTTGTAGAATGATATTTCAAGAGTATAATGGACCATATTTGGTATGATTATAGCATTAAAAAAACTTGGCGCTGTAGAAGAACAACAGAAGAAGTTTGGTAAAATATCGGCTACATTCAGTAAAAGATTAATACAACATCTAAATAATCTATTTATACATCAGGTTTGTTGCTGTTTATTCAACCATCAATCCATTTACATTACATGTACTTTATCCATTATTCATTCACTTGTTATCCATCATTCCATTTACCAACTCCCTTCACACATCATTCCATTTACTCCCTCCCTTCATATATGATTCCATTTACTCACTCCCTTCATATATCATCCCATTTACTCACTCCCTTCATATATCATTCCATTTACTCACTCCCTTCATATATCATTCCATTTACTCACTCCCTTCATATATCATTCCATTTACTCACTCCCTTCATATATCATTCCATTTACTTGCTCCCTTCATATGTCATTCCATTTACTTACTCACTCCCCTCATATACCATTCAATTAACTCACCCCCTCTATAGTGGGGAAGTTCAGTCACAATAATGATTATAATTTTACAGACTTTATGCTGTGTCGTGTCTTAATGTCATATTTCACCTGTTTCAGGGCAACCAAATGGCAGAATTATTGAGTCGTTCATCTGGTGAATTAAAGATGCCTCAACATGATAAGATTCACAAAGAGTTGATTATTTATTCTGATTTAATGTACTGGTTAAAAACTACAGATCCACATGTCTTTGATTGTCTCTCAGAGGTAAATACGGGTGACAGATTTCAATAATTTAGTAATTGAACACATTAAGATAAACACAAGTGTTAAATGGATAACGAATTACTGTATTTTAATCGAAGCTACGTTTCTACAATGATTCTATTGTCATTTTCATTCTAACTTGTCAAAATTGATTTCATTCTTAATATTTAAAAAGCCTATAAAGAGAAGTTTACAAGTTGATTACTGTGTGATATTCTTGATAAACCTCTAAATAGGATATAAAATATGATATATATATATATATATACTACCATGGACCATGGTAAGGACTTCTTGGGTCATGGATTCTCAACAGAAGTATCATTCAAGCACTTGAGTTAAGGTCCTATTAATTAAAACAATATTTGCATAAATTGATTTTTGTAGAAATACTTAAGATTTTATGATTTTATTTATTCAGGTATACTGTGAGAATCTATCCAAACTTTATGTAAGAGAGTTACAGGAATTTTTAGATTGTGCCAAACAAAAGCTGGCCAGTAAAACAGAGAAAGGAAAACATAGTAAGTCGATTAAAGATGTCTATTTTTATCGCACCCCATGTGATATTGTCATTTAACTCCTTTTAATAAATATAGGAGAACTGCAGAACAAATAACAAACCAAACAGAAGCACAGAACATAAACTAGCAGACAAGACACATCATATACAGAAGACACATTGCACACTTTACACATGGACAAGGGAATGGAGTAAGGGGAGAGAAGACACTTCATATATATTGCACATGGACAAAGGAATGGATTCACTGCCAGATGACACATCACACTCAGAACACATGGACAAGGGAATGGGATAAAGGGATAGAAGAAACATTCTACATGGACAAGTGAATGGATTCAGGGGCCAGAAGACACATAACACATGGACAAGGGAATGGGGTAAGGGACTAGAAGACACATCATAAACATTACACATGGACAAGGGAATGGTTTCAGAAGACACATCACGCGCATGGACAACTAAGCGAATGGATTCAGAGACCAGTCGTAAGCATCCACAGTATGTGATGCACAATTGAGGTCTGAAAAAAACAGGAGAGCAACCCAAAAATGCAAAACACAGTGGAAAGAAGAGAACATATCCCAAACATTGTATTATTCTAGGGTGTATCATAATCGACTGTATATTTACAAGATATCTTAACTACATTAAAGAAAACAGTTAAAATCCATTTAATTTGTATGATTTACTTGATGTCTCGTTTCCCTGATTGGTTGTTAGTATATGAGGTGATTTGTCGTCTTAAACTTCTGAGCTTTCTTTAATTAACTGTTTTAAAGCCCTGGACTGGAAGCTGGGGGAATTAAAACAATTTCTTTTTTTTACTTAACCTAAAGTAACCAGGTTGAATTGGGTAAAAAAGATAAAAGTGTTGACCTAATGAAATAAAATGGTGTTTAAGATCCTTTTTTCATCACCGACTGGGCCAAAGAAGATGGGCATAACACCATACAGTGTACTATAATGGGAATATGGCCCGGACAGCGGCCCTACAGCCTACTCTCACTTTGAATTCCAACTGACAAGGATTGTTTTACAACTCTGAACCGAGAATTTAGCGATTGAATTTTGGGCCTAGCCTCGATCATCATTACTATAGTCGGTACAATAAAAAACATAGTCTCGATTATCCATTTTTTGATTTGGTTATCAATGGGCGTTGTGCTGCTAGTAGGATTCTAATCCAGTCAATATCGCAGGCTAGCGATGACATCGAGAGTTGATTATGGTCTGAATAAGTTAATTAATGTCTAATTAATAATTTAGATAACATTTCAGGCCTAAAGAAAGACGTACAATTGGCAGATTTAGCTCTTGCATAATGTATGTTTATTAAAGGACAATGTGTTGATTTGCATTGCAGATAACCAACTTTTAAGTTCATATTTTAATTCTGTATTTCTTGTTTTCTCCATATTTGTGATCCACAAGAATGTAAATATGTTGTTTGTATTAACAGATATGGCTTCCATGTTATCAGGCTCATCAACAAGTTTAGAAAAAGTTTCTTCCAAAGTACGCGGTCGATCACCTTCCATGCAGAGTATCGATTCCGTTAGCATGAGATATGGCTCTGAAACAGACATCGCTAATAGAAACCTGTTTGATTCAGTGAGTTTTTATCAAATTTATTTGTCAATTTGTATTACTATAAAGTATTATAGAAAGTAGAGATGAGCTGATAGGGTTATTACCAGTAAAGCCGATATCAGGTTATTTTAGTAAAACTTTCAGCTGCCGATACAAATATTGATACTGATGTTGTAACCAATCAAAAGTGCAGTCTGAGATAAAAAGATAAATCCGAACTTTATTATAATCTGTTTATTGAAAATATTGTATTTGACTTTATCAAAGTTTGTTTATTGTTTGCAACTTTTTCTATATTACAGATTTTAGAGAAAGTATTTGTAGAGTTAGAAAGAGTTTGTTTAGCAGAACAAGATTTCTGTGATAAATTCTTTCACTTAAGTGACACAGTTGTAGCAGAAGCTAAGGTAGGTGGGACACAGTTGTAACAGAATCTAAGGTTATGTTGGACAAGTTTTAGCAAAAAATATAGCCAGTGTGAGACCATTGTAGCAGAATCTTAGATAGAGACACAGTTGTAGCAGAATCTAAGGTTAGGTGTGACATAGTTGTAGCAAAATCTAAGGTTAGGTGTAACATAGTTGCAGCAGAATCTAAAGTTAGGTGTGATACAGTTGTAGCAGAATCTAAGGTTAGGTGTGACATAGTTGTAGCAGAATCTAAGAAAAGGTATGAAATAGTTGTAGCAGAATAAAGGGTAGATGTGAACCAATTGTAGCAATATCTAATGTAGGTGTGACACATGTTGTAGCAGAATAGGTGTAGTGGTGACACAGTTGTACCAGAATCTAGGGTATTTTATAACTGATTTTGTGTGAAATATTTACCATCAAGACTTGGTAAAAATATTTACAGTTGATTGACGGACAGAAGGCTGGTCCTGGTCGCTAATTGTAAGCCTTTTGCTAAAGACAATATAGCGCTTTTTAGTAACTTAACTTGGTAGAACACATGATAAAATGACATTATAGAATGGCTGATTTATGGAAAATTCTTCTCAAGATCTGATTTCTACTGATTTCAACCTTTGGAATAAAACCTAAGAAGAATCCAATTAAAACATTATTATTATATGTATTGTATTATTCACACCGCTAAAGTAAGAATCCAGAACCTAATAATAACTTCTATGTGTATGTGTTGTTAATTTTAGGATGGTGATCAAGACAATGATAGTAGTGATATCTGGACACCAAGAAAAATCACAAATGTTCAAGAGTAAGTCATCCATATGTATATTATATTCTAACATTTTATAATTTTATAAAGAAAAGATAAAACACCTTCAATATAAAAATATAACATGTTACTCACTAGATACATTACAACTTACTTGTACCAATTGTCTGCAGCTGATGATGACTGCACTCATGTATGGCTTCCAATAGTTCAATCACCTTCTAGCTACATTTCTCATGTTCTGAGCATGATCGATCAAACATTTGCAGAGGATCGATCTTCGTGTTCTGAGCATGATCAATCAAACATTTGCAGAGGGTCGAACCTCATGTTCTGTGCTGATGATCAGCAATACCTTAAAACCAAGAAGTGGTTTCTACAGACACTGAAAAACAAACTTTGTTTATTTTGCTTATATGTGACCCTTGATGGCATAATGAGTTGGAAGTCGCAAGTCTTTTATGATATGACGAAAAGTTAAAAATATATTGTTAATGATATAACACAAATGGTAAAATTTTTTGATTTGACCAATAAAGCAAACTAATTTCTTTTTATATTTTTTAGCCTATTTCCACATTTTTCTTCATATATTATTTTAGTAAACTTCTGACTCATTTTGCCATCGCCGGTCACATAAAAGCAAAATTATTTGTTGATCAATGCCTGATCATCTGAAGATGTTTGGATCATCATCGCTCAATGACCCACAGAGGATTGGCCAGTGGTACACTAACTAGTGCTCACAGAATAACAATAATAATAATAATAATCTATTTATAAAGCACTGAATATCCAACAAACTGGTTGCTCAAGAGCGCTATCTACATAAGATATCTTTAAAAGATGAAAAATAACCATGATAGGTTATCTCGAAAAATCGGAAGGATTCGGTTGATTAATAATATGAAGAGAAACAAGGGGCCACATGAAATATTTTTCAGACAGTTAAACCTGAATTTGAAGCTGATATTATCTATCAGTAACATATATGCGCTTGTTTATCAAATAAAGTCTATTTGATAAACTTCTAGACTATAAATTAAGTATAAATAGAACAAGAATTAAAACAACAACCGAATATTAAAATCAATTAGATATAAATCTGACCTAGATTCAACTGGGGCCGAATTGAAAAATTTCACAGGAGGAAATGTTGAAAATAGGTTAGAAAGACCTGAAATATTAAATGATTGATTTGCATTTGGCATGACATCGACAATATATCTTCCTATTTGACTAACACTAGGCTTTTTTATCAACCACTGATTAGCCAAAGTGATTTGCATTCAATCAAATTTTCATCTTTAACATCCATCTAATTAAAATCGATTACCCTAATCAACGAATTTATCGACACCGATTTCCGAAGCGATTACCACAAATAGCCAAATCACCTCTAGGTTCAACTTGAGGATTTCATCGGACGATCACCTGTTCGGCCACAAGAATTGTTTACAGCTAATCGCGCATTTAACAAACTCGTCAAAGTACTTTGAAATCAACTATATGACATCTCCACTAAATACAAATCGATTTGGCAAGTCAATAGAAATGCACACTGTATGCCATGTAGCTATATTGACATAATTACAGTATTGTGTTTGGCAGTTGACAGTCTATGAAAATATTGACTATATATCTATATGAAGATGTTGACTAATATTTCAAATTTTGTTTGACCAGAAATAATCCTTTTAAAAAGTGTTTTACTATAAAACCATCCTAGTTTAAGCATGATTGTTTTATTTCTTAATAAACTTTAACCCAAGGCATGAATTTGTTTTTATAGTAGATGTAATTATTTATCTTATTACTAAACTTGATAAATTGAATGTATTAAAGGTTTGAAGTGTCATTTAGCAATACAGAAATTCCTTGCAAACTATAATATTATGAAAGTTTAATATCAGTCCAAAAATTGTTCAATTTTGTTAAGTATTTACAAAGTTATGATAAATTGAAATTTCATCGATCTATTTTGTTCACTATGTAAGGAGACGCTGCCATATTTTAATGCTAGTGGAGAAACCAGGTGGACCCAGTTTAAATCCGATGGAATCCAAGCCGAGAGATTATTTAGCTTTGGTATTTTGATCTTGTTTTCTTAATTAAATGATAACAAATCAATCTGAGTATATATTAACATGGATTAAGTTGTGAGAAATTTTTATATTTTAGCGAAAATGCAAATGACCCCTCAAGCCTTTAATATAATTAACATAAGCATATTATTTAACAGGATTGCATTCTTGAATTGTTTGTTTTAAGATGAGAGTATTCCCTGAGATCAGATATTGTGCTGTTTTAGACACCTTTACTTATCACAGAAACCAGTGTCGTTAGCCAAAAAATATCTATTTCTGATTAAGTTGTCAAATACTTTGCTTGTCATGGCAATCTCATTACAATTTATCACTCACACGTTATCAGACTCTTGTTAAAGGTTTCGTCGGTTTATCGTTTTCCATGTTCGACCAGTCAAATGCAAGAAATCTCTATTTTGAGCTGCAATATATCTAGAATATTTATATACACAAAACAATAGGGTTTTTAAGAAATGGGAAGTGGACATACATCCCTATTCTAAACATCCTGGATTGAACATAAGAATTTCATAGAAAACAGGTTTTATGATGTTGTAAACATCCATTAGTTCAGTAGACAAAAATGGGCTCTGTGATTACTCTCGTTTTATTATTTTCTCTGATGTTGTTTTTAATCATATATATAAATATGATAACAGAATGCCATAGTTACATGTTTCTCTACACTAACACCATTACTGATTGGCTGTAACAATCTTATATTATCCAATCAGGGAATATTTTGAAGAGAATCTAGGGGAGGGCTTGTATCAGAGAAGAACCACGAAAGAGAAGTAAGTGATTGTAAATATTCTGGGTGTTTGGTGTTTTTGTTTATTTATTTTATAATTATTTAACAATTTCAGTTCCGATTCCATTTCGTTTTTAATTTTGGCATTATGGTGCTATGTTCGCTTATCTTTACAATTGTCAAGTCACTACTCTACAACATATTAAGAAGCGAGACTCCTTGTGTTGTCCTGTTTAGCAGCCATGACTGACAGGAAAATTCACAGCTGGAATATTACCAGTCAGTCAGATTACTTGGATATTTATATCTTGCGAAGATGTGAGTCAGTTACTAAATTTAACCTTAATGTGAAGACAAATGCAGAGCTTGACACAGGAGAATATCAAATCTCTATGCATTATTGTATATATTGTATATATTGTGTATTGTATATATCTTTTGTATAGGCCTAATGGTATAACATTTATAATAGTGATTGAAATTCATAAATTTTGTTTGTTAGATGTTTTCGTGTTGTCAATAATTATTAGATGTTTTCGTGTTGTCAATAATTATAACAAATATACTAATTATTACTGGAACCTGAAGCATGATTCGATCGCATCTCTAATTCTAAGATATTTTCTACATTGAATTGGCATGATAAAACTGGGCTGATTTCCTGCTTTGTAGGATGACTGTTTGTTATAAAGTCATATATGTTGTGATGTTTGTTGTCATACTAAACTTAAGCTACAGTTAACTCCGCTTGCGAACAGACACTAAACTAGTTGACTGACATTTTAAGTCCTAAATCGACAATTTTAGTTGAAAACACTAAGTATACTTCGATAATTTTTTTGAATATTTATTCTGCTTCCATTTAATAAAATTGAAAAAGTTTATTTAGCCTTTATGAGTATGACAGATGTATACAAAACAGTATACTAATTTTTATATGCCCACATTTTCATGTGGACGTATTATGCCGTCGCCCCTGTCCGTCCGGACGTCCGTCCGTCCGTCCACAATTGTTTGTGGACTCTCTACAGGTCACAATTCTTATCCGATTTTGACGAAACTTGAAATATAGGTTTATCCCCAAAAGATCTCGGCTGCTTTCGATATTGACATGTATCGGATCGAAACTTCATGGATTATGGCCCCTGATTGTACGAAAAATCACGTTTATAGCTTGTGGACCCTATAGAGGTCACAATTTTTATCCGATTTATTTGAAACTTGAAATGTAAGTTTATAACCTAAAGATCTCGGTTCCTTTCGATATTTGCGCATATCGGACCGTAAATTTCTGAATTATGGCCCCTAATTGTACGAAAAATCGCGTTTTTAGCTTGTGGACCCTATAGAGGTCATAATTTTTATCCGATTTAAAAAACCGTATTATAATATCACCGTTACACCCTAAGGATGGCTGAGTTTGAATTTCGTGAAAATCGGCGCAAAATTGACAGACAAAATGGCCGCCGTTCGTTCTCAAATAGCATAAAAAATATGGTATATCAAGGTTGTGGACCCTATAGAGGTCACAATTTTTATCCGATTTTGTTGAAACTTGAAATGTAAGTTTATATCCCAAAGATCTCGGTTCCTTTCGATATTTGCGCATATCAGACTGTAACTTCCTGAATTATGGCCCCTGATTGTACGGAAAATCGCGTTTTTAGCTTGTGGACCCTATAGAGGTCATAATTTTTATTCGATTTAAAAAAACGTATTATTATATCACCGTTACACCCTAAGGAAGGTTGAGTTCGAATTTCGTGAAAATCGGCCCAAAATTGACAGACAAAATGGCCGCCGTTCGTTCTCAAATATGGTATATCAAGGTTGTGGACCCTATAGAGATCACAATTTTTATCCGATTTTGTTGAAACTTGAATGGTCGCCCTTCGTTCTCAAATAGCGTAAAAATATGGTATATCAAGGTTGTGGACCCTATGGAGGTCATAATTTTAATCCGATGTTGTTGAAACTTGAAATGTAAGTTTATAACCCAAAGATCTTGGTTCCTTTCAATATTCGCGCCTATCGGACCATAACTTCCTGAATTATGGCCCCTGATTGTATGAAAAATCGCGTTTTTAGCTTGTGGACCCTATAGAGGTCATAATTTTTATCCGATTTAAAAAACCGTATTATTATATCACTGTTACACCCTAAGGACGACTGAGTTCGAATTTCGTGAAAATCGGCCCAAAACTGACAGATAAAATGGCCGCCCTTCGTTCTCAAATAGCGTAAAAATAGGGTATATCAAAGTTGTGGACCCTATAGAAGTCACAATTTTTATCCGATTTTGTTGAAACTTGAAATGTAAGTTTATAACACAAAGATATCGGTTCCTTTCGATATTTGCACATATCGAATTGTAATTTCCTGAATTATGGCCCTTGATTGTAGGAAAAATCACTTTCTTCTTAGCTTGTTCTCTATCCATCTCTCGAAAATGTGGGCGTATCCTGCCTGGCAGCCGCTGGTTTGATATGGTGGCCTTTTAGGGCAGAGATCTATTCTCGAGGAATGAAGTGTGCAGAATTATTTGTTATATGGTAAAAATGTACTGCCCTGTAATGTGGTCTAGATGTATATTGCGTTAAAACAGCTACAGTGAGATCAAATGAGAAAATTATTCGAAATGAAATGAATTAGGGTTTAACATCCTACGGTTCTGTTCCAACTGGGCTAACGAAAACTGGCATCGAGTGTGCTATGCGGGAAATTGTGCCTGGACAGTGGTGCTATGGCCTACTCTTGTCCTATTTCAACTTCCAACTTTCAAGGGTTCTTTTATGTGTACATGGGACCTCGTTTTTTCAAACCATTCGAACAACTATACATCGTTCCTTGCGGGGCCCTCCATCTTGCACCACTGACATGGAGGAACCATGCCGGAAATTCTCAATGAACAACCTCGACCAACACAGGGATCAAATACTGGACCTCCAGGTTGGCGTGAAGTGGTGTCAGGTATTCTAAAACAAGTAAGCCTATCCTGCCTCTTGCATGACACACAGCATAGTTGAATATAGCAATAGTAATATTTACTTTAATTCTCTTTTCAGGCGACAAATCAACGATTCAGTTCGGTAAGTTAAACTTCAAGATCAGTGAGAGCTTATGACATGTAATATATGTTGCTAGCCTACGGCTACAAAGGCTGGGTGAACATTTTTAAGCCTGAGAACCATAGATCAGTTGGGTTGAAACAAACTTTTGCCACCAACACTGACAAGGGGAAATACGCTGGAAAATCTGGATGAACTTTCTCGGCCAGTGCAGTTATCGAACACCCGACCTCCAGGCTAGCGAGCCACCGTGACCCCCCAATAGTTTTGACATCTGATGCTTAGTTTAATTTAACTAGGCCTTATATTCAGACATGATATCTATATTATTATAGGTTACTGTAAGAGATAAATGATTTATATTTATATATATTACAGGTCAATGTTAGGAAGTTTGTTTCCATCATTGGAACATGATATAGATAATTTTATCATGTTTTCTGATCGACAAGATGGTCTGTAAGTATTTTCTTCATCATGGTTTTATAATCTGTTTATTGTCAGTAATATACAAGGTTTTATAAATACTGTAGCAGATTTTCATGATATTATATAAGCTCAGTTGAACTATTGAATGCTGATTTTACTATTCAAATATACTAAGTCATTATTAAAATATTATTCAGATATGCTAAGACATTATTCCATTCAAATATACTCAGTCATTATTCAAATGTTATCAAATATTGAAGTCATTATTCAAATGATCAATATTCAAATGCTATTCAATGTGAATCTATCAATCAATGAATTTTTATTAATTTTCAATATCAGTTGATGCCAGTGACATAAAATACTTATCAAATTGCTTTAATGTTATTTGGCAATGAATAATGATCATCAAAAATCAGTTCAGTTGTGTTATAAGAAAGACTGATTATATATTAAGAATGGCTGATTATATTGCGCAGTAAGAATGACTGTGTGGTAACATGTTTGATTGCATTGTAAGAATGACTGATTGTATAGTAAGAATAACAACCTTAGTAAGAATGACTGATTGTATATTACAGCTAGATATTCCATGTATATGTTAGTAAAAATAACTGCTTGTATATTTCAGATATTCCATGTATATGTTAGTAAAAATAACTGATTGTATATTTTAGATATTCCATGTATATGTTAGTAAAAATAACTGATTGTATATTACAGATATTTCATGTATATGTTAGTAAAAATAACTGATTGTATATTTCAGATATTCCATGTATATGTTAGTAAAATTAACTGAATTAGTAAAAATAACTGATTGTATATTTCAGATATTCCATATATATGTTAGTAAAAATAACTGATTGTATAATACAGATATTCCATGTATATGTTAGTAAAAATAACTGATTGTATATTTCAGATATTCCATGTATATGTGATATTCCATGTATATGTTAGTAAAAATAACTGATTGTATAATACAGATATTCCATGTATATGTTAGTAAAAATAACTGATTGTATATTTCAGATATTCCATGTATATGTTAGTAAAAATAACTGATTGTATATTACAGATATTCCATGTATATGTTAGTAAAAATGACTGATTATATATTTCATACATTCCATGTGTATGTTGGTAAAAATGACTGATTGTATATTTCAGATATTCCATGTATATGTTAGTAAGAATGACTAATTGTATATTTCAGATATTCCATGTATATGTTAGTAAGAATGGGGCAACATGTAATCAATGCTCAACATGTTGGATCCTTTCTAAGTATGACCTTTGGTAACTGTCTGGTCAAGGTCAAGAGAAATTTTGATAAATATATTGTAAGTATAACTAAATAATCAGGACCAAATTAAAGGCTCAATACCACTCTTGTTGTAACTGAATAATATGTCCCAATCTTTATTCTGGTCAACAAATTGTACTATTTTAGAATATTTCAATTAATTGATGATACAAATTTCATCATAACACACCTTATTTAAAAATTTTGAAAAATTCAACATAATGGTTTGAAACGTCTGACGTAAACCTTTTCAAATGAAACTTCGATTTAAAAATAGTAAAATAGGATGTAATGGATAATTTACACAACAGGTAGGACATTTAAACATCTAGTACTTAGATAGAGATATCATTTATTTTCTGGAGCTCTCAAGCCAGCAAGAGTGTTATTGTCCCTTTAAGGAAGAGATCCACAAAAATTCCGAATTATCATTCTGTGAATCAGGAAAAATATGCTGAAGTATTTTTATCATGTCCTGAACAAGAACTAAAACATCATCTCTGAGATTTTCCTGTGATACACCACAAGACATAAGGAACAAAAATGTCACATGACCATGTAACTATTTAGGGCTCTTTTCTCCTTCGGTTATCGCTCTTTACTTTCTTCCTAATAAAATTCACGTACTTTGCTATGATATATTCCAATTGGGACCTTGCATTGAGATGTTAACAAAGCCAAAAATGACATATTTGATCCATGTTAAGATCTTTTCTTTTGTGGAATTAGATGTTTGAAATTCTGTACTAAGCTTGAGAATTATAATGAAATGAAATTGTGTTTAGCAAGCCAACGTCCTACTTATAAGATATTTGTAGATGTTATAGATAAAGATATTAGTTGTTGTAATATTTGTAGATGTCACAGATTAAGAATATAGAAGAGATGAAAGTATCCAAGAAGAATCGCTGTGGAATTATTTTATTTGTACAGTCATTTGAAGTAAGTATTATCACTAAAACATGATCGATCCCTGAATGTTTCCACATAAAAATCCCTTAGTGGTATATTAACAATAAAAGTAACATAGAATTGAAGATAGGTGTGTTACATCCTTGCGGCACTTCCTTGTTCATTTTGAGACTAACAACCGATGGATCTTTTATAATATGTGCACAATCAATTTCTACGTGCAAACAGAGATTTTTGTCACAACTGAACAACTACAATCATTTTCCTAGTCAGCCATGTAGGCACCACCCCATCCATGACAAATGAAAACCAGACTTGAACCACTGAAATCCCCATCTTAGGTATTCCCAGTGGTATCGTTCCGTTCTACTAAATTAACCCCTTGGTCCATTCACATCTAATATATCGCCGAATCTCTTTTGAAAACTTTGTTAAAATAGTTTAGGATATCATTTTGTGTGCATATCACTTCTTTGATATTAAATTTCTCAGAATTAAGCTTACGTGAACAATGAACCTAAGACTGGTATGTAAACTGCTTTTTGATTGGTTCGTAGAATCAACCTATGTGGCCAATAAAATCATCAAGAACAGATAACTTGAATTTGTGAAAACCCTGCGAATGGACCCAGGGATCAGTGGAGTAGAACGGAACGATACCACTGGGGATAACGAGGATGTCCAACCCAATGCTTTGAAGAGTACATGTGAATATGACAATTCAACAAACGTAATTTTGCTAACAGAATTTAAGACCTTTTTATCTAAAAAAAATCTATTCATCAATATTTCATAAACTTTTAGGCGGTTGTTGAGAGTGACATTAATTTGCATTTACCCATCCCTAATACACATTTATCCTCTCAGATAATCAAGCTGTGGACAATATTTTGAGCAAAGAAATTATACATGTAGGCTGTAAATAATTATCAACATTATAATTCCTCTTTAAAAGACATTTACGTGAAATAGGTTGGGCTAATCTGATATATTATTTTGTAGGAATTTGCTAATTTAGCTGAGAATATATTCCGAGGGTCAGAGAGAAGAACAGATTTAGAGAAAGCGTACACGAAACTTGTTCAGGTTATTTTTGAACAGATTGTACGAGTAGCCAGAGATCATCAAAAAACACCAAAAGATGTGGTCATGATGGGTAAATATAAAATAGTTTTAATATCAGGTAGAAGTGGGGCGGGGTAAAATCCACTTGACACAAACTATGTCATTTTGGACTTACATGGTTCAAGTTTATTTTAATATTCGCTTGCGTATAGGGGTCTTTGGCAGTGGAAGGAAACCGGAGGACTTGGAAAAACCCACATGGTTGGACAGGCAACCCTACTCCTTGTCACGTACAGGCGGGGAATCAAAATCACGCCACATGACTCAGTGACAGACCTTATGGTTTCACGCTCATGTATTAAACCGCTAGACCACCCAAACTGTGGAGGTTATAGAAAAATGCTGGTTTGAACTTCAGGGGTAGCAATGGCAAGACTGGTGAAAGGTCGAGATTCACTAATGTACACTGACAGTTAGAATTCAATAGAGAATTGGCAAAATTCCCCTTATGTTAAAGGAGCTAAACCTCTTATTCAATATTTTCAATACAATTCAAAGTTAAAAACAGGAAATTGGTCCATGTCAATCAATATTGAGGTTGTTATTTTGTCGTGACAATATGGAATCATTATTAATATCCAATATTCAAGACATACAAAACATTTTAAAATCAATACACTAGTTGTGTACTCTATGGTTTCAGGTGCCATTTGTAATGAACAAAGAAAAACATATCCTACAAGACAATGTAGAAGTAATTAGTAATGGCTAATTCACAAACGACAAAATAGTAATAAAAACTCATATAGAATGGATTAAGCAGGCATAAGTGACTGCCTTGCAATTTGGACTGTTCACATATTTCATTGAACAGAACTGATTAGAATTTACAATAAAAATGTTAAAAATTGAATATAGATCAATTCATATACATTCATATTACATTAAATATATGCTTTTAGACCCGTTTTCGACTGTGATAACGTTCCAAAGAATAGAGTCATACGTATATGCCCTTTAAAGATACGTCCTATCATCTCTTTTTTAACCCTGAAGAATTGAATTACCTGAGGCATGTTACATTTTTAGATATATTTACAAATTTGTATTTTTCAGAGAATTTCCATCGTATGTACCGTAAGTATTCTACATTTCTTGAACCCTACATTTTACACTTACCAAGGAAAACCCACAAAATGTCATCTTGAACCATACCTTTCATACCAAGGAATACCATATTTAGACCCACAAAAAAAAATCAAATATGGCTCTGTCTAGCTATATGTAGGGGAAACTGGTGACAAAGTTTATTGCTTTTTAAATCTTTTTTAACTTCAGTTTATAATTTGTTAGTTTTCAGTTGTTTTCAATACAAATTGTTTACAGTATAAGTTTGAACTATTTTTAGGTATATTATCCCATCTAAAGGTTGACTGTGTTTTCTTTAGGTATATTTTCCCATACATAGGTTGTGTGTATTTTTAGGTATATTATCCCATCTAAAGGTTAACTGTGTTATATTTCTAATTATCCCATTTAAAGGCGGTTTATATTTGTAGGTATATTTTAGGTTTATTATCCCATCTAAAGGTTGTGTTTAATTGTGTATATTTTTAGGTATATTATCCCATCTAAATGTTGTGTGTATTTGTAGGTATATTATCCCATCTAAAGGTGGCGTGTTTAGAAGGTGAGAAGAAAGAATCACGAGCTAAATATACAGAACATTTAGCTCATTATACAGCTGGTCTACTTGGTCGACCTCTAGAAAAACTACATGTAAGTACTGTAGGACATCTCTATTACACTGGGATCAACTACATGTATATACTGTAGGACGTCTCTATTACACTGGGGTCAACTACATGTATATACTGTAGGACATCTCTATTACACTTTGGTCAACTACATGTATATACTGTAGGACATCTCTATAATACTGGGGTCAACTACGTGTATATACTTTAGGACATCTCTATTACACTGGGGTCAACTACATGTATATACTATAGGGGATGTCTCTATTACACTGGGATCAACTATTTGAATGTACTGTAGGACGTCTCTATAACACTGGGGTCAACTACATGTAGGTGTGACTGTGGATAAGCACACAACTGAAGATTATCTACACTTTATACACAACACCTAAAATTCGATTTTGATCAAATTCAACCAAATGTAAATGGACATAATGAAAATAACAGTAAATTGTTGTATTTTCAGATATTTTTTGAAGGTGTTCAAGCTCGTATAGCTACTGGTGTGAAACCTGAAGAAGTTGGTTTTCAGTTAATGTTCAGTAAACAAGAATTACGTAAAGTCATTAAAGATTATCCTGCTAAAGAGGTACAAACTTATTAGTGTTTTTACATCTTTTTGGTGTCCACGATTCCGATTTTGTCAGCTGGTACAGTCTTAACACAGAGATAGAATCCTAGAACATGTTGCTCCACAAGGAATTCAACGAGACAGTCTGTTTAAAGAGGAAATAAAACATGCAGCCTGGTCGTCATGGCAAATAATCCCTTAAACCACAACTAGAAGTGGAGGTATAATATTCATGGATTTGCTTGATAAAGTTACCTGTAAGAGTATTGAAACGTTGCATGTAATAAACCAAGAAGTAGTAAATCCATAAAGTTGTGTTGTTATGAATAGAATAATTCCTTCATTTAAATTTTCGAGTAACAGTGGCTCTGTAAGTATTGCACTGGCTTACTAACCAGAGGGGGGTTGGGTGGTCTAGTCATCTGACATTGATTCAAGTGGCGTGGTTTCAAATCCACGTTTGTAAGTGAGAAGGAGTAGGGTCGCTTGTCCAACCTTGTGGCTTTTCTCCAGGTCCTCCCACTGCTAAAGACAATGTTCTATTAGGTTCAAGTTAATTAACAATTTTCTATTATATTCAAATTAATTAACAATGTTCTATTTGTGCAGGTAAAGAAAACATTAGATCACATGTATAAAAAGGTAGAAAAACAACTTTGTGAAGAGGAGAATCTTCTACAGGTAAAAGGGAATATTTCGTTATTAAATAATTATTATAGACCCTACTAATATTTTATTTCTTAGTCTATTATATGTCAAGTAGTATAGACACCTGAATTCACGATAGGTACCATAAAAAAAACTCCCATCAAATATGAATTTAATTAGCCAAGTTTCTGCTTTAACAAAGATGTGGGGGTTGGATGGCCGAATGATTAGCTTGTGCGCGCTGTATCATAAGGTCTGTCATTGAGTCAACTGTCGTGGTTTCTATTCCCTGGTTGTACCTGACAAGGAATAGGGTTGCCTGTCCAACCTCGTGGGTTTTCTCTGAGTCCTCCGGTTTCCTCCCACTGCTAAAAACCAGTGCAAGCAAATTATTGAAATAAAATTGAACCATGTGTTAGTCCCGAAATGACATGTGTGTCGAGTGGACGTTAAACCCCATTTCTCTCTCTTATCAAATATGGCCAGCAGGTAAAGTTTTGATGTGGAAGCCCTGTTGTACATTGATCAAATGGAACATATTCTATGCATGTATTATTTAATATTTCAGGTTGTATGGAGAGAAATGCAGAATTTATTTATCAACCAGTATAAACATTACGATGATTTAATGAAGAAATGTTATCCAGACTCACAAATATCATTAGATTTTAGTATTGAAGATCTGTTACAATATTTCTCGGACATCGCACAATCACATTAAACCAGTCATGTGTCGAGAGGGAGCAGAATGAGAGGACGCCAAAATTCACAATTTTTAGTTTTCTGCACTGCTAACGCATTAAACTTATAAATCCAGTTCATTTATTTCACAAAAAATCGGTTTTACCGATCATTTTACAAGATTTGTAAAAATTCATCACTAACAATCAACTGCAAACCCTAAAACTGGAAATGACCTCGTTGAACTCTGGCAAATTGAAATTCCGATCGCAGGATTCGACATGGAACAATTTTATTGTAGTTATCTAAGTTGTTCAGAAACATTTATATTTGGTTCCAAGGGTTGGACGGTCATGGTATATTTCGTTTCGAGTATAGGCTAACTTATCCCAACATAGTTGTCGATTTTTAATCTAGGAGGTCTTGGCGAAAATGACTTTAGATAACATGTTTTACTGGACAGCTGTTGCTTGTCAGTGTGTTTTACTGTTGTCCAGTGAAGGATCATTGAATAACATAGGAGCTGGACTTGCATTTGTAATTTACTGACTGATACCTTTCAACTTGTGAGTATTTTATGCACCAAAAATTCAGTGACAGTTGCTGTTCGCTTACGTAATTAACTTGAAGCTCCTAGAGGTTACGCGTGAAGGAAACCTCAAGGCACCCTAGAGTAGCATCCAATCAGAGAGTGAAATTAAAATTAACTTTTTAAAAATGAAATTATCACTGTTAACCTTGGTGTATAAGCTGGATAAATTAATAAGGGTTTATCAAACGACTGATATTTTTGTTATATTTTCTACTGGTATTTGTTATAGTCAACATTTAGTTGTTTTTTTCCAGTATACATGCTTGTACACATATTAAATATATTTCATTATAAAGTACTATTAGTTTTATGTGCAATATCAAAATCCCATACTGTACTGTTATTGATCATAATTATGCTAATAAATAAATTATATGTCATAATTTAGTTGATTTAGACATTGTCCTGTGAGTTTCCAATTGTGTTTTCCCATTGCCAAGAGTGCAGGGCAGGGGCCACTCTGGACATGAGAACTGAACGAAACAGCTGTCAAAAAAAACATTTCCCTCCAAACCAGTCTTCATTAGCTTGCTTGTTGCAGAAAATTACAACATAAAACCCATTTCATTTCATTCTGTGTCTTATCTAGGGTCGCCTGTCCAACCTCGTGGGTTTTCTCCGGGTCTTCCGGTTTCCTCCCACTTCTAAAGACCCCTACGCGCAAGCAAATTATTGAAATAAAAATTAAACCATATGTTAATCCCGAAATGACCTAGTTTCTTCTGTTTCTTATCACCCAAATAAAAAATGTAGAGCTAATGGTAGTCATGACAATTATAAATATAGAGCCGATGGTAACCTTGACAGTAATACATCTAGAGGTGTTGGTAGTCATGACAATAATACATCTAGAGCTGTTGGTAGTCGAGACAGTAATATATCTAGAGCTGTTGGTAGCCATGACAACAATACATCTAGAGTTGGTGGTAACCATGCCAATAATACATCTAGAGCTGGTGGTAACCATGCCAATAATACATCTAGAGCTGGTGGAAACCGTGACAATGTATCTAGAGCTGGTAATCATGTCAATAAATCAAGAGCTTTTTGTGGTCGTGACAGCAATACATTTGGAGCTTATGGTATCCATGAGAATAATACATATAGAGCTGTTGGTAGCTGTGACAATAATACATCTAGAGCTGATGGTTGTCGGACAATAATACATCTATGACTATAATAAATATATAGCTGATGATAATAATAACCATGATAATAATAAATCCAGAGCATGTTGTAACCATGACAAATTCTTCGAAAAGCAAGAACTATGGTTGGCGTAAAAAGTTCTTTAAATCACTTTTCTGGATCATAAAATCAAAGACTGAACTTGATATTTTATATCTTTTTAATGTTCTGGTAAAAGATTTTTTTTAATTATCATTTCATTGTCTGGAATGAAATAAAAACTTTTTGGTTTATTCTTAATAAATCCTTTCATTAATCTACAGTCGAATAAAATTATCACGATTCTGCTATCAGACATTCTAGAAAAAAAATCATTTTAATTCCAGCATACATGTCTGCGTCAATTCAAATTTATTTTACGGGTTAGAATCGTTTTTATTTTAAACTACATGGGTGTGCCATATAATCTTGTCATTCTTTAATCCGATCTGACTTTATTATTTTATAGGAATTAATCGATTTATTGCCTCGAAAATCAACATACCTTTAAAATAATAGTGATACCATAATCACCTGAAAATAAAGTGTAATCCAGCGCTGATATTTACGCTTGATAGATTAATGCGATGTATTGAATAGAATTAAAATGGAAAAGTTTACAGTAGAATAAAGGACGAGTGTTATTTTACACGTGACAGCGGATGTATCGTTACGTCATTAGTCCGCTTCGCCTCTTAAATGAATAGGAAATGAATAGGATCAAGGGTAAGTTAACACTTATCGATTTAACATGATTTAAAAGGGTAGTGTGGTGAGGAGGGGGTTGAGGGAGTTGGGGTGCTCTCACACACACACACAAAAATTTACAAAATGTTTAAAATACATTAGCGACGCTATCCTTTGATGCTCACCTACAATTATTTCAAGTAACGCTACAGGCGACGTGCCAATCGTACATTATTTATACTAGATGAAACATAATCGACGATTTTATTGAAAAGCACATGCGGGATAATGTCTGTATTATAAGTTGTTTAATGGTCTCGGGCAAAAAATTACATAATACATTGAAACAATACTCGGACTAACGTCCTCGTGCAGTATTAATATATCACTTAAAGGGCGAACGACTATTTTTTATACGCCCACATTTTCATGTGGACGTACAATATATTGTCGTCGTCCCTGATTGTACGAAAAATCGCTTTTTTAGCTTGTGAACACTCTAGAGTTCACAATTTTGATCTGATTTTGATGAAACTTGAAATGCATGTTTATAACCCAAGGATCTCGATTGCTTTCTATATTATGGCGCATATCGGACTGTAACTTCCTGAACTATGGCCCCTGATTGTACGAAAAATCGCGTTTTTAGCTTGTGGACCCTATAGAGGTCATAATTTTTATCCGATTTAAAAAAACGTTTTAGTAAATCACCGTTATACCCTAAGGACCGCTGAGTTCGAATTTCGTGAAAATCGGCCTAAAACTAACAGACAAGATGGCCGCCCCTCGTTCCTAAATAGCGTAAAAATATGTTATATCAAGGTTGTGGACCCTATAGAGGTCACAATTTTTATCCGATTTTGTTGAAACTTGAAATGTAAGTTTATAACCCAAAGATCTCGGTTCCTTTCGATATTCGGCATATTGGATAGTAACTTCCTGAATTATGGCCCCTGATTGTACGAAAAATGGCGTTTTTAGCTCGTGGATCCTCTAGAGGTCATAATTTTTATCCGATTTAAAAAAAAAACGTTTGAATATATCACCATTACACCCTAAGGATGGTTGAATTCGATTTTCGTAAATATCGGACCAAAGCTGACAGACAAAATGGCCGCCCCTCGTACTCAAATAGTGTAAAAATATGGTATATCAATGTTGTGGACCCTCTAGAGGTCACAATTTTCTTTTGATTTTTATGAAACTTGAAATGTAAGTTAATAACCCGAAGATCTTGGTTCCTTTCGATATTCGGCATATTGGATAGTAACTTCCTGAATTATGGCTCTTGATTGTACGAAAAATCGCGTTTTTAGCTTGTGGTCCTTGTAGAGGTCGCAATTTTTATCTGATTTAAAAAAAATGTGTAAATATATCACCATTACACACTAAAATGATGGATCCTTTTGATAATCGCGGATACCCGAACTTAACTTCCTGTCATGGATTATGGGCCCTTATTGTTTGAAAAATGGCATTTTTAGCTTGCGGATTCTCTAGAGATCACAATTTCTTTTTCCGATTTTAAATATTTCACCATTCCACCATAATGACGGTTGAATTCGAATTTCGGGAAAATCGAAATGAAACTGCCCAACAAAATGTCCGCTCTTTGTTCGCAAATTGTGTAAAAGTATGCAATACGAAGGTTGTCAACCCTCCATGGGTCACAATTTTTGTCCGATTCTGATGAAACTTAAATCTATCTTTATATCCCAAAGATCTCAGTCCCTTTTGATATTTGTGCATTTCAGACCATAACTTTCTGGATTATTGCCCCTGATTGTACAAAAAATCCCGTTTGTTTTTAGCGTGTTCTCTATCCATCTCTTGCAAAATGTGGGCGTATCCTGCCTGGCAGCCCCTGGTTGGAACATTAAAATTAACGAAAATTGGTATAAAAACACATATTAATGACATATTATTGTATATAAAGTGATATATATTCACGTTTTAAAAGACAATTATTGTAATTTCTAATTAATTATGTTCGGTGAAATACGTAAACAGTTCAAATTGAACGACAGTAGTTTACGCTTGCTTAGTCCATTCTACGTAGACATTTTAGATCTCCACTTTGAAGTTTTTGTAGTGATAATTCACAAGCTCCGAATCTTGAAGATGTTAATTCCGACCATATTGAGCACCGTCGGCTTGTCGAATATGTCGATAGCAGCATCAAATATCCCTTGCGGCGGGCCATCGGGCCCGACTAAGAGTCAGACCTAACTACCTTATATATAAGATCGTAACATTAATACAAAGGGGGCCAGACCGCGAATGTTCGCCAATTTACTTCTAACATTAACCATAGACGCTTCCCTGCAAAGACATTGTGTCCTTTACCCAAATCTGTACAAAGCCTATTATGTGGCTTCTTTTAGCAAGTTTCTTAGGAACCATTCGTCTTCGATTACACCCTAGGTGAAAACGGACGTAAATCCCCAGGAACGAACGAACGAATTATCCCTTAACCAATTTCGGCGATTTCAGATACATAAACCAAATGAAAGTTCAAGTTGATTGCTGTGTATTAGGAATTCGTACTTGCATTTTATAAAATGTGCAGACTTTCGGGCAAACCAACCCCTCATCCACCCTAAACCAAAGAATCCCGATACGCCCATGACACTATATTCACTTATTACAGTCATTACAGCAATTTTTATTATCCATTGTCCAATGTCACTAGGTACATACATCTTATTCACTTCAGACAATATCTAGTGGTTGTTCAACAGACTCGTGCTCTTCAGACATCTAGCGATTGTTCCACAGGCTTGTTCAGTTCTCTCTATAGAGACAGTATCTAGCGGTAGTTGGAAGAAACACAAGAGTCAATATGTCCGTCATATTAACGTTGATTTTATTTAATGTTTTACTTCCAGAAGTTTGGCTACAAAAAACACTCAGATGTACTAATCCAGGACTGATTAAACCTTTACAGATCGGATGGAGATTACAGTCTAAATATATAGAGACCTTTTTATCAGACGGTTTGATGCATTGCTCCAGAGAATGTGTTTATCATTCCAACTGTCTGTCTTTTAACTTTTATGAATCATTGGGAAGATGTGAATTGAACAGAGAAACATCAAGTAGTACAAACAATCTAACCCAGGTTCCAGGAATCCTGTACGGTAAAAAAGCGGACTGGAATTCGATAGTTGCTGGAGATTGTGCTCATATTACCTGTCGAAGGAATCATAAATGTGTTCCGGTAACCAATGGCACTGAGTGTGTTTTTGTAGACTGCGGTGTGCCCCCCAATATGACTTTCGGTTTTATTGTTCAATTTTCTGGAACAACGATTGGTTATAGGACTACGTACGGTTGTTCTGGCACGACCACTAAAGTTGTATTAACATGTAATGAGGATGGGCTATGGAAAGGAATTCCGTGTAATTCATCACTCATCAGCAAATCACAATTTGATTTGGCTTTAACAGATTATATACCTTACCCTAATTGACGGCAAGTGGAAGAGAGAAAATGGGCCATTTGGGGATGATCATGGAATATATTAATATCAATATTTTGCTTGCACACAAGGATCTGTCGACGTGGAAGGCAACCCTCATGGCGTACAAGCCTGGGATCATAACCACGCCACTTATGACAGACCCTAGAAGCTAGAGTACACGTGTTTAAACAATAGTTATTAATTTTAAAAAAAAATTATTACTGTATTATAAAGACACCAACATTATCTAAACTTTGTGCCTGCTAGCCTCTTTAGTCCCAAACATCCAGGAATCCAGATGAGTTTTTCCATACCGCTTATAGTTATAAACTATGTTTGAATCGGGCCATTTATAAACAGTAGTGCATGGAATATTTATTACGGTTATTCACTATGTTTCTTTGACCGTTTTACTTTGGATATTTATAATCTATATTAAGGACGAGTATAATCTATATTTCTAAAAACGTTTAAAGTTACAATTTCATATTTTTAAGTTATATTTTTAAAATGTATTGAAATAAAGCCCTAAAATAGATGGTATCTATAAACAGTCCTACCTTGTTAAAGAATAATCCTATTAATCCTATAATTCACTATTGCCAGTTGAGAAATTGGCAAAAATATCATTTTCAACTTCAAATTCAAACGTTTGAAGATAGCTTTTCCATGGTGGAAAATAGAAAACAAGGGAGATAATTGTGTTATTATTTCCGTTTTAAGTGTGACAATGGCGCCTATGATCATATAATAGTGAGTTGACAACCTATTGAGAAAAAGACATAGAAATAATTATGTTTTGACTTTTTTAGAAAATATGATATTCTCGCTTTAAAAGCGTGCATTAAAAGGGGCATTAGGTAAAATTAGATAAAGAGCTGACAGTTCTCGCTATAATAGTTAAAAATAGTAATTAACAATGTCTCGATTATCCATTTTTACGTTAAATTATCCATCACAAAAGGGAAATTCAAATCCAGTAAAGATCGCAGGCTAACGATGGCATCGAGAGTTGATTATGGCCTGGATCAGTTAATTAATGTCTAATGAATAATTTAGATAACATTTCAGGCCCAAAGAAAGAGCCGCAATAGGCAAATTTAGCTCTTGCATAATGCATGTTTAACTATGTCCCTAATAAACCGTTTTTTCTATAGACATTTATAATATATATTTCTAAGGACATTTATAGGCGTGTATTAACTATGTTCCTAATAAACCGCTTTTCTATAGAATTTATAATCTATATTTCCAAGGACGTTTATAAGCGTGTATTAAATATATCCCTAATAAACCGTTTTTCTATAGAATCTATAATCTATATTTCTAAGGACGTTTATGTCCCTAATAAACCGCAAACTTGTATTAATTATGTCCCTAATAAACATTTTTTTTTATAATATTTAGAATCTATATATTTCTAAGGGCGTTTATAAGCGTATCCGCAATATATCGTTTTTCTTACAGAATACATAAACTGTGTCCTAAGATATTTGTTTTTACAAACTGTGATCATTAGGGCGTTTTATAGATCGAGTGCAGTAACCCCTTTCACTCAACTTGGAGCCACGATACATCGGTGAGGGATAGGTCTAAATGTAAAGGCCCACTGCAGATTTCGTCAAGGTCGCGAGAAGTAAATAGGGTTAGGGCGCGTGATTGTTGACGAGATTGTGCGTTAGGGTAGGTCTAGGGGTAGGGTTAAGGGGAACTTTGACCAAATCTGCAGTTGGCCTTAATATTTAGACCTAACCCATCGGTGAGTATGGGGCTGGTTTCATTAACCTAGTAGCCGTACTAGCCTAGGTAACTGATCCACCTAAATAACAGTATACAAGTTATATTTATAGCACGGCTTTCATGAGTTAACAAGTAAACCAGCAAAAGTGTGCAATAACATTGAACATGTCTAGTTATTGCACGGTTAAGCTCCACCCAATCTACTAAAGGGAGAGAGAGAAATGGGGTTTAACGTCCCCTCGACACAAACTAGGTCATTTCAGGACTAACATATGGTTTAATTTTATTTCAATAATTCGCTTGCGCGTAGGGGTCTTTAGCAGTGGGGGAAACCGGAGGACCTGGAGAAAACCTACTCCTTTTCAGGTACAACTTGGGAATCGAAACAACGCCATTTGACTCAATGACAGACTTTATGATACAGCGGGCACTCGCTAACCATTCAGCCATCCCCCCCCCCCTTTACTAAAGGGAAAACAATCTGCTTATTTAACGAAAAGATCAAAAGAAGATTTCTCATCTATGTTACAAATTCCAGTTATTATTTTGTTACTATGAAGCGTGTAAATATGAACTTTGTGAGTGTTGATTATATATTCGGATCCAAATATGCGACACAAATCACAACATCCAGATTTTTCAAAGTTTTTGTGGGTTATCCGCAAACTCCACACCAGGTCCCCCTCTAACCAAATTTCCAGCGTCCGCCACTATTTCCCGGCCTCAACCCAGATGTTTGCCAAGAAGGTTCCCCCTTGTCCGTTGTGTCATCTAGTCGTTCCAGTGTATGGCTTGTCAAAGGTACACTGACAGTCGGATATTGAAATATCCCTCATAGCACACAACCGGGGTCCCGTGTACACATTGACGAGCACGTAAAATATCCCTTGGTAGTTGGAACTCGATGTAACAGTAGGCCGTAGCGGCGCTAACCGGGCAAAATGTCACCCACAGCACACTGTATGGCGAATGCCCATCTTCCTTAGCCCAGTCGGAGCCGAAGAGTAGGACGTTAAACCACACAATGTAACTAATAGGGCCAAATAAAGAAAATACGTGTGTTGACGGGGGGTCTAGATGTAATTAATATTTTAATAACCTACGTCGACACTTGCATTCTATAGCCTTTGTGATTTCATGAAGATACCGTAAAGTGTGTATTAATTATTTCCTAGCATTTCTAGCTGAATTACTGCAAAGATGCACACACAAACCGACTTATAGAACCTGGATAATAAGGAAAAAGTTTAGGGTCGGCGATATGGGCTAAACAAAATAGGTAATTATTTTATTCATTTTTTAGGGGGTGGGATGGTGGGCTAAGTTAACTCGACATTTTTTTACGTTCTATCATAAATAAAGAGTTCTGTCATTTTAGATAGGGCTGTGCTGATATTGTTACTTGAAGGGTTTAGTGGAGTAGAACGGAACGATACCACTGGGGATACTGAGAATGTATTTTTACATGAACAGTAATAGGTTAACAACTAATAACCATATTGTAGAGAGTCACGGTGGTTAAGTGGGTAAGACGCTGGCTCGCTAGCCTGGAGGTCGGATGTTCGATCCCTGCATTGGCCGAGAAAGTTCATCCAGATTTTCCCGCGTGGTTTCCCCTTGTCAGTGATGCAGGACGGAGGACCCGTGTACACATTGGCGTGCACGTAAAAGATCCCTTGATAGTTGGAAATCGATTTAAGAGTAGGTCGTAGTCCGGGCAAAATTTCCCTCATAGCACACTGTATGCCGTATGCCTGTCTTCATGAGCCCAATTCGGAGCAGAACAGTAGGACGTTAAACCCCATTTCATTTCATTTCACCGTATTGCAGTCTCAAAATGACCTAGGTAAATTGTTAACAAGAACCACGTGCTAGTCTCAATATAATAAGGTTTTAACAATTATAACCATACATTTGTCTCAAAATGACCTAGGTAAAGTGTTAACAAGGCCACTCTATTACAAACACGTATTAGTCTCAAAATTTACTCGGTAAAGTGTTAACAAGGTCACTCTATTACAACCATGTGTTAGTATCAAAAAGTCCTTTGTAAAGTGTAAACAAGACCACTCTATTACAAACAAGTCTCAAATTAATAAGTAATAAGGTGTTAACAATTACAACCATACGTTAGTCTCCAAATCACCTAGGTAAAGTTTTAACAAAGCTCTAAATCACACTCTATTACAATCTAATAATGTTTAGCGATTTTATTGTCTGTGCGTCCAGATGTCACCAACAGCAGACCACTAGAACTAAACAACGTATAATAACTTTACTAACAGATTTATATTCAATCAATAACAATATCTTTCAAAATTCTCAACACAATTGTAACGTATAATTTGACTCCACGTGGCCAATCCATTCTTATATTGTAAGATTTTGGAAAGATTTTCACACAAGATTGAACACGTATTGCTGCTAAACAAGGTAAGGTTCTTTTATTCAATTTATTTAGCATAAAAATTCTATTTATTCTCTATATTATCTTTTTCAAAATAAAAGTTTCTCTGTAACTGCATATGATATCAATAATCGGATCATTGTATTATCGGAATTTAGAAAAAAAGATATCTGGTATTCTCGATAAAGACCTCTTCATATTAAACTTACGCTGCCTGTCTATAAATAGTTCCGATTGACGGTGTGGTTCCCCCTTGTCAGTGGTGTAGAGTAGGCCATAGCGCCGCTGTCCGGGCAAAATGTCTTGAAAGCACGCTGTATGGCGAATGGCGGTCTTCATTAGTCCAGTGGATGCAGAACAGTAAGACGTTACAGGGGCGGATCTAGGAATTTTGAAAAGGGGGGGCGCCGCAAAATGAGGGCACTGACCGCGGAGACGCGGCACGCCGCTGAGAGGGGGGGGGGGCCCAAGAAAATTATCCGTCATTTCCTGCATCTGTAGCCATTTAAAGAGCTATTTGGCTGATATTATCGTCTAAGTAAACGTTCGGAAATCGTTGAAAAAGAGCCTTAAAATAAGCAAAAAAGCCAGTTGAACACGCGACTCAAAAATTGTCAAGGCGAGTGAGGCATTATGATGGGAAAAAAGACGAATCTATTCCCTGGCCACTTCACTATTTAAGCCTTGTAACTTGTACTGTCCACACATGAAACAATGCTACATCAAGTTGCACTAATGCGCGTCGGTGATGGGCATGAGTGTATAGTAGTATACGCCGCCGACTCCACAAGATGCTATCATTGATGTCTGTCTATAGTCACTCTATAGGATTAGGGCACCGTCAGCTAAACAACAAGAATTCTTTTGAAAGTGGAAGCATTAATTAGACCAGACTGGTGTGTTTGAGTCGATGGTTTGAGTCATTTGGGATCCCTGCAACGGGTTGGGAACGGACATATTTGAGTCTGCAGAGAAAAGGCACTTTTAGCAGAAAAAAGGGCACTGTCGAAAATTAGGAAGGGGGGGGGCACCTCGCCCCCCCCCTTTGATCCGCCTCTGCGTTAAACCCATTTCATTTCAGTCTAACCGAGGTTACATGGTGTGTATGTACATCAGGGGCTAAGTGAAAAGGACGCAATGAACCGCTTTGCGTCATGGTTTTGAGTTTTTGCGCTCCCTTGAGTTTTTGCACCCCTTCGCAAATGGCACAAAATACACGGTTTTAATGCGGTTTTCAATATTATAATCATAATGCTTAACCAGTATCAAACATATACCGTGGGTCAGATATGCTACAAATCGACTCTATCGTGTTCCACACAGCCCAATATTACTCGGCGGCACTGGGAGGGACACTCTCCCCTCCCCGCACACATATATAAATATTGTTTTGGTGGGCCAGGACGGGATCTTGTTCCTCATGCAAAATCATGGCTCACCATGCCCCCGATGTACATGTATGTTGAAATTAGTTTCAATGCTAAATTTGAGCTAAATTTACTCAGCTAAATTTGCTCAGCTAAATTTGCACTATTGTATTAAAATGGTTTACCTCCCATCTGAACGACTGGACACACTTTCCTTGCCAGTCCAAAGGGGGTTGTAAGTAGCCGTTTCCACTAGGTATTTGGGGAAACCGCTAGGATTTGCTGGTTCCAGTTTCGAATTCTTGTGTCCTTGAATAAAACACTTCATTCATGGTTAGGTCTAAATGTTAAGGCCACCTGCAGATTTATTTAAGGTCACGAAATGTAAATGTAAAGTCGATCAGGTGAGATTAGTTCTGTTACAGCATGATGGCATCAGTACTACTCAAGTGCCTATTAGAGCCGACAAGTTTCCGGAGGGAATGAAGTCGCTCGACAGTCGCTAAGCTATTTAAAAAAAATTAATGTCGAATCTTATTAAAAATTTTCGACTTCGACTCGACTGCAATTTTTGGTTTCACAAAAATATCATTTCAAAAAGTTTATACCCCTTTACAACAGAATAAAATCATTTACAGATTTGCAAGGTTCCGCCTCCCTAAATTCGTAGATCAACCATCATGGTTAAAATCACACCAAATATACACCTTCGTGTTCTAGAATACATAAAGATTCATAAAAACGCTACGATACAACATTTCAGCGTCTAAAAGTAGCAAAAAAGACGGTATAAGGACACGACAATGTTATACGGACCTTTTCCGTATGAAAGCTGTTCGATACGTACTGCCGTATCAGTGTGCTGTATCATGGATGAGAAATACACACACATTGATGACGTCACACGCAAAATCCATACGGACTCGAGATACGAACCAGAAATTTACGCTTGCCAAAAGTCTCTAACACCTTTAGCTTTACATCTACCACATCAAGTAATACTCAATAAAATACATTCGAGCTTCACATCCTAAAGGTAAAAAAGTATGTGGTGGTGTTGGCCTATATATGTAATTTAAATGGAGCCGTGGTGGCTCAATGCGTAAGGCTCAGTCAGTAAGACGCTGGCTCGCTAGCATGGAGGTCTCGGGTTCGCTCCCGGTAATGGCCGAGAAATTTCCTCTGGATTTGCCGGCGTTGTTTCTCCTTGTCATTGGTGCAGTACAGGCCTGACAAGTACCGCCTCTAGTGGTTCGGATAGGACAAAAACCGAGGCCCAGTGTATACATTGGTTTGCACATAAAAGAACCCTTGAAAGTTGGAATTCGATATAAGTTTTGTAGCGCCGCTGTCCGGACAAGATTTCCCTCATAGCACACTGCATGACGTATGTCCGTATTCATTATGACCGTCAGTGCATAAATCCCATAATATCATTTCATTTCCTAATTTAAATATATTTTGTTTTCTACTTTCAGATGTTGTACCTGCTATTATTTATTTTCTGTTTTTATCACAATGCATGTGCAAATACAGAAGTAAAGACAGAAGTAAAGACAGGTAAGATTTCGCCAGGGTGACACTTGACATCGGCTGGAGTCGCTGTGTGTCAATAAAAAACACTTAATCCTTTTCCTTGATTTTGAAAATGTAGGTTTAGACATTAAGTTTGCGATCTTAAAGGCTCAATACCACTCTTGTTGTAACTGAATAATATGTCCCAATCTTTATTCTGGTCAACAAATTGTACTATTTTACAATATTTCAATTAATTGATGATACAAATTTCATCTTAACACACCTAATTTAAAAAATTGGAAAAATTCAACTAAATGATTTGAAAAGCCTAACGTAAACCTTTTCAAATGTGACTTGGATTTAAAAATATTTTCGAACCCTCTGGACAAGTAAAATAGGATGTAATGGATAATTTACACAACAGGTAGGATACTTAAACATCTAGTACTTAGAATAAGGCTATTATTTATTTTCTGGAGCTGTCAAGCCAGCAAGAGTGTTACTGTCCCTTTAAGTGGTTTCGAAGCCGGAACATAGGGACATGGTTAGCAGAAATCTTGAAGGTCCCAGATGGCCACTATACTGTATTTGGAGGTAAAGGCTAAAAGCTAAGGCCCATTGCAGACTTCGTCATAAGTCATGAGATGTAAATAGGGTGCACGTGATTGTTGACGAGATAACAGACACGTTTGGCAAGCGGAATTTTTCCTTTTCCCGTAGCTCAGCTCAGCTTAGGTGTGGCATTTGTGGACAAATTGGCACCTTTGTCCGGAACGGTTACACCCACATTAAATCTGCTCCTAAGCTGGTTAAATAACTACATAAAAAGGAACATTGACATCCGGTATTAAACAGATTACCATACAACCCAATTCCAGCCCTCTTATCAGATTTAATTTGGATTGGGTTTTCAATTTTTAATTGGCTGATTTTTTGACTGGCCGAATGCAGTTGCCTGGTTTGCCTACAATCCCGCCTCTGCATTCAACGACATATCAATAAGGCAGTCGTATTTTACGAGTCGAAAAGTTGTTTATTTTTGTAACTAGCAATTTCCCATTTGTCCTGTCTGTAACCCTGCTACAGGGGGTATTACACAGAGCAATACATAATGATGGATATCACGTGACTTACGAAATTATATTCCCCTTTACAACTGAAAATGAAACCAAATACCCAGATTTACTTACAGTTTAAAATTAGAAATAACCACGCCTTCGGCAAAACTCATTTACGAAGCGACGGAAGTCAGATTTAATGTATTTGCCGTTTTACTTTATTTTACAGAAGCTGAATATTCTTCCTCTAAATTTCCCGCTCTAAACGCCACGGAACTACTCAAAAGTCAAGAAAATGTTACGGTCATTTTAATAAACCAGGGTTATGACCCCGCCTTGATCCCCGAAAATCTGGAAGCTTTTAGTCCAGTGATGCTGCAGGATTCATCCATCATCTACAAGGCAGACTCACAGCGAGACATAACAACCATTTCAAGCAGCAAATACACGGACGTATTTTTGGGCGAATATAAGAATTTCAAGCCGGTGGCCGTCAAAATATCCAAACTGACCGAACTTCTGTTTCAGTTTGAAAGTTCGATGATAATGACGTACGTTCAGGACACAGTTCCTACTCCCTACCATCATGGGTATGTTAGAATTAAGAAAAGGTTGGGAATGGTCCACGATTTTGTCCCGAACTCCCAGACCTTACAGAAGCTGCTGATCAGTACTAACATCACTGACACCAATTTGGTTTCCATAGCAATGCAAGTAACGGAGGCCTTAGTAAAAATTCATCAAAAGTTCGTCCTTCATAACGACTACCACACGTCCAATATACTGGTTACCATGGAAAACAACAAATCCGTTGTCAAGGTGATTGACTTTGGGCAAGCTACATTTAGGATTGGCACACCCTATGTGCCGGATTTTGGGAATATCTACACATTTGTTGCCCCCGAATTCTCGGACGATAGTGTTCTATCTTCACCGGCCACTGAAGTTTATAGTTTAGGTGAGGTGTTGCGTCGAATTAACATAAGGCTCAAGAAGAGGGTTTTAAACCGGATCGTCACAATGTGCATGCAAACTGAGCGGGAAAAGAGGCCTTCTGCTAAAGGGGTCGCTTTCTTGTTATCACTCTTTCTAAACAACCTTAAAACTGCCGATTCCCTGTCTGTTGTCAAAGGAAAGGAACGAAAGGTGCCCGTAGACTTTGAAGATTTGCCGTTCATGAACAAAACGATTCCTTTGATCACTTCTGCCGACGCGGTTTCATCCAAAACTGACCGATTCGTGTGGATAAAGAAATCTGATACAACAAATATATTTTTAGCCACGTATTTAGACAGGTCGGTAGCTGTCAAAGTTTACAAGCAAACCGACTATAAATATCTTCTTAATGAAGCTTTGATTTACATGTATATGAACGACACCAGTGTTACCCCTTATTTCTACGGACTGTATCCGACCGGTCAGTTAGTCTCCAGTTTAGGTCTGGTTAACAGATTCTTCGCTTCAGCGGAAGTTGTAGAAGATTTGGTGCCAGGAATGAAAAGTCGAACTGTTCGCTTTCAGCTGTCGGTTATAGTTCGTATCTGTCAGGTTGTCCAGACTTTCCACGACCGTGGGTTACTCATAAACAATATCGGATTGGATAATTTTCTAGTCCAGGCTGATAAAGACTTTGCGGATATTAAAATAGTCGGGTTATCTTGTGTCAGCGGTTTAGAAGGATTGACAGATTCCATTATACTGCAGGATATCATAGCATACAACTCCACGTCACCAGAAGTAGAACAATCGGGTACGACTTCGGTCCAGTCTGATGTGTACAGTGTGGGCCGGGCTTTATTAGAATTAAATGGACATGATTTGCTAGCAATTGAAATCGCTAGAACCTTTGAACCATGTTTAATGAAAGGTTTGGTCCATTGTCCAAAACTAACTCACATCATTGAGGTATTTGAAAATATTTCAAAATCCGATGGTAGCGGACCTTAAATAATGTATATCGTATTATAATGAACCTTTTACTTAATGTGTTTATAATCATCATAGTTTTCCAATATAAACCTGAGAAATGATTCCTGATCGTTCATGTATGTATACTGTACATGGGTAATCAGTAGATAATGCGTCACGTCTATAGCAATGTAATTTAGACACTGTAATTTAGACAAGCTGGACGAATAACTCTGCTGGTGGTCCATGATTCACATGTTTGGTTATTCTTTCTAGCAATTCTATAAAATGTCTGATACCACTTTCAATTGAATAAGCCCAGAAGCGTATGTTGTACTCTTTTACATTCCAGTATGAACTTGTGTTAAAGGGCCAAGATCAGCTAGATATCTACATTTCCCTGTATTTTAAAGGACCATCAGCAGCTGGATAGTAACACTACTGGTATTAAAGTACCACTAGATACTGCTGGATGGCTATACCTCCCTGTATTAAAGGACCACTATAAACTAGATAGCTATACATCCCTGTATTAAAGGACCAATAGCTGCTAGATAGTTATACTACCACTATAAACTAAATAACTTTTTTTGCCTGCATTAAAGGACTACTAGAAACTGGATAGCTATATTTGTCTGCATTAAATTGTCAACTAGAAACTAGATAACTATATTTCCCCGTGTTAAAGGACCACTAGAAACTAGATAGGTTTTTTTTCTTACGTTAACAGACCACTAGCAGCCAGATAGATGTATCCTTTGTGGCCCCCGCCACACAATGTAATAAAATATTAGATTACAATTTCTATTTTTAATCACAACATAAGACACTATAATTAACAATTGGCTAAGAGGGAAATTTTACGTGCACGTTAATACGTACATGGCACCTTGGCTTTTAGTCCCATCCGAACGACTAGGCCCACCGTCCTAAACCACAGGGGAAACCACGTCGAAAACTTCCGAGGAACTTTCTCGGCCAGGGCCAGGAGCGCATCCGAGACCTCCTGGTTAGCGAGCCAGCATTTTATTGACTGAGCCACCGCAGCTCCCCTACGACACCGAAAAGAGAGAGAGAGAGAGAGAGAGAGAGAGAGAGGGGGTTAACGTCCACTCGACACAAACTAGGTCATTTCGGGGCTAACAAACGGTTCATTTTTATTTCAATAATTCGCTTGTGCGAGGGAGCCGGAGGACCCGGAGAAAACCCATGAGGTTGGCACTGAAAATTAAAAAATAAAAACAAACAAAAAACCCCATCAAACCGCTAGTTATTATGTAGTTATCTTAATCTTTTTAAAATTCAACAGTTTGTTTCCTATTCAGAATAAAGAAAGACGCTTTTCTTTTATTTGATAGGTCTTTACGATAGAGTTGATTGAACCGGATATTTTGTATTTAGAAAATATATGTCCACTGGGTGCGTGCAGAGCTATCTTCCCTCGGAATTACACTAAATATGGTGCGAGATTTGTACAGAAGTAAGAATCAAGTGCTAGAGGTTTGCTTGACTCCTATATTTATACTCAGAACATATGTGGCAGCCACATCGCGTATGCTCAGCTGTCCCCGTTCGGGCTTACTCGAACTACCGTGCGAGATTTGTAATCGAGTAAAGAATCAAGTAGAGCCACCACCAACAACAATAACACTGCCACTGCCACAAAACGGTGATAAATGGGATCTTGAATGTGTTTATGTGAATGCAATGGTATCAATTTGAAATATGAATGAGTTATGATTCATTATTGTCGTAGGAAGTAGATTCGCCTTCATCCAATAGTAATTGATAACAAGTATAGTCAACGGCTCGTTCAGGGAGAACAGGGAGGCACGAGTCGCACTCGATTAGAAAGATACAAGCGATCATCGCTACGACACCACGCTGTATTTGTGAACTATAGATAACTCTCAGATCATGAACACAAGACCAATTTACACACAAACCTAAACGCTAAGTTGTCACCTTTTTCTCCCTATTTCTTGAAATACATAAAAAAGATATGGAAATAGACGAGTTAGACAATGATAACAATCTCCCCTTACATAAGGCAGTTGAACAAGGGGACGTGACTCTTGTGCAAGACCTTCTACAACATGGATCTAAAACAGATGTATTAAATAATCAGTTTGAATCGCCGCTACATATAGCTGTTAAAACCGGTAATGCAGATATCATACAATTATTGGTACAACACGGTAAGTGAGGTTTATTATGACAATTCTCTTAGAAAGGAGCGGATGAAGCCAGAAGGGAGTGTGGGTGGGATAGATCATAGATCTATGTGTTTATTCTATTAAAGAAATAAATAATGCCATAATTCAGCGAGTAGGAACTTAAGTTTGAGGGGGTGGGGGTATAAACTCACTGTAAAGGACCATGCGTAGCTAGGTTGCCACTAGCTACGAGAGCGTAGCTAAAAACTTTGCGATATACTGATGTGCTTGTTTATAGCGACGATTGAGTGCCTTTCGTTTCATCTGGCAAACTTAATTTCGTTATTAATGGCATGCGTGTAACATCTTAAAAATAAGTTAATTTTATACTATTAGAACTTATTACGCATACGCAGCCAAATCTACTGAAACAACTTTCATTCATCAGCAAATATTGACAATAAAGTAAATCAAGTTTTTATCAAAATTCATACGGACATCCATAATCACGGCATTTCTCCTGCGCAACTCGGATCAGGTTAGTACTTTCATTGGCTATTGTACACGAGGCAACGCCTTTATGTGTTAAAGACGTAAACAATAGTTTATTCATTTAAATTTACAAAATTTATATAATAAATACAGGATACGATAACAAGCTTTATCAGCTGATATAAAATTGCTTCCTTAAAATGGACCTTTAACACATTTGCACTGACAATCATAATATACTCTTCAAAAACAGTTGGGAATATTCAGAAACAATACAAAACTGCGGAAATGCACGGCTGTTTTTATTAGAGGTAACCAGTGTATGTTAATAACAGGCCAATTGCCTACACATGAACATAAACAGTTCATATGGGCGGCTTATCTGACGGCCCCATTTAACTCGCAAAAAGATACGCCGTCAAAAGTGAAAATGAACGTTTTTGATTTTTGACTTAATAATGAGTAATTGCTCCACCAATCCTCAGACATCCAGCAATTCGTCGTGGCATGCTCCTAATCAACCGTCCAATCACGATTTAGGGCAATCTGACCCACGGCCATTTCTTGCAGTGTTGTCGGTTGAATTGATGTCGATGAACACGTCTCCCGATCAAATTAAACGTAACACACTAAAGCAAAGATACGCTAAACAGTAAATCTTATGCAATAACCGATAGGAAAGCAAACATGGATAGATAAACAAGCACGCGGCAGTTTTCATCAACCCTTCCTTGAAGTGTCAAAATTTGACAATGAACCCCTCCCACGTGTATGGCGCTATTGCGTGTCGCATGTGTAGCTCAGTGGTTCTGTTGGGCCGGTAAGTTCTTCATCTGTGAACATACTCTCAAAGCATGTCAAATGTCCATGACTATTTATCATATCGCAACCTGCATAGGTATTTGCATTTCAATATCCCCTACTTTCTTTGAAGAGTATATAAACACAAATATATAGTATCAAAGAAAAACAAACATATGTACAATTTAGATGTTAATTTAAGGTTACTTAAAGGAACATTCTCATGGGGGTAAGAGCTATCGACACCACACCAACAAACGTTTTTGTTTGTTTGGTTTTTTTTTTGTCTTCCTTATCATATTAAATTTAATGGAGCCGAACTGCATATACTTAAATCGATATCAGGCTTATGCCAGTCGGAAAAACTGTAACCATTGAAAAAGCAATCTATTATCGCTTCGATTTAAAAAGAAGGGGTTTGTACCCCTGTCAGGTAAGATTTTCTGCTTAATTGTGGCTGGATGCTGGTAGAAAAACCAGAAATGTTAGAGAGAGAGAGAGAAATGGGGTTTAACGTTCACTCGACACAAACTAGGTCATTTCGGGACTAACGCATGGTTCAATTTTATTTCAATAATCCGCTTGCGCGTCTTTAGCAGTGGGAGGAAACAGAAATGTTAGAAATAACAATAATCGTTAATCGTTGTTTTGAAGAAAAAATTGTCAATTTTACTTATTTGAAACCCGATGTGATTAGCGCTGGGGTTGGCCAGTTGAAACTATATAGCACTATCTCTTATTTTGAAACACGGAGGGTTGCGAGATCAGGGGCCTGTTTCACGAAATTTTAACTAAGATAAAATCCAAATTTTAGTAATTTGATTGGATAATATTAGATTGATTTTAGTGCTTAGTCAATCAAAACTGAAGTATCTACTAAAATTTGGATTTTATCTTTAGTTAAGATTTCGAGAATCAGGGTCCTGGTTTCTTATCTAGGTAGCCACCATATACTGTGTAAATGAAAGGACCACTGGCAGCTGGTAGCTTTTCTTAAAAAAAACCCAACAAGCAGCTTCTTTATTATAAGTCTGTCCAGAGGGGTCCAAAAAGTATTCCAGACAATAACAGGTTTGGTGGGTTCCTTGTGTAACGTGTTTGAGTGAAGCTGTAGTTATTTCGTGTATAGGCTACCCAATTGAAATTCAGCCAATAGGACGTCTAGTTATCATGAAAGTCTTCCACACGGGTTCGAGTCCCGACAGAAAATATACCTGTCACGATATGTTTTTTTTTTAGATAGGCCCAACAAAAGTTTAATCACATATTTTATACTTTTATTTACAGGGTGTGACGTTAATATTTGTGAAGATTTTGGTCATGCGACACCTCTTCATTTTGCTGTAAATGCTATAAATGACAGTGAACTATTCCACAAAATATTATTGACATTACTTAAAGGTGGCTGTATGTTAAATTGGAGAGCATACAGTACTCTTGAATCTCCGTTTTACCGGGCTGTTGACTTGCAAAAATCTCGCATAGCCGCCATTTTGCTCAAATATGGCTCGGACCCATCTCTGGGATCTCCCTTTGATCTTACCGCTCTGCATAAACTTTGTCAACAGAGCAACTTTTATTTGATCAATTTAGTCTTACACTGTAAAACTAACTGGAAAAGAGAGACTTGGCTTTCAGACGATCTCTACAGTGCCTATATCCTAAGCCTTTATGATCAAGACATCGTGAAAACCATCAAATCTTGGGAATTCGGAGTTACCTCCCTTAAGAATATGTGTAGAGTGAAAATACGTGATATTTTACGAGATGGGCTGTACTGTGCTGTACCATACTTACCGTTACCAGAGAGACTCAAGGGACATTTATTGCTTGAAGATATATTCTGAATAAACATGTAATGAAGCTGGTCATTTATAGTGTACCGCCTTGTAGTTATCGTCATTGGAGATTGACGATAACTACTAGTGCTGGCATGATATATCGTTGAATCGATGTATTGAATTCACCTTCTCACGATTCGCGTATTGCATCGCGAAAAGCTGAATCGATGTGTCGCGATTTTTTTTTTAATGTTTTGGGGTTTTTTTCGCTTCAGTAAAACTTGTCACTATCCACCTCACACATTATCCATAGGTAGGCTACACAAATACTCTTAAATTGCTTTGGTCCTTATTTTCATCCACATCGGCAGGACTAAAAATATCACTTATTCATTTATCCTGTTGTGTTCTTGCTATATATTGACCTGGTTGTGAATAATATCAATCTGATTAAAACACAGATCCTATTTCGTTTCGTTTTTTATTGTTCAAAATTTCGTTTTACTTGTCTTTGCTACACTAGGATCTGGAAGAGTTGTTATCATTGACGTGTTCTGGATGATGTGAGGGATTAGCCAATGAAACGGCCTGTCACGGTGAGCTCTAGTAATCCACAAGAAACATCAATGCTGATTGGTTAATCAAATGTCTGGCGTCATGGGGTCAAAAGCCCTCGTATGACCTCTGACGCGACCTATCACTACAACCGGTCAGATCTTCATGTAGTGTAGGCCATCGAAAGTATAAAATCAGCGGCTGCCAGGCAGGATACGCCCACATTTTCGAGAGATGGATAGAACACAAGCTAAAACGAAAGTGATTTTTCCTACAATCAAGGGTCATAATTCAGGAAATTACAATTCGATATGCGCAATTTAAGAACGAGGGGCGGCCATTTTGTCTGTTAGTTTTGGGCCGATTTTCACGAAATTCGAACTCAGTCGTCCTTAGGGTGTAGCGGTGATATAATAATACGTTTTTTTAAATCGGATAAAAATTAAGACCTCGATAGGGTCCACAAGCTAAAAACGCGATTTTTCGTACAATCAGGGGCCATAATTCAGTAAGTTACGGTCCGATATGCGCGAATATCAAAAGGAACCAAGATCTTTGGGTTATAAACTTACATTTCAAGTTTCAACAAACTCGGATAAAAATTGTAACCTCTATAGGGTCTACAACCTTGATATACCATATTTTTTTTACGCTATTTGAGAACGAAGGGCGGCCATTTTATCCGTCAGTTTTTGGCTGATTTTCACGAAATTTGAACTCAGTTGTCCTTAGGGTGTAACAGTGATATAATAATATGATTTTTTAAATCGGATAAAAAATATGACCTTTATAGGGTCCACAAGCTAAAAACGTGATTTTTCGTACAATCAGGGGCCATAATTCAGGAAGTTACGGTGCGATATGCTCGAATATCGAAAGGAACCGAGATCTTTGGGTTATAAACTTACATTTCAAGTTTCAACAAAATCGGATAAAAATTGTGATCTCTATAGGGTCCACAACCTTGATATACCATATTTGTACGCTATTTGAGAACGAACGGCAGCCATTTTGTCTGTCAGTTTTGGGCCGATTTTCACGAAATTCGAACTCAACCGTCCTTAGGGTGTAACGGTGATATGATAAAACGTTTTTTTTTAAATCGGATAAAAATTATGACCTCTATAGGGTTCACAAGCTAAAAACGTGATTTGTCATACAATAAGGGGCCATAATTCATGAAGTTACGGTCCGATATGCGCGAATATCAAAAGTAACCGAGATCTTTGTGTTATAAACTCACATTTCAAGTTTCAACAAAATCGGATAAAAATTGTGACCTCTATAGGGTCCACAACCTTGATATACCATATTTTTACGCTATTTGAGAAAGAAGGGCGGCCATTTTGTCTGTCAGTTTTGGGCTGATTTTCACGAAATTCAAACTCAACCGTCCTTAGGGTTTAACGGTGATATAATAATACGGTTTTTTAAATCGGATAAAAATTATGACCTCTATAGGGTCCACAAGCCAAAAAACGCGTTTTTGCGTACAATCAGGGGCCATAATTCATGAAGTTAGGGTCCGATATGCGCGAATATCGAAAGGAACCGAGATCTTTGTGTTATAAACTTACATTTCAAGTTTCAACAAAAACGGATAAAAATTGTGACCTCTACAGTGTTCACAAGCCAAAAACGTGATTTTTCGTAGAATCAGGGGCCATAATCCATGAAGTTATGGTCCGATAGATGCCAATATCGAAAGGAACCGAGATCTTAGGGTGATAAACCTATATTTCAAGTTTCATTGAAATCGGATAAAAATTGTGACCTGTAGACTGTTCACAAACAATTGTGGACGGACGGACGGACGGACAGGGGCGACGACAATATACGTCCACATGAAAATGTGGGCGTATAAAAACGAAACGAAATATAGATCTGTATTTTAATCAGATTGAAATCGTATCGTAGCACCTGCATCACAATACGTATGCCCTAACATATTCCCGGGAATGGCGGATTGCACACGTAATTACACGTATTTCATTGGAGGACATATCTACTCCCAACCAATATCACAATACGCCTGTAATGTTATCGCGATTGTGCTGTTACATCAAATGTTATTTACCCCCATATAGCGATTGCTGTTACATCAAATGTAGTTTGTCCCTATAACCATTTTCACGGCAATATAACAACTTCAATATTGATATAAATAAACCAATACTAAATTCCAACATGTTTTTATTATTGAATGTTATGGAAAATCCTCTAACAATCTTAATATGTGACAGTTATTATCAGTGAGCCGAAAATCGTCTGTGTAGATGTTATCGCTCTCTACTACAATGATAGCGCACCATTTCGCAGAACTAAATACTACCCTCCCCGCACACATACACCGGCGTTGTTCCGCAAGTATACCTAAATAAAGCCTGGAATTGAATACAAATTTAAGTGACTAGCGTCACTACGCGGAAAGCTATTTTCTCTTTAAAACAAGAAAACTCTTGAATACAGGATCAATATTATAAACGTTCTTTGTTAGAGTTCAACAGGTATACTTAAAGACTTAAATTGAATACCAACAGTACGTGGAAAGGTATTTTCACTTTAAAATACGAAAACCTTTTTATACCGGTCCAATTGTAAAAAAACAATTTGTTAAGAAAGAGATTTATTTTGACCCTCTTCTTCCTGGAAATGTAAATGAAATAAAATGAAATTCGGCTTAACGTTCCAAAGAAAAACCCTATCGTGAAACACATCCTTCCAACTGCTGTTGAAGGGACTATAATTTAGTGCTTGGCAACACTATGTTATATTTTGAAAACATAGGTTGAAAGGCAACGGAACATACAGCCACCTGTATCTACAGCGACCGAGCTGAATGACAATTTAATCGGCTACAAAAAAATCTCTGCTGCTGTCCAAGAGTGTTTATGCTAAGAGTTTTGATGGGAAACCACTGGCAAATTCGGGTTCTAAAAAGTGACCCAAATGTTCTTTTGTATTGTAGGCGTAGTTTCAAATTCGTGATCGTGATTTCTAAGAACTACTATTCATGGTCAATACCATGATGTATTTTTTAATAAAATGGTTTTCCATTAATTTCCTTTTCGTGGTGTCATCGACTTTCATTTTATCAAATGGGGAAATTTGGAATTTTACTTGTAGGTGTTGTGCACATTTAAAGATATGTCTATTTACAAATAAGGGCCTATTTTCAATATTACAATCCCGTCGATGGTTGCGTACTCTATCCCGTAGATGCGTGGACGTCTCCCCTATGTAAAAATTTAGACACCCATTGCAAGTCAAGACATATATGAGAATTTTTGTGTCACAATTCATATTGTCGTTGACTACGAATAGTACTTCTTAGAAATCACGTATATATATATATGTGCGTGTGGGTGTGTGTGTGTGTGCAATGAAGAGACATCTATTATGAATTTGCTAAAGTGAAATTGATATAAAACGTCGTGTCAGTGAGAAGAGTACAGTACGTACATCATCACTGTTCTTTTGTATTGTAGACGTAGTTTCCAATTCCTGATTTCTAAGAAGTGCTATTCGTAGTAATTGTATCGTGAAATATATATACAGCAAGTATATATCTTTTATGCATTTATTAAAGTAAAATTGATATAGAACGTCGTGTCAGTGAACGGAGTACAAAAAATATGTTATTATTTTGTAGTTATTTTAAGGTAATGAACAATTTGAACTTGTTCAACGATATCATACTGAATAGACGCAGAATTAAATGATCTGTTCTTACGAGTGAATTTCATTGAGTTTAAAAATGGCTGTAAATGACAAAACTTGTAGTATTTGTTTAGATTATTTTACAAAACCTAAAATTATCGACTGTCGTCATACATTTTGTGAATTATGTCTGGATGGCTATGTCAAAAATGTAGTCATAAATAACCAGTTCCGATGTCCATTATGTAGACAGACTAATATAATACCAGATGGTGGAGTGAGAGATTATAAAGTGAACTTTCACGCCCTCAAGAAAAAAAAGCCAGTGCCAGTTCCAAGAAGAAAAGTAAATGCCTCAGTTAATTTACCAACTAAGGAAACGGTGTTAGTCTCAAGAAGAGAGAGTGGTGCCCCTGTTTGTTTATCCACTGAAGAGAATGAAAAGCAAGTTGTAAATCCTCTCTGTCCACAACACAATGAAGAAATGGGTTACTGTAAAGATTGTAACCGCACACTTTGCTATCAATGTCTTAGTGGTCATCAAGGCCACGCCGTATATACTATTGAAGATATGTTACGCGAATTTGACATATTTCTCTATCCACTAGACGAACAAGCCAAATTGATCAATTCTATTGTGGATTTTTTGAAAAAAGAGGCTAGAACAGTCGCCCAACAGTATGCTGAAGAATGTGGAAAAGTTGACCAAAGAATAGAACAGATGTGTCAAATTATCAAAGATGAAGGCCAAAAACTAAAACTGAAAATGAAGGATTCTAATTTGGAGCACAAGAAGGTGATCGAAAAGATGACTAAAGCCGCCAAAAAGCAGAAGACGCAAATTAGAAAAATTTGGAACCAGATAGAGGAGATGGCGAAAACAAACCAGGTGTGTGAGGCAATATTAAGTACTGAACACGAACCAAAATTGATACCAGATATCAATCAAGAAGATTTTACTCTACCAGATTATTCTTGTCCTCGGTTTCAAGATGGCGTTACAGATGTGGAGGAATTATCCAAGCAAATTGGACAAATACACAATATGGGAGACGGCAGATTTCATGTGGATAATAATAATTATGGGCATGTACCGACTCCAGGTTATGAGAACGCGCAGAATCCCATTTACATGTATTTGGATGGGCAGATCCTTGGTAATAGGCAAACTCCCCGTTATGGTTTGGCACCGACTCCCGGTTATGGGTCTACACTGAATCCAGATTATGTGTTTGCGCTGAATCCCGGCTATGCGTATGCACAGAATACCGGTTATGCGTATGCGCAGAATCCCGGTTGTGCGTATGCGCAGATCGCTGGTTATCAGGAGTAATATTGTACAGCACAAGGCTATGGCGAGATTTTAGAAGAACCACATTACGACCGTGTTACCAAATATTTCTTGTGTAAATTTTTCACTGACAATAATCAATGCCAAGGACGAGTGGACAACAGTAAATCATTAACTGATTCAGGAGTTCAGGTCAAAGATTTTGTGAACCACAATATTTTAATTTTATCTTTAAATCTGAGAATGGTTTTAAATTATGTTAATAAAATTAAAGTACAAGTCACATGTTCGTCTATCGAAATCCAATAAACTCAGAAATCTCATCTAGAAGAAAATGTATGTCGGTCAACTAGCTTCGTGTCTAATTGTAGACGGACTGCGTTGGTTTCGTATGGAAATAATTTTTACACCTTATGTAAATGTCCATTTTGTAGAATTAAAATATTTTCTTTTATGACAAAAATAGAAACCGTGTCTTGATATATATTTTCATCTAGAAACCTCAACTTACATCCTTGAGCATGCTATTAAGTCCGAATTCCAACTGCCAGGGGATCTTTTACGTGCACGCCAATGTGTACACGGGACCTCGTTTTTTTGTCCCATCCGAACGACTAGACAGCTGTCCTTGTCAGACCCTCCGTCCTGCATCACTGACAAGGGGAAACCACGCCGGAATATCTGGATGAACTTTCTCGGCAAATGCTACGAGAACGTAACTAAAAAAGCTGAGATATACTGATGTGCTTGTTTTTTTTTTTTAGCTACGATTGGATGCCTTTAGTTCCAAGTGGCAAACTCAATTTCTTTATTAATGTATGTACCATCTTAAAAATAAGTTAATTTTATACTATTAGTACTTATTACACATACGCAGTCCAATCTACTGAAACAACATTCATTTATCAGCAAATATTGACAATAAAGTAAATCAAGCGTTGTCTTTATCAAAATTGATTCGGACGTTCATAATTACGCCGTATTACTAATGCGCAACTCTGATCAGATGGGTACTTTGATTGGCTATTGCACATGAGGCCCCGCCTTTATGTGTTACAGACGCAAATTTAAAATTTCGGAAAAAGCAATCTACTGTCGCTTTAGTTTAAAAGAGGGGATTTGTACCCGTTTCAGGTAGGATTATATGCTTAATTGTAGTTGGGTGTGGCAGAAATATACCAATCGTTGTTTTGATTAAAATATTGTTAATTTTGTTCACAAATGCCGGGTGCGAATCGCTCCCGCATGTGCTACATCGAAGGCAATGGCATCGTCTTTTACCTCGAAACACGGAGGGTTGAAAGATTAAGGTTTGTTATCTAATGACCTCCGGGCTAGCGAGCCAGCGTCTTACCCACTTAGCCACCGTGGTCCCCGGCATAGAGTGGGATTTCGGTTGCAACCCGATTGGAAACTTTGAAGTTGCTTAATTCACGGGATAAAATAGCAGAAAAGCGCATTTGCGGCGGTTAAATTTTCAAAATTTTCTCGGGGAGCGCGAGTCCCCCATACCCCGCGACGATAGGTTGTTTGGGATTTGGGACCACATTGATGTTGTTGTATGCACGGGGTGGAATACTAGGAAAACGCGTTTGCGGCAGTTAATTTTTCAAACATTCGTCGAGCTCGCACGCCTATGCATCACGGGACCATTTTATGTATTAATTTATATTTCTAGGTGAAACATGAAACAACCTTCATAAAAGGCTCGTGGTTACTAAAAAATTTAAATGTATAAATAATGAATTTATTTATCGTTGATGTTATACATACGTATACAATTTCACACACCGTCTTCTTTATATTATTGACATAATAATAATAATAATAATAATGTTTTATTCAGTAAACAGGTCATCGACCCAAAGTTACAAGGTTGTAAATATATAAATAATAAATATATACATGTATACAAATATATCAAACAGGTCATTAAATAAATAAATTAGCTACTATTATGAACATTTTAAAAAGTGTTAATTTATTTACAATAAACAGTTTAATTCATAATTTGATGATTTCTAATCTTTATGGCTGCATTTATAAAATTTGACAAAGATAATAAAAATTCTCTATCTTTATATGTACACAATTTATAAAAATAATTAATATCGGAAGAGTCTACAAAATCTAAATATTTAACACGAGTGTCTTGTAATAATTTACATTTACATATGAAATGAAAAGAATCTTCTGGTTCTAATTCACATAATGGACACAAATTTGTTTTACTTAATTTTCTTCTAAACATATTTACATATAATGGCAATAAGTTTAAACGTAACAGAGTGATATTTCTTTTGGCTACTTTTGGAATATGTACAGACAAGTATTGTTCTGGAATTAAATTAAGCTTGAAACATTTATATTCTGATAGACTACTGCTCTCGTTTAGTTTCGATGACCATTCCTGTGCGTTAATATCAGTTAATCGTTGTTTTAATAATGTCATAAATATTCGTTTGTCTCCAACATTTTGGTTAAACCATACATAGCCGAATCCCAAAGAACAAAGTACATGTTTTACTTTGGTCGCCCATGTTTCCCTTCCAGCACTATCTAAATTACACAACATTATATATACTTGCTTAGGGTATCTATCTGAGGTCATATTTAATAATTTGACCCAATATTTAATACAATTTGAAATATAAGATACCGATAAACCATAGCGGCCACATTCTCCCAGTGATCCTACGGTTGTGCCAGATTTGTGTACGCCTAAAATGTATTTACAATATGCACTATGAACTTTCTCAATATCTTCTCTGTATTCGAAGCCCCATACTTGTGACCCATACAACAATACCGGCTTGATAATTACATCAAATATTTTGAAAGCATGATCTAGGGATATACAGTCGACAGTTCTAAGAAGACATTTTACGGGTATAAGAGCTTTATCAGCTTTGACACTTAAACTATACAAAGGTTTACTCCAACATAATCGCGACGAAAATAATATACCTAAATAATTGTAATAAGAAACAACTTCTAATTTTACATTATTATAATAAAACACTTCGATATTCTTAGTAATACCACCATTTCTAAAAATTACAATCTTTGTCTTTGAAAGGTTTACATTTAAATTAAAATTAGTACAAAATTTATACAAAATATTTAGTTTTCTTTGTAAATCACCAACCGAGTCTGATAATATGCTAAGATCATCTGCATATAACAACATAATTATATCGTTTGCTTCTTGCGTAGTGAACAACCCTCTTACATCACTAGCTTCCATCATTTCTACGAGTTGATTGACATAAAAACAAAATAGAAGAGGACTTAATATGCATCCTTGTTTAACGCCTGATAAACAGTCAAAATAGGGGGTTATGTTGGATCCTACTTTTACACTTGATAATACATTGGAGTACATGCTTTTTAATGCTAAATACATCTTGCCATTCACACCTTTTGTTAGCATTAATGCTAATAGTTTCTTTCGATTCAATGAGTCAAAAGCACGAGAAAAGTCTACAAATAAAGAATACATTCTCCCCTTTGATTTTGTGAGATATTTTTGAATAAGACCATGTAAAGTAAAAATATTATCGACAGTAGAGTACCCTTTCCTAAAGCCTGCTTGTGCTTCACAATACTTATTTTCGACACAACACCAATTTTGTAATCTATTATTGAGCACAGCACAGTATATTTTACCGATACAATCAGTCAGAGATATGCCTCTGTAGTTTGATGGGTCATGTTTTGTTCCTTTCTTGTGCAGAGGTGTGATTAGGGTCCTTGACCACGAGTTTGGAAATCTGCCTTCATCAAATAGGGTATTATACAAAGTTGTGAGAACTGGGCCTATTAGTTCTACACATGACTTATAGAAATCAATTCCTAGACCGTCTGGACCAAGTGAAGTACCTGCTTTCATATTGTCTATACATTTCTTAATTTCATAATATGTTATAGGTTCATTTAAAATATTACTAGACTCACTAATTGTAATATTAATATTAATATTATCTACTCTCTGTGAATCAGTTATTGGATTTAGCAGTGTTTCAAAGTAGTTCACCCATTGACTTGGGGTTATTCTGTCAGATACCGAAACCTTTTGACGAAAACCTTTTACAGTCTGCCAAAACTTACTTGGATCATTTAAATTTTGAAGTAACTGATTACAGACATGTCGATTATATTCTATTTTTTTAAAACTACACAATTCTTTGAATTTATTTTTGCATGTATTAAATAGTTTCAAATCAATAACAGAATTACTAAGTCTAAATTTATCTAATGCGCAGTACTTACTATTCTTGCTATTTACACAGTCGGAGTCAAACCATGGCGGTTGCTCCTCTGTTTTAAAATGATATGACCTTTTCCTGCTGTTCATTGATTTTGCACAAGATTTAATAAAGTTCGTTACACATTCTATAGCCAGGTCCACCTCCGTTAACAGTAAATGTTTGAATTCAAAATTAAAATTATCAAAGTTCGTATTTATCTCCATAGCGAATTCGTCCTTTTTACTGGGCTTCCATACATATTTGTTGTAGGGGGTTGTCTGTATATTTGTGCTTTCGGTTAAGAAACCTTCTACATGGCATTGAATATGGAATTCTAAGGGCAGATGATCCGATTCGTCTTTACATTGAACATAAAAATAGTCAATAAGATTGAACATTTCAGTGGAAGTAATGACATAGTCTACAACACTAGAACCATTATGTTTTATACAAGTCATTGCACCAAACTTATCACGATCACTCCTCCCATTTAGCATATGAACATTGAATACAGCACACATGCGTATTAATTTAAGTCCAAATTTGTTAACTTCATTATCCTGCGAATTTCTTGGAATGTCAAAACCGTCAGTATTGTATTCAGCATCTTCGAGACCCGGTAAATATTCTATGTTATCATCTAATATATAATCTTTCAGCTGGCCGCATCTGGAATTGAAGTCCCCAGCCAATATAAAATTTACATCAGGATATTCACTTTCAACTTCAACTAAGTTTTCTTCAAATTGTTCAAACAGGCACCCATTCGTGTGTACTTTACTCCCTTCAGGTGCAATATAAACAAAACAGAACACTGCATCCTTTTCCCAACCAAAGTAGGCAGCATTAAATTTCAAAAGTATAGTTTCTGTATAACAACTCTTTATTCTAACAATACCAGCTGCTATAGTTTCTCGGAAGTACACGACTAACCCACCCCTTTCTTTACCATTTCCTCGAATACATACTTCATATTTATAATCTGTAAGAACTTCATCATATTTAAAGTCATCTCCACACCATGTCTCTATTAAACACATAACATTAAATTGGCTCAAATAATGTTTAAAATCGCCAAATTTACATTTACTCTTTAGTCCATTTACGTTCCAACAGACACATTTTAGTTTTTTAACACTCGAATAAAATTCAGAAACTTCCGGATGTGATGTGATTTGCTATTTGTTGTTTTCACTTAGAACTATT